GAACTAGGAGCCCGAGCTGCACACTCACTCTTGTTTAAATAGGAACCACCACTTTGAACCGGCGATGGCCACTTTAAGCTGACCATTCGCCTCTTTGAACTGGTGATCGCCATTTTGAACTGGCGATTTGCCACTTTGAACTGGCGATCGCCACTTTGAACAGGCGATTGTACCACTGTCCAAAGAGACTGCCGGCTTATTACGCCCAATATGGCTTCCATCATTTCCATGTTGGTTTCTCTCTCAGCAATATCTTTTTGTTTGTCTTTGTGCAAAGCAGTTTTACACTCGTATATTCCAGTAGTTTAACAGAACATCGGTCAGAGAGATGGGCTCATTTCAAAACACACAGGGTATGGGTAGTAATGGAAAATTATACCTGATCAACATTTCACGTTAATAATCACTTATTCGATGCCACTCAGTTTCTATTACGTTTGAGGGAAGTTTATAAAACAGAAAAATACAACCATGTAGTGGAAAGTCGTAAAACCTTGTACCAGCAGTCAAACTGTTTTGAGGTGATGTGTAGAATCTTTTCACGCGGCCTCATCATCACAAGTGCCATCCCGGTACGCTTTTGCCAATCGAGTTCCTAGGTTCTCAGAGTGTTCCTGAACCCGTCCTGTTGCTGAAAACTGAAAAGGAGAGCATCACAGACAGGGGGATATCTTGTTTTTGCAAAATTTAAATAATAAATAAACTGATCAAGCTAGCTTAGCCGATTAATTTTTGTTCTGAGACCCTTGTGCATCTTACGATGGATGGTAGATGGGGTCCCTAAGAATCATGTGGATGTTTTACAGAGTCTCTGTACCGTAAAGTGTAATGTTAGTTTTGTAAGCAAGCCAGAAAAGGAACAATGGATAAATGCTCGTTGATATTCTGGTAAACTTAATTTTATTAGTGTTCTATCATGGCACATAATATCAACAAGTGGCTCCACAGTTCTTGGTGGAAGCACGGTCAGAACAGTTCTTTTATGTACAAGTTTACTACATTGTCAGTCCAGACTGTCCGCGCACTTTCCCGTTCTGAAATGGTGTTCCCTTTCTCTTGCTAAATCACTCTATTATGTCCACGATTTGACATCCCTTATCTTTGGTTGCCAAGGAGCAAGGGATTATAGACTCGATATCTTGCTTTAAGTGATTAACGTATCCAGAAGTCACTGATGTGTCTATTTTAGCAAGTCAGACTTATAAAGAGGCTCTCGCCCTGTGGCGGGGCACAGAGGTCCATCCGAAAGGGGTATCTTTATCAGGCTTGAGGTATATAAAGGGCAAGGGATTGACTGAGATTCATAGGAAATGATTGAAAGCGTTCGAAGATCAATTTAAAAGATGGAATAGGATAAAAAGAGGAAAATGTTTTTAATCAAAACTCATGGTCAAACTTCTTAAGTTCTGCCTATCAAGAAAAGTGGATAAACTTTGATCACGATAGGCTTTGTTAAATGATTAAAAATGATTACATAATCTTCCAAACAGGCAACGAGGAGCCCATTTTTTTTCTTCTCTAAGTCAATTACGCAATCTTATATATAGAAGCACTGATGGTTCAGTGGTAGAATTCTCGCCTGCCACGCGGGAGGCCCGGGTTCGATTCCCGGTCAGTGCATAGTAGGAAATCTTTTTTATCTATTAATGTTATTCTTAGGTTAGAAACGACTTAGGTCCTTGCTGCTGCCGCCCGACTTCAAAATTCGATTTTTTGCCCTACATATCCTATACCATTTGTATTTCGTTTTCTTTGAGCTCTTTCGGTCGTCTTTTACTATCGGTGACAACAATGCAGGGCTAAACTCGTTAGTGCTGGAATAAAAGACGCCATGATTTATGACGTCACCATATGGATATGTTCCTAGCCAGAGTATTGAAATAAAAAAATTAATCTGTCTATTTTCTTACTTAAATCTATCTGCTCCGATATCCCCTTTTTGTAAAACTAATACGAAAATAAAGATACAGGCAATAAGGTCAAGAAAGGGTCTGCCGAGGAACTGTTTGTAAAGCTTATTTACTGAATGTCTGTAAGATACACGCGGTTCTTTAGATTGTATGATGATTTGTGAACATCTGAAACAAGTGACAGAATATCCTAACAACTGTTTAAAACTAAGCAACTTTGTGTGTCAATTTGATTTTCTGTTGCATTTTACTGTCATATTGGGTAATTGCATTATTACTTTTTAGCATTTTAATCTCCGACGGCGGCGGGATCAATATGACTTTGAAATATTGCCGGCAAATAGACGCAACACGTAATAAATTTCATGTTTCCGTAGATATACAAGAAACTGATATAGCGTCAAACAAAAATTTCAAAATTATTATTTGCAAATCAATGTCAAAAAGTCTCATAACCACTGAGACGCGGCATAAACAGACTGTCTATTGTAGAAGTAAAATTTAAAATTAAAGCGATTCGTGCGGAAATGAGAAATGTTAAATTTTGGAAATTATTTGAAAAACTATCCAAAAGAGATATACATTAGTCGAGACAAATCATTACCTGTATCCATTTTTAACAAGTTTCAAAACCTTTAATCAATTTAATGTTTCACACTGGTTAAACCGAACAGGAATAATTATTAAGACAAAATTTTGCTGAACTTTATTTCCTAAGGGGTCCTCACGTAACTTCCGACATTTAGATTTTAATTACGGTCGCGAAATAACACAAAAGAAAAGATTTACTTTTGAGCTAATTCGATAACAAAAGTTTACCTAACTATTTAAACCGCAATTTGAAACAGCAATGAAAAGTGATTAAGGATTTACTGACCTGCCGGGTAATGTGATGGACATTGTCCAAAAATGATATACTGTAATTGATGTTCTATATAACAATCGTATCTCGAATTGTTAATCAGAAGCGATCAGAAGAGGTCCTCGAAAGCTGAATAACCTGATTTTCAGCATGAGATATACGAACTTTTTTTTTGTCCTGCTGATTGCCAGCGTGGCAGTTTATGAAACGTTTGCTGGAGCAATCGCACAAAAGGTTTGCTCATTTAACGTATTTTGTTTTCATCTCTTTATGTCTTCTTCCTAAGCATACTCACTCATAAAGGGAAAGAATCGAAAGAAACCATTTTTGGGTCTTCTTTATTGTTTCAAGATATTATGGCAACATACATTGACACAATGAACACATCTTTTTTAATATTACGTCTCTGCTCTCTCAACCTGTCGGTAACGAACTCACCATTTTAAAATTTGTTTAATTGAGGTTTTTTTGGATTGAGAGTTTTTTTAATTCCTCAAAGTTTCTTAGTGTTTCTCTCTGTCTCTCTGATATATAAAATAGAACTTTTCAACGAGAGGCGAACAGATAATAATTAATCTCTGATTCCATCTTTATAAAGTACATTATTGACTAAGTAACCGATAAATGGTTTGAATTTCTGATAAGAGAACAAAATGATACAGATTGCCTGTTGCAAATTCTTTTTAGGTAATACAAAAACGACAAAATGTTTCTCAATTTTCCTCTGGTAACTGAGAGTTTAAAGAGTGTGATGTGACCAGATGTAATATGAACTTGAGATGTCATGACAACCTGAAATTAAACAAACAGGTTTTATTTCAGAACAGCTCTGATGACTTTAAAATTGCCTTGCGGAAAAACGTTGAATTGGAATGGAAATCGCTAACTTGAAAAAGCTTTTGCTTCGCTAACGGTAAAGGAACTTAACAAAAGGTTCATCTCTTTTTTTTGTTGGAAACCAAAAATTTTAGAAGCTTCCTTTCTCGCACATGGACTGCCGCATCTAAAATAGCCAAACCGAAGAATTCTAATAAAAATCATATGGTAGTAGAAGGAATAATATGAATAATCCTTTGTTTAATCATCAAGCATTCACCACTGTTCGATAAATGAAGAATCATTGTGAAGAATTTAGGGTTTTCATGATCAGCATCATCAGCATTTGCGTCAGCAAATTGAAGGCAGCCTCGTATAAGTCCAGTTAAAATTTGCTCGTTCCGCATTGATCGATAACTTCAGGCTTAGGGAATTACATCCCAGTTTTGGTATCTCGAATTAAAATTGTACATCGTTTCTTCTCTAACTTGACCATTCACCTGATTCCAATTCTCGATCCAAATGTTTTTTTTTAATATTCACATTTCCCTTGTATGTGCAAGGAAAATATGGGGTGAGTTTAGAAATGATTCAAAACTTTCACAAAAGTGATTGTGATTCTTTCTTTCGTCTTCATTTCAGCGCAAAGAAAAGAGATCGTTCGGTAAGTTTTTAAGCTGAAGCTAGATCAAGTTTTATGGAATGGGTATTATGTTATTTACCAAATACAAGAGCCATGATATTTTACCATAAAACAGACAGCTGATTCCTCTATTGAAACCAAGTACTTGATTTCAAATTCAGAAAAACCTGATTGTAAAGAAGTGGTTTTACAGCGCAACCCCGTATGTGAAAAGAAAGGTTGTGACGAAGATGGTAAACCGCAGATGTTTATGTACGAATGTCCCGAAATTCCAGTGATCTGCCCGAAGGAAGAGGTTGATGAAATGGCGGAGTGCTGCCCGAAAAAGTGTGGTAAGAAATTACCGTTAAAGATAGAAATGATAAGTTAGGCTGATGTGATTCACCTACTAGAACCATAGGAACTAACTAATGTGTCAGGAAAGATTGGCAAGTCTGCGGATTCATAAGCCAGCGTTTCGGCCAAGGAAGAATCTCTCATATTGAACTGTATTGTAGATAACGTTATTAGGATTAGGGGTATATAAGGGAAAAATGATCATCTCCTGCTTGAGAGGCTGGAAGATTTGGGCTGGGGGGGGGGGGGGGGGGGTGGGTTACATGGCTTTCAGAGGGAACGGAAGGGGAATCAGTCGTCACCAATAGAGTACAGAGGGGGGTATAGAAACACTGACTGCCAATTAACTACAAAATAAGGGGGGGTGTGGTGGGGTCATAAGAATGATACAGAGCCTTATGGGCGGGGGGTTATTAGGTTAATTTAATTGTGATAGAACCAAAATTCTCCAATCCCCCTCCCTTGGCAAAAAAAATTGACTTGTCCCTGGATGTAAGCCACCCAGAGAGTAGGGCGTGAAAAACAAAACCTTTTACTAACTTAAACAACTTGGAAAATATCAGTAATGATAATATTTGATAATGATAATATTTACTTTTTTATATACGCAGTTTGTAGTCCTGGTGGGGATTCGAGTATTTTGTACAAACCTGGAGAGAGTTTCAACGCTGTAAAAGATGGGAAAAATCTGGATTGCGAGTGCGATCCCAACGCAATACCAAGATGTATAGAGCGAATTCAAATCACTCGTAAGTGAAAGTCCATTATATCTAATATTTTTCTGTTAGGTTCAACGTCTTCAACTTGAAACGCGATTTGCTTCTATTCCCTGAAGACACAATTAAGTCAATATACTGGATCGTTGTAGGCCAATCTCTTTTGCACTAGTCTCGTAACCAGACCTTTCACGGCCAAAAGTTTCAGTGACACGGTTAGATCTGGGCACGAGATTACTTTTGTACGTGTTGATTGAGCCTCCTGTCAATAAGAGTCAATAATCAGTTAGAAGAGCTTGTTCTGAGTGATTAAGTGACGAAAACAATATAGTAGTTGCTTACTAAGTGTTTTTTTGTTACTCATTTTATGTTTTTAATTGCATTTTTCTTCGGTTAGTTCCACCAAAACAGCCTCCCAGGCCTCCTCCAGTCTTTCCTCCCGGATTTCCCCCAGAAAGGGATTGGCCATGGGTTTAGGTAAGTAAAAGAAAACTTAAAAATCCAACTCGGATAATAATATTAATCCAAACAATAGTGTTTGGGTATGATATCAACGAAAGAAGTTGGGCTGGAATTCAAACCTCGTTTCGTGGATCTCTCTCATTGAAAGAAAGTTGATTAAATTGAGTTAAAAATCGTTTAGTAGGTCTCTCCTTTTAAGAAGGGATAACAATTGATTGCTGCTGTTCGGGCTTGAGAAATAGAACTCTTTCACGCTTGGCAATTTAAATTAGTTCGACCTTCTTTGCCTACTCATGGGACGTAGGCATTGTTAAACTTATGATGATCTTTGGTCGAGGGCAAAAAAGAAGCTAATAGGATGGGTTAGGTATAGACAGGACTCTCTCGCATTGTTTAAACATAATTGATTATATATTGAGATTTATCTCGACAATCTTCCCATGAAAATACTGCTCACCTACATAACTTTTTGCCTCTCGACAGGACTGAAAATGAAGGTCAATAGGTGTCCGCTTGGTTTCCAAGATCACCGTTGATAATTATATATACCATTCCAGTTTTGATGATTACAAGTGTTCGAATGCACACAACTTGAAGAAACGTGTCAATATGAATAAATGTTGATGTACACGGTATGGATGCTATATTGCAATATGAATACTGACTACTGGAGGTGACACCTTAAGAATGAGGGCTAAAAACTTGGGGAGGGAGGGGGTAAGGTCCCAACAAAGTTTCTTACGGAGGTGCACTGTCCCAATGTAGCCTTGCTATAAACTTAGAATGAACCCATATGCTCCATTTTCTGAGGTCTTCCGATTTATGGGGAATATTTTGATAGGAATCTCGCTATCAAATTAAGCGTTCGCAGCAACACAGTATCAAATGTTAATCACTTTGAATAACTTCTCAAGGATTAACACCTGACTACTCAAAATATCTCTGTTGCAATTTAATTATAAAAAAAAAACCGCTGCATTAAAGCGTATCTAGAAAATCAAAAACTGATTCTATTATACTTCTCCTTCATGAAACTCGTACAGAAATTGAACTAATGATAGGACCACCCTTCAGTATTCATTTACGAATTGTTAGGGTTATTTGGGAAAAAATGCATGGCTCACTTATTCCGATTTCAATTATTTAATTTAACTCATCATTTTACAACACTTTTAAACGCCATGTGATATAAATTGACTCGTCTTCGCTTTTTCTGCTCAGGTGTTCTTCAATTCATGTTCTGCAAATGTAAAACATGAGAAATGAAATTCTTTTGAAACTTCTTTTTTCATTTTACTATTTGAGTCCTATGTGTTCTTTTGCAAAGGATCAATTTCCATTTTTCATATACAGGTGTATGTTTTGCTTTCTATTTGGTAAATTATCCAGCGGAACCATGAAAATTATTTTTATTTCGAGGCGGTTGTCGGGTCGAGTCCCCAGTGGTCTGTGAGACTGAAAAAACTTTAATGTCACATTTTTTCATCGAAATTTAAACAAACGCAAACAAAAATCATCAGTCTTAGCACGTCTATTCTCCCACCCTACCTCTCTTCTGGCAAGGAATTCGTAATATGCTTTCTGAAGTTTCAAAAAGAAAAATTTGTATTGGCTGTGAACAACTGGCGAGTTATTTTTGCCGAGCAACTAACCTTGTTTTATCAGTTATTGCTTCTCTTCATCTTTCTCCTTAATTTTTAAACCACGTTTGTGGTTACCGGGGAAACCAGGCGGGAGAAGTGGAGGCGGTCTGGTAGTGGGTTCAGTTACCTCGATGGCGGGCTCTAAAGTAACAGGTGCACCGGGATCTAAGGGAGCCAGACAGAAACGGAATTAAAGTTGAGTACAAGTCTTAAAAAGGTTACAGGAGACATAATAGTGTAATAAATTCCGGATAAACGGGTCCTGAGCAAGAGGAACGTAGGTTATGCCGCTCCCGGGCAATGTCACCCCCAGTCACTTCATCCCTTAGTTGAGTGACCTCGTCCCCAGTCACTTCTTCACTCAGCTGAGTGACCTCGCCCCCGGTTACCGGTTACTTCTTCACCTAGCTGAGTGACCACGCCCCCAGTGATTTCATCACTTGGCTGAGTGACCACGCCCCCAGTCAATTCTTCTCTTGGAGAAGTAACCTCGCCCTCAATTGTTGTCACGTCGCCCCGAAAGGCTCACCGGTCACCTTTCATTTTAGTCACTCGCATTCAATTGTACTGATTATGTTGCTCCCAACATTCCTTAACGTTCCTCTTTTGGGAAAAAAAGATGAATTAATAAGCATATCCTGCTCTTTAGTGATTGGATATACTTACTACATGTTGGACAGCATTTCCCAGGCTCGAACACCGGGTTTGGACAATTCGCCGCACATTGCACCACTTTACATTTCGTCTGGCTTGAGACGCATGCGCATTCATAACAGCTATTTGGTTGCCTGTTTATCCAAGTCTGACCGTCTTTGTAGTACTTGCTTTTGTGATAACAAGCTGAAAGAAAGAGCGACTAATGTAATGTTTTGGATGCTTTTAATAAGCGATTCCCATCATTTGATAAGTTTTCACTCTCCAAATCACATTCATGTAAAATCTGCTCTCCCATCTCAAACTTACCGCATGTAGGACAACATTTTCCTTGAGCAGCTGGAACAAACTTCTCGCAGGGAAAGAAAAAATCACAGCTGGCTCGACCGTAACAATTCTTGGCTCCTCGATCACATGAACATATCTGACAGCCCATATCGTTGTAAACAATAGGATTCTGTGGAATATAGAATGTTTGTCCGTCTTTGTATTTCATCCCGTTAGCTTCACACTCATCTGTAAAAGCATAAACATCAACATCCATGTGAGAAACATGCTACATGAAATAAAAGGGGGTAAGTTTTAAAGAAAATGTGGTATTGCATCGGTGGGGTAGTATACCAAGATGATTTGCTTTTATCCACTGAGGTAATGATGTAAATTGGCCACCGTAAAGGGTTTCTACAGCTTTGATACTAATGAAAACAAAACGAAACAGAAAAAAAAAAGAGAAAGCGCATGATCGTTACGCAATTATACGGATTAATATTAAAAAAATCAAAAGCTATCCTCGTGCCACTGACACTGACAATAATTTAAATTTATACCAAGGCGGTGAGAGCACAGAAAAAAAAACGGAATTTTTGATCAGTTTTCCTAAACTTTGAAAAAAGTAAATTTCATAATCTATCACTGGGAGGTATAAGCAGAACTTACAAACTAGCTCGTACACTGCATTTGTCCATTTACCACCAACACCATAAAAGCACTGTTTTGATTCCTTGTACACATCATAACCAGTTTCTTTGTTACTTCCCCAGCATTCTCCGAAGTGTTGAACTCCAAACACAAACACGTCACTTGTGTTACGCGCATGCGCAGCGCACATGTCAATCACTGTTTTGAAGTTATATCCTTTGACTTTCCAGTTGACGTACTTTTTGGCATTAAAGTAGAGCTTAGGAAGAGCTCGAGCTGATGGCCTATCACGGTAACAGCCAAGATATCTGTAATGAAATCCACCGTCTGTGATTTAAGAGAGCGTAACAGTCTTTAATGAAGGAGCTTGGCATATTATAGCAAAAATACAATAAAATGAAACAGAATGAAATAAAGTAACAAAAATTCAGAGAAGGTAACAAATACTGTTATTCTAACTTCTCACCAGAATTTGATATTATCTCTCCCGCAGCCTACAAAGAAAAAGTGTGACCCAGTTAACAAAGTGATAAATTGAGGACCGGGATAAACCTTTTAACTATTTTTTTTATAAAGAAATTATTTCTTGTTAGCACTGTTCTCGTCTAGACATAGCCACGGAGAAAAAGTTCTTAATCATGTAGATCTGGTTACATTATTTCTAGAAGTAATATTCTTGAAGCAATATCTATGAACTGAAGTCAGCTTTGTTCTATGTTATTTGTTTGCGAGACGAAAGCGTCCGCAAATAGCATCATGAGCAAACTTGACCGTACTCATGATAACTCTAGTAACCTTTTAACCTCTGGGAGTGATAGCGTCCAAATTCTCCAAGCAGTATTACCGCTGAATCAAACATTCAAGTCATAAGAAAAAAAGAAATAATCGCTTACAAAAGAAGCTCTTCCTTGTCGAACAAATTCTCCTTGTCGGTGCCATAGGAAATGAATGGCAAACGGTAAGGAGAATCTGCATACTGATATTAGAGTGTAAAAGGTTAATTCAAGCTGAAACGCAGCCACTAGTTCTTGACTTTTACCTTAATTTCTAGGAAAAAAGCCATGTGAACCAATAGGAGAAGTACAATTTTCTTTACAGCCTCCATCTCTTTGTTTTCTTCTGAAGAGAATAACAAGTCACTTCATATGTAAACATGAACATCGTTAAACAGATAAATTGAAATTTTCTCTTGATTAGTCTATTCAAAATAAACTGGATTGATAAACGATAATCTCAAAAGCGAACAAAAAAAGGGAAAAACCCAACGCCACTGAAAGCATTGACAACGCAGTACTTTTTATCTGGATTAATAACGACTGAAAAATCCGTAAGAGCCTGAAAAATGAAATAGTTGATGGGCATTTCGAGCATTTTAAACGTTGCTTGTTACACAAAGAGGAAATAAACCAAAACCTTAACAAAAAGCTGATCAAATAACGAAGTTTTGGCGCATGCAATAGACTATGATTTATTGTTTGCACCCAGTTGGTTGCCCTGCCATTTCACAATCTTTAGATTTCATTGTTTATTTTGTAAATCTGCTGTTGGATATCAATATATTTAAAACAAACAGTCATTGTCTTAAACATCGGCTCCTCTAGACTTATTCTTTCTCTGGAAAAAGGTTTTTTTCTTTGCCCTTGGAAAAAACAGCAAATCTTTGTTGTTATCTCGTTAGACCAATTACATATCATTAGGAGACTTACGATTTTATAAGAACAAACCCTAAACATCTTGATTTGATTTGTAATTCGGATAACTTTGTCCAACTGATCATTCACTTTTCTGCAATCTATATATATCGATAGTGATAATCTCATTTTAAATGTGGCATAAAAGCAACTTTTTGCTGCTCATGTAATCTTGAAGTAACTTTTAAAAGAAAGACAAAAGTGAAAAAAGCTTAATCTTTGTTAATTACTCAAGGTTTCTCATCGGGGAAAAGTTGGTGAGTTCAGATAAAAGCAGATTAGTCTGAACTGTTACAAAAGTAAAATCAAAGATCAGCGATAGACAACTGCATATATTTTTGTGATCGCTGTTGATCAATGTCATTTAAATAGGAATAAATTGTTCGTTTTTAAAAAATTGCTCTTAACCCACCTTAGAGTCGTTTCTTGAAGAGTCTTCAAAAGCTTCTCTCTTTAACTTAACGCATTTATTTATGACGAGTTCCAGCTTCAATTAACAGTAGCTGAGATACCGCTTTAACTAGCTAAGTATGTCAAATGCCGTGAAAAGGGTTTTCCGGTTTTTTATTTACATTTCTGAAATCATTGATCTAACAAGGAGCTCCTTTCTCCTTAATTTTCTAATAATCACGATGAAAATAATCACTGCACATTTTGAGCTCGGCTAGAAACAAAACGTCTTGCTAAAAGCTTGCGTTTGAGCTCAGACTCAGGAACAATGATACTGATTATAAATGAAAATGGCGGGAGAAAAGCTAATTATTGACAACGAATTATATTTTTTTCTCAACTAAATGAGTAAACCTGAAAATTTAACATAGATTCAATCAATGAAACAAATGAATTTCATGGGTTCAAACATCAGTGAAATCGTTCCACGAGAAATTCCTCACAAACATGTGCCTTCTCTTTTGTTTCGTTTTGTTTTTGGGATAAATCAGCCATGGACCACAGGAAGGCTGTCATATGTCTTCTAGCAATTGAGACACTTATTAGCGTAATCACACTTTCCATTTTCATAACTTTTCGTCAACGTTATTTATCGCGTCAAACATGTTTATTAGTGAATTTCCTTGGTTTCTGATACTTTTCCTCCGCCTGTTTGTATTATTAATTAGCTGCTTAGTTTTTTATTTATTTCAGTTTGCAGAAATTGGCCGAAATTTCTTTATATTCAAAGGCAATTTACCTCAACGTATAACACTGATTATTGTTATCGGCTTGGCTTTTATGGGGCTCGGCACTTTCGTTTGACCATTGTTTAAATGTAATTTCTGTGGGTTGTAGAATAAAGCGATTACAAATTCGGTTGGATTCCCTTCACATTTGTGATTACGAGAGGACTAGCCTAGGGAGCCTTTAGGAGTACTGAAAAGAAACAATTGATTCAAAACGTTTCCTTACCGAAATAGCGTTTTTCTCTACTAAACGGTAAAAAACAAAACGTCTGTTGGGGAACAACGATTATTTCATCGAAGGAATTATGGACAAAATGTACCAGACGGAAGACATATCTGAGGAATCATGAAAGAAACATGAAGCCACTCCAACAAAAAATTAATTCTGTGCAGGTGTCGCGGTCAGAGGAGAGCAAGCCAACATTTGTGGGGTCTGGGCCGAGTTGAAGAGGTACAGGCAAGGGGGCAAGGTGAATCAATGCCTCTTTTGCCTAAGTCTTGCCCCGATTTTCTTCGCTGGCTCGCTTTGTTTTAAGTTTTCTCAGCTTTTTTTTTTAATTTTTTTGCATATCACCACAAGGGTACTGTCAGGAATAGACTAACCAAATATGCATCCAGCCATCTAATCAGTTAAATACTTCACTTCAAGTCTTACTCAGATTAACTGTGACTTTATTCTTATCGTACTTTACACAATTTAACACAGTTAAGGAATTTCATAAAATTCATGCGAATTCCATTTGTTGTCCTTGTCCAGCTCTTCAGCTGAGCTGCTGAAGACTCTTTCATTCTGAGAAATAAACACGAAAAAATTACGCAATGATCACGAGTTAAAACATGGCTGAATATTAATTAAAACATTGCAATCATTTAGGAATAAGCAAGGGCATTCGATAACAGTTCAATGATCTTCTAATCCTGGAATTCTGAGTAAAGGGTCTATTAAGACGCACGCTGAAAAATGAAATTAAGGGGGTTCACTTTTGGAACGAGCTCCAAAGAAGAAAGGCATGTGATAATTATTCGCAGTTGTCAGACATCGGTTTGAAAAATACTGGAAATTTCAACAGCCACTTGTCTTGTAGACTGGCTCGAGCAAAATTTTCTTGGCTGTAAACTTTACTCTGAATTTGAATAGTGTTACTTTTATTCTCTGCGGTGACATGAATGAATGCATGATTCATGATTCATGGCGTCATACTAAAGCTTTTTGTTAGGTTCCTACCTGATTGACAGCTTCCAGGCTTCCTTGTACAGTGTGCAATACCACCCTGCTGACACGTGCATGTCACGCAGTCTTCTCCAGAAACTTTCTGCCATTGGTCGCCTGGTGACAATTGCTCTCCATTGTTGTAACAGGCTTAAAGGAAGTAATAGAAATATTGATTTCTTGATGCAGTTCTTACATAATTTTTATCAACGTTCAGTCTCACCATCATTTTACAAAGTTAATGTGAATAATGTGGAGAGGATACGTACCGCATACTGGGCAACATTGTCCAGTTATTTTAACAGATTTTTCACAGCCCAGTTCCTGAATATCGCAGTCGAATATCTTATGACACTTGTGTTTCCCGGCGTCACATTTGCACTGTTGGCAGATTATACTGCTCTTATCAACAGATTGCTGCAGCACCTCAGCACTCTCGCCATCATGAAACAACCGGCCGTTTATCTTACAACTGAGAGCCGGGGGCTTTGGATTAGCTAGAACTGAAGAAAGAATCATATGAGACTTTTCTGGGTCAAAAAGCAATAAATTGATAAACGATCCTTCCTAAGAGAGGTCCGTTTGCGTTTGTAATCATGTTCAAACAAAAACGTTTTACATACAAATGTCCTCGTGGCTGAAAGACCGATTCTACCTTTAGCTTAGATCCACTGTGTGCGAATCAATCTATCATAAATCAACGATGGTGTCTGAATCATTATCACGATTAATTTACGACACGCCTCACGACACAAAAAGTTAACAAGATCAGATTATTATAAAATATTACCACTAGTTATATCAGATGAAGCTATCTGGTTACGACTCATGCTTTACGAAAGTAACTCGAGCTGAACCCGTCTCGTGAGATGCACATGAATGAAACGCCCTTCAGGAAACTCCTCCACCCTCTTGGTTAGATTTTCCAGGTAATCTCCTAATCAATGTGGCCAAGTACATCACATCGTGTAACTTGATCAACCAATAGAATACTCAAGCTTACCACAGGTTGGACAACACTGGTCCACTCGATGCTCATAACGCACGCATTCCGGATTAGCCATTTCGCAGTGGAAGAGGTGATGACATCCGTCTACTTTGCCTCCCTGACAAGAGCACTGATCGCATGCCGCAGTCTTCTTATCGGCGGATATGTAAAACACCTCCATACTTTCTCCGTCTTTGTAATGTCGTGCTCCAACCTTGCAGTAAGGCGGGGAGGGTTTGGGTACGACTGAAAAAAAAGCGGTTGTATATAATACTTTAATAATTTCTTACTGGTTGAGCAATTAGAGAATGATCACTGAATGAAATTCAGTCAGTCATTTCCAGACAGTCAGTCCTTGCGTCGTTCTTGGGTCAGTCTGTGAATCGGTGTGTCTGTTTGTCAGTTAGCTAGATAGCCAGCCAGCCAGCCTGCTAGCCTGCTAGTCAGTCAGTTTGTCAATCAGTCCGTCAGTCAGTCAGTGGGTCACTAAGCAAGTTAGTTGAATCACTGAGCAAGTGAATTGATGAGTGAGTCAGTCAAACAGTTGGTGAGTTTGCGAGCCAGTTAACTAACCAGTGAGTCGGTCATTCACTCATCCACTCGTGATTAGCGAGTCGGTTATTTTATCTTCCATCCAAACACCCAGTCAATCAAACAATTACGTACCGCGTGCGCAAGCCGGGCAACATTGGCCTGGAATTTTTATATGGCTATTACACCCGGCTTTGTTCTTCTCGCAGTAGTAGATTCTGTGGCACTTCTCCAATTTTCCTGCCATGCAAGTACACTGATGACACTCGCCTAGTTGTTTGCCGTGGAAGTCTCTAAGAAGTTCCAAGCTATCGCCTTGTTTGTAAGTTTGGTCGTCGACTTTACAAACAGGTGCATTACTGGGAACATCTGTGGATGATTCAAGGCAGTGAAATAAATAAAAAGATAAATTTTACCAGCGTATCAACCAATTTTTTAATATTTTCTTGCTTATTTCACGATCATGATTTGCGGTCGCTATTCACTGTACGGTTAAGTTGTCAACCAAGTCACATGTCACTGAGTGATCTCTCAACGTCCTAGTCCTCAGTTGATAGCCTAGAATCTCCTGTTGATACTGACTCTTCATACTACGATGTATGGTCGATTCAAAGTTCATTTATAAACATAATTAAACCTGCTTTTCAATCTCTATCATATATATTTATAGTCCATATAATAAAAATAAAAATTACACGTCACCTCGAATATATGTATTTTATGTTCTCGTGACAATAACAGTATCTTACTCGTTCGCTGCGTGACTCGTAAGATATCGTTCTTGGCACTCGAACATAAAATCTATATATTCTCGTCACCTTTCCATATCCTCTATGTAATACCTTTTTGGCACTTAGGACAGCATTGTGCTGATGTCTTGACATAGCCGTTACAACTGGAATCGTTCATGACACAGTCGAAGAGGAAATGGCAGTCGTCTATTTTTCCGTTCGCACAGGTACACTGATCACATTGACCGTTTTTATGATCTCCATTGTACACTTCCATGCTGTCTCCCTCATCATACGTTTGTCCTTCGACATTACAAGCCGGCGAAGATTTTACTGGGAGTGGATGCGCTGAGGAAAAACGTTGACAACTGTTAGGGTAAGACAGGTATTCAAATGTCAACCGCAACTTACCAGGAATGCACGATATTCAATGGTATTTGAAGTCCTTTTCAAAGATAGCAGATAACGCTTCGGTCTCGACTACAAGACTTCCATAGACATAGATAATGTAATAACTACTTTCCTGTTCAACGCAAAAGACATTTTAGGCTGATATGGCACAAACACGACTTCTTTGGTAATATATCTTTTTTATTGTAAATGATTTTCGGCTTATCTTTGACATCGACTAAACTTCACGACGCCATTAACCAAAATCGGACATTTGTGTCTTAAATCGGCCTAAAATTGAAAACTAGTGTCTAACATTGGAAACTAATGTCTAAAATCAAATATCAGACACTAGTGTCCAAAGTCAAAAAATCGGACTCTAATGTCCAGAATCAAAATTTGAACACTAGAGTTAAAAATAAAAAATAATACCCTAGCGTCCAAATTCAAGAATTGGACATTATTGTCAAAAATAAAAAATTAGACATTGGTGTTCAAGCTTCTTAAGTCAAAAATGAGACACTAGTGTCCAAAACAAAATTCGGACACTTGAGTCCAAAATGAAAAATCGGTCACGGTTGTCCAAAATAAAAAATCGGAATCTAGTGTCCAAAATAAAAAATCAGACTTTGGTAGCCAAATCAAAAATCGGACATTAGTGTCTCAAAGTGGACAACAGTTTCCACAACTGTTGTTAGATATAACTGTGGAAATGGTACCTGTTTCTAAAGTCAGCCGCGCGAGATGGTGTGGTTTGAAATGCAAACGCAAGAGCCAATGCAAGTGCAAAAAAATTAATTTTGAGAAACACTATTTTATTAAACCAAGTTCATGTCTGTAGTAGCATAATCAGTTGGATGGATGGATTATTGAATGAGTAAATCAAAACCCATAAGAGTGATTTGATGTAGCTCACCTTTGATGCGATAAATATAATTGGTGCTTGCTTTTCCGACGCCATTGATACAGTTGCCGGATTTTCCATATTTATCGTAATTCAACGCAGCGTTTTTCCCAGACCAGCACTCTCCAAAGTACTGAATTCCAAACACGGCCGTGTATCCGTCCTTAAAAGCACTTTCGGCACAAAGCTGTATGACTTCACTCATATCTTCCCAAAAGTCCCAGATATTTTTGCCGTCTGGCAAATTTCCTTTTTTTCTGAAGTTTTTAACCAACTTATCTAACAATCTAGGTTGATTTTTGCTGTTTTGGTCTCTGAAACATCCAACTGGTTCGTACTCTATTTCAACTAGAAATAGGAAAATAACTAATTTCAACTACGCAAGCTTATGAAATTTCCCAAACCTCAAATTTAATTAATTTCAAATTCCTCCAAGTAAAGTCCTCATTTTTTTTTAATACAACATTTTTTTTTCACAAAATATGTAATACTGATGCGAACCATAACTAATGGGTCAAGTATGGTAACGTCATAGAGGTGTACCTTTTGCAAAAAAATAGAATCGCAGCGAGTTCAACAGAATGGAGTGGTCGAATAACGAAATGTTGAAAAGCGAAATAAATGACGAAACATTTCATCGCAATTGCCTGTCTTCTTTCTAAGGAACAGTCGTTATTTATCGCTTGAAGGGTGTGTGTGGCGGACTGATTTGCGTGTTTTAAGAGCGAAATGAAGGGGAGGATCAGTTATCGCCGATAGAGTATAAAGGAGGGACTATTGAAAATTGACTGCCAATTGACTGCTGATGAGGGAAGGAGGAGGGGAAGGAATATTAAAAAGCCTCGTAGGGGGATCAGGTAAATTCAATCACAACACAACGAGATTCTTTTAGCTCCTCCCTAGGCGGTAAATAATGTCGGATACTTTAATATTTATTTATAAATTCTTACCCTCAACATCTCTGACAGTTCTGATCTTTTCTTCCCGTGCCTCCTGAGGGTATTAGTCAAAATATTATAGCAGTATTTTCAAATAACGAACGAACGCGAATTTGCCCACCACGCTAATACAATCGATGAAAGCTTTGTGAGTCTTTAGAGACGATTTATGCATAGAGTAGAGGTTAATAGGGTAGGTTGGAGAAGCTAAGGGGTCTTGCAGATGGCCGAGTCTTGTAAGAACATCAGGTGTTTTAACAGTTGACGAAGTATGGCTTGAATGCCGGATTGTTAACCGCAGCAAAGCTGCTGCCTTAGCACCACTAATTTAAAAGATTACCAGAGATTAATTTTTTAGGAAGTATATGTAATAGATTTTTAACGACGCTGCGTATTTTCATCGCATCTCACCGGTAGGTGCAACTCCTTTATCATATTTATTGATTTACAATCTCATCATAGCATGAGATTATAAACTGATCTTTGATCATAGTGATTCCACTGAGTTTGTGATGATTTATGAAGTTTTTGTTAGCGTAATAATTACCAGAGTGTCATGTTTCTTTCCTTCTATTGTTAAAACCACGAAGAATACGACCAGAAATGTTTGAAAAGACCGTCTTATGTCCATACCTTCAGGGAAAACAAAAATAAGTACACAGAAAAAAAATAGAATGTACAATGTCCATTTAGATTGAGTAGAATGTGTCTTTGAGACACCAAGAAAAAAAAATGCTTTGGTCGTTGTTGGTTGATCAATAAGTATTTCAAATGGCCTCAACTTGGAGGATCAGTCTTGAGAATTCCCTTTGTGTTTGGCAGCGTCAGAGCCTTTCGGCAGGAGGATACTTCGGGTCATTTTCTAATTTTTAAAAAAAAATCTGCAGCTGTTGAAACCTATGTCAAAGGAAGCTTCCTAATATTCTTATTTTCGCGCTCGCAAAAGCTCTCTAAAATAAGTGAAGGCTCTTAATTTCAAAGATTTGGCTGCCCTGAAAAAGACATTCTGTTGAGGCTTTTGCAAATAGCCTGATAGAGCTGATCCAGCTTTTACCATTTCGATACCTTGCGTCAGAATTTAAAGAAAAAATCCTCTCCATCTCGCAAACTTACATTTGGATCAATACTAATAACTAAACGGCTTCCAAAATATCTATCTCAGCACCAATTTATATGATATAACCTGTTAATTGCAAAGTTTTTCCCTAGAATAAGTTAGGACATCTTAAATAGAAAAGTGGGCAAATAAAATTGTCTTATAAAGATAACGAAAAAAAGGGGCAGCCAAAATTCGACTCGCCGCTCAGAGTAGCAAATAACCCCGAGAATTGTTATAAAGTTGCTGTAACGTGTTCAGTGGACCCTTTTTTTTGTATGTTGAATGGACAGTTAAGAGAAAGTAGGTCTCACTTACCGGAATTCAAAATTATCGGTGCTGGAAAGTAAATTTCTTCATTCAAGTGCGTGCAAAGTTGAAAGCGCTACAGGGGACGGATTCAGGCTGAATCTTGTCTTGGCACCAGCCTTTAGTAAAGCTGTTAAAGTAGACTAATTCTTATGTCAAGCACGTTCAAGACCTAAAGTTGCAGGAAATTTGAATTTTAATACATATTTTCTTCCAAACCAAACAGTTGCTATCATCAGCTTTGTAAGGTAAATATTAAAACACTTATTCTTTACAACAAATTCGTTATTATGAATTGGTTACTTCGCTTGAGCAAAGATCGAAAAATCCAACTCAAATTTTCATTTTCAAAATAGCGACACTAGAAAAACAGGATTTTAGCAATTTTTAGGCTTCAATTTTGCCATCGCCGGTGAAAGAAAAGGCGTTTGGTTTAGTTTAATGATGGCATAAATGATCAGATTGATACTTTGAAAAGCATACTGAGTGGGCAATAATTGTTTGTTCAATACGAATAGCAAAGAAAACAAATTAGACAAAAATCCGGTTGCAGAATTGTATCTAAATTTTTTAACTCAATGAAAATCCTTTAGTATTAAGATATTTTTTTAGCGTTGAAGCTTAAAATGAAACCCACAAAGAATGCTATGAGACTGAATCTTGATAAAATTGTTGCTAAAGGAGAAAGATTCACTGCAATCCTCACAGAAGTTAATTGGAGTATCGGATGTTATGGTTATCTGCTCCTATTCTAAGTAAATGAAACTGGTTAAACAAGAAAGGAAATTGGTTTTCTTTTGACAGAAAACTGTTCCCTGAACGGAAGGATTCTTAATTCAAAAACAACATGAAACTTTAAGAAGGGATCAATGACGCAGAAGATGTACTTAAAACCTAAGTCGAAACGAGTTAGTATCAATTGCGCCTTTACCATGCATATGTATGCCATGAAGGTTTTTAGACTTTTTGTCTAAAAGTGTGATTTACTCTTTCAGACTTAAAAAAATTACTCGTGCTTAGAACAAAGTTAAAAAGGTCAGATCTGAAATATCCGTCAGCAGTGATGTTACTCTCCGGCGACAGCAAATGTTTCCTTTCTTTTGAGTTCCGGCTAATTTCGTAACTAACATTGCGTGTGGCTTACCTTGTCTAACACGCCTGTTTTTTCCTAATTTGTTTTCAAGTTCAGTATTTTACCTTATTTTGTTATTCCAGAATACTTACCCAGGGAAAAAAAAGGAAGTACTGGAGCAAGGAGATAGCATCTAAATGAAATGAGTGACGCAGATTTCCTCGCTAGCTTTTAGGTTGAGAGTTGTTTGAAAGGAATATTCGTATATTTTTGGTGAAACAAAGATGTAATTATTTCAACAGCTGTGCAAAAATTGAATAGAAAGGAAAAATTGGTTCTCAGTGTCACAAAAAACTACCTAGCCATTGTGTTAAGATGTAAGGTGTCGTCCATTGTTTGTATTCTCGTCTGTCGTTTCTGTAATCTTGCCATTCCTAAAACTAGAAGATTAATTAGCCGATAAATAGCCACTTAACTTGAAATTTTGACTACCGTTGCAAGCTAAAATCGAATCATCGTCGGTTATTTTGTCGTATTGAAAGCATGATACACCTTTGACCTGGAAATTATATAAGCAAGGATGATATATATTCTAAAAAAGCTCGAAAAATGTAAGTACCTGTGTAGCATTATAAGGTTTCTTTAATTTCAGTTAATATCAGTTTCGTTTATTGCATCATGCTGACTTAATAAAGAATCACCATTATACAACTACACGATCAAAAGTCCAGATTCGATTCATTTTCTTTTCAATATTGCTTATGACTTTTTCCAAGTTTTTTCGTCTTGATAGATCTTGAAAGTTCTGCAAATACAAAAAGCAAAAGAGGAAGTGATAAAGCGATTCCGGCCGAGAAGAATCGTTCTTTTAGTCATCATGGATTTGTGCCAATTTTTCTTTAATATTAATTAGCAGATGGAGCTAACAAAACGTAATACAAAATGAGCAACGGAGCGCTGGAATGGAATGAATTTTTTTCAAACTCCTATGCACAAGGTGACGTTTCGTGAATGTTCACGTCGTGTCCATCACGCGTTTTCAGCCTAGTGTATGCACCGTTTTCAAAGCTTTGCGTTGTCCCTGCTGAGTCTCTGTATTTTAAAATGAATGGCATGTGTCAATAAAATGATGGTCGTTCTCACCTTTCTTCTCACGTGGTGAATCTTAAACCAACTTCTCAGCACGTGCGTCATTATTATCATATGACATCATGACGCGCTTCTTACGAAATGGGAATGGGAATGGAAATTCTGGCTCAGGCCTTGCTGTGGTCAGCGGGATCGTGAAGAACAAAGGCTCTGTCGACGGTTGAACCGCTGTATGGGGTAGTAACAGGGAGAAAATACTTTCTTTTTTACAACTCAATCAACCAAAAATAACAGAATGTGAGACAAACAAAAGGAACAAAGGAAAGCAAGTAGAACATAAAAGCAAAGGCGTTTAAATAGAGGAATGATCGAGGCATGTCAAAAATAGGACGCGAGGAGAGAGAGAAACGAATAAAAAATATGAAGTATGGAGTGTGTCAAGGCCTTAATACCGAAACTAACTTGGAGTGCACTTGGGGCAACATCTTCCGGGAATTGGTTCAGCGATTCCATCACACTCTGGGCAATAGACTAAATTGCAATGAGCTGACGAATCTTTACAGGTACAATCATAGCAGGTTTCGGAATTCACGCGCTTGGCCCAGGTATCACCATCATTATCACAAGCTAATAAAAATATAAAAATATATTAAATTCCATGCCACTTTTACGACGTAAGACTTCTAGCTCTGATTATAGTTAGGGGGATAATTTAACCGACAGGAAGAACACTATACTCCTATAAACCCACCTACTTTTCTTAAACAACGTGTAATATTCTTGCTAAGGAGCGACTCCCATAGACAACACAGTAATTGTCCCTAGTAAACTCAATTAAACCCACTATTAACTATAAATTAGCTCACCACCGATGCTAACACAAAGTTGTCTCCAAATCTTCTTGAAAGGAACAAATTTCTACAGTAGCTCTCTCTCGGTATAGCCTGCCAGACATTCATGTATAACAAACCGGTTTTGTCATATCATTTCTGTGGTTTGCTTACAGTCAAGTTTTCGTTTTAGTCACTCCTCTACTTTTTAAGGTAAACTTTATTACAAATCTTTGTTACTCTGATCTACTTAAAATAATATTTCGTCTCTTACGGCATCGAGGACAGCATATTCCTTCCTCTCCGGTCATCCAGTTGTTGCATGCCTCTATTGGCATACCCAGTCCTATGTCGCAATGGTGGTAATGACATTCACCTATAGATCCATGGAAACAGATACAGGATGTGCAACTAGCGCTCTCTATCGGGTGAGTGATGTTGTGATAAACGATTTCATCTCCATGGCACGGGGCTGTAATGAACAGTCAAAATATAGAGTTAAGTGCTACAGGAAAAATATGTAACAGCTTATAATCTGTCAACAACGAAACGTTTTTTTAAGACGAGTTTCAAATTTAATCAAAAGCCGAGATGGGCGGTGCGCAAGCGAGTGGCGTGTAGGCGAGGAATTCATTCAATCGCAGTCGCCCACGAGGTAGTCCAAACTCTAAACCCAAATCATGGAGAAATACCCTTTGATAAAACTCAGTCAAGTTTCAGAACATGTCTTAAAAGAGAAACATACTCTCGTAACTGCATCTTGAGATCCCAAAGAGTGGCTTACGTGTTCGAAAATCTTCTTCAAATGTGCTAACTCTAGACTCAACAACCAACATTTTGAAAACAGCTTATCAACCTGGGCCCACACGCGCGACCAGAATGCACGATTCTCGAAAGGCTTTTAGTCTGGTCATAGGTAAAAGTTCAGTTTGACTCAAGATCTCTTTTTTTGTAGTTGCTGATTGTTCAAACAGATTGCTGTTAGATGAAAAAAGCGATTTTCAAAATGGCGACGGCCACTGGCCAATGTTTGGGCTGTGTGGGGGCAATTTCCGAATGACAAATCTAAATGCGACTGATCATCTCACCCTTTAAAAAAACCCTCTTTTTCATACTTTCAAACCTATTTTATCTTTCCTCTCCTTACAGTTCTTACAGCTCGGAATCTTGTTTGTAACTGTGCATGCCTACTTACCAGACCTTCGTGCAACGGATCCCTGTGTTGACACATGTTGAAAATTAACAAAATACACGTTTAAGTGAAAAATAACATTGATGTCATGAACCAATCCCGGAAGTAGCTGCTTTATTGTGGCATGGAAAGTAGGAGGGAAAAAAGGGCACGGACTCCTGAAAAAGTTAGCTTTACTTTTCGTGGAGGAATGAGATTATCTAACCAACTTTCTGCTTCAAGAGTGCTGTTAACCGAATTATTGCTTCTAAGCGTTCGCTTTTGCTGTTCCGAAGCATTTCTTCCGGTACAAAGACTCTCGTTTGGCTGAGTAAAGGCACTGAAATTCCAGTGTCTATAGTGCTCTGATAGAAACACCCATAAAGGCGTGCCATGGCAATTGAGAACAAACCCAACGATTGTGAGAGTTGTTTAGTCAGTAACGGAGGTATACTTAGTAATAAAAAATAGCATTTATTCCGAATATTTTCAACAGCAGTCAAAGTGATGCGTTTTCAATTACTAAAGGAGATACAAGAACAGCATCGTACTCAACTACTTACCTCGCCGACGGAGCGACTCTCCAGAGTCATAAACAGACAGATAAAGAAAACAACCGCTATGATGAATTTGACAGCCATTTTTGTACCTCGTGTGCAGTCTGAAAGGAGCAGTTCACATTCTGTTGAGTGGTTGTGGTCATTTCATTTTTTTGACTAAGGTTGCCTTTTACAAGATCTTGGTATCAAAAACCAGCACAGCTCTAGACGACTGGTAATTTTGTCCACGAATAAGTAACTGGGTTTAGCTTAAATTGAAGTTTTGTGTCGCAGCGGTTGTGTACTAACCGAGAAGAATGCATATCGTTTACCCGGCTGTGGGGCGGACATAAAATACTCAATTTTGGTACAGCCAAACCTCTACTATCCGGACCTTCAGTTATACGGAATCTTCGATTATCTGGACTAGTTTCTGGGGTCCATTTTTTTTATGAATATCAGTTTGCGATCCGTAAGCACTTTTTTCCCCTAAAACAAAGCCACGTGTAAAGAAACTCTCGTTGGAATTGAATTTGTTCCGCTTTTCGGAACTAATTCAATTTTTTAAACGCGTTGAACCTGTATCTTCATTTATAAAAGTAGTCTCTTTTAGCTACATTATTGTAGGCTTGAGCGAATTTCAAATAATACTAACCGAGTGTCATTCCTAACTTCAACAGACCAATTTTCTTACCTTCGACTGTTAGCTAGGAACAATTACTAATCCAACGGTCTGTAGCGTATCCCTGTCCAACGATAAGTGAACTTAACGACCTATTAAGCAGGCAATAAGGGTAAAATTTGTTAAGCAGAATGACCAAAATTAATGATAATAATTAATTGAAATGACCTCAATTAATTCTCGATAGCCATATGGTTTGACAAATTTTAGTAGTTTAAGAGGTCAATGGTCTGACTGACTTGTTCTAAGACTCGTGCAGTGTACGATGTATCGAAAGAATACACTAAACGACACACGAATAGCTTTGTGGTGACATTTTCGCAATACTGAATGTCAAAACAGCTTTGGAGGTAAAATGTATAAAACTGAACTTTCATCAGACAAATTGCAGAACGTCTTTGTCAATAGAGAAAACTAATATTTATATTCACTGCTATCATATCAAAACTTGTCTCATTTATTCAAATCGTAAATTAACATGATAAATTTAAGTTCGTTATTTCAAGCGAGCCGGAGGATCGATGGATGAAAATCAACTTATACTACTAGTAAAAGACTTTACCTAAGTTATCACGATCCTTGCAACCATGACCACCCTTAATCTTATTAACAGGAATTTAATGTTTATGAAGCGAAACGTAACTCACCCCTGTTTTATCCTTTTGTTTCGGCAATCGGTTTTTAACGAGTTTTCAAACTGTCCATCAAAAAAGGATAAGTGCTGAAACGATTAAACATTGAAGGTGTAATTTAAAATTTGGCTTTGTTTCCAATTCAAAGTCATCAAGAATAAAACAATTTCCTTGTCTATCGAAGAGACCTCGATGAGAGAAATTAGAAATTTATGAAATGGGAGAAGGGAAAGTCTGTAGCCACATTTACAGAATATCTCCTGCACATAGCGATAACATCTATCTTATACTCTTTGTCAATCCAATTCATAACGAGCAACTAGATCAGTAATCGTGGAAAGCTGTTTAGTCTTGTTCTACCACAATACCTCAGTTATTATTATGATTCATCTTTTCTCATAAAGGTCCGTCGTTCATAATAAAATGTTGAGTTGCTTTTTTTTGAAGTAGAAAATTTCTTTCGAATAGGATAGGGTCATAAATCTTAGTTTATGGTAATTTTTTAGGTAGAAAACCCTTTAAAAGGTAAGGAAATTCGTTTGTTTTCTTAAACTGTTAATGGAAAAATTTCGCACAAGCCATCCGACCATGAAAATGTAACTATAATAAATTGAAAAAACACGATGACTTGAACGGAAAGAGAAAATTTTAGGTATGTCAAGAATAAAAGGTTCTTTGTAATATTTTTTCTTCAGAGTGCAAGAAAAATTGAAAAGTATGACGGGGTCTGCTGTAATAAGAACTTGCGTCTCAAACCTTTTGATTTTAGGCCAAGGTCGGAAGTTTCACCAACTGAGCTGGGTCGTATACCAATTCCTTGGGTACATACAACTGGTAGTGTTGAATGAAAGGGTCTTGAGTAGTGTTAGAGAAGGTGAGGAAAGACGTTAAGTCATGAACGCTGTCATGAATAGGACACAGAAGTTAAACATTGGACAGGAGCGTGGGACAACTGAGAAAAAATGAATTACTGATAATGACACGTTACTATTGTAGCTACAAAAGGGAATTTATTCCACGTACGAGAACATGGTCAACTTAAACAGGGTAACAGTTTTTTAATCATCGACCAGTTTTATGAAAGACTGAGTACTTTCCGTGTTACTGTAAGTTCAAAAGAAGGAAATTTCTTTACCTTTGTCATTGAAGGCTATAAATTGTGGGAATTTTACAGGTTCATTTTAATTTCTGTCTATCAACTGATTGAACTCATTTCAACGAATCTTCATGCCTGAAAGAGATTTACAATGCGTGGTGACGACTTGATGTTTCAGGCTGTAAATATCGGCATTCAATTTTTTTGCCACAACAGAATAAAAAGGAGAGAAAACTAAAAAATTACTTTATTTAACTGACCAGGTGACAGAAATTTGCAGCAACTAATAGCAAAAAACAGAACAAAACAATCAATTATGGAACTTGCTTTAAGAACTCATGGTAAGGAAGAGATGTTATCTTAAGAGAAGATAATTCTGATATCAACTTTTTTGCGGCAAATAAATCGTGCAATTATTTTGCAAATTTTCCTAAATCACAGTCTCATTGTTTATACCTTCCTGACATAGTCGTTATCTTGATTCGTGGAAACTAAAAACCGATCAATTAATCGAGAAGATTATTACACGAGATGAACAGATTGTTAAACCAGAAATATTACAACAGAAACCTCATTTAAATCTCCTTTTTAACGCCACAGTGGAGATTGGATTAAAGTCATATTTTTCAATGCCATAACTGATTACAAAAGCTTTATTGTTTTTTACCCTTATCTTAATAAATACGACTGAGAACGCATCTGTGATAATTTGTGGAATGAGTGTCTAGACACTTAAATTGCGCCTTGCAAGTATGTTTATATGGAGTTTGGGACTTTAATTTAGGCTCAGTTTGTTTACGGTCATGCGACTGGTTCCATGAATATGGCAATGTTTTGATTGACAACCTGAGATGAAAAGATGAGTTTAACTTAAGCGCTTAGGAATTTTCGCTTTTTGATTCATCAGTATGTCCAACATTTGGGCGTCTACAGCGGTATATAAAACTCAAGAGTAGAAATGAAAAAGTAAATGATTGGACCTAATATATCATTCAATTTGTTATCTAAATTTTAATCAAACGGTTTACGGAAGGCAATAGATATTAATGACGACCTTTGTTTTAAAAGGCATTCAGAACTGACTGTATGCGATGAGCCTCCGCTAGAGATAAGGCTCCGCTAACGATCAAGCGGCCTGGAGTTAAATGAGTTGTTTGGATTAAAATTTTACTAAAGAAAGCAACTGATCTTAACTTTTTAATCAAAATTATGCTTCTTCATTTCCTGCTAACAAATTTAAACATTTTTAAATTAAAGCTACTAATGTGTTGTGTTAATAAACGTCCATTTACACTATGATTAATTTTCATGAATGCCAGGTCAGGTCCAGTGTAAAAGTTATAACTTACGTCCAAAATGAGAGCTGTCTGATATTTGTTCAACTGTCAGTAAATGACTCGTGACAAAAAAATAAATGAAAAAACAAATTATAAACCATTCCATCTAGGTTCGTTTGTTCTAAATCACTTTTCAAAATAGACGATGAACAGGGAAATAAAAGAAAATAAAAAGAGGCTTAGGAGAGCAGAGGAAAGAGTTGTCGAGTGTTGATATCTTCTCACTAGTTATTGTAAAATTTATTTTTCTTTTCTAATTTTTTCTGTACTTTATATGATGCAAGATTTACTTCCTGACTGTAGGGATTGTATTGATTTAATTTGAATCAAACTCAAACGCGATTACCGGCCAATTACCAGTGGACTTTATATCAATTACTGCAGTAGAGAATAACAATGTATTTCCGTATTTCCATTTCTGGTTACTCTTTATTTCCATATTCTATACAGTTCTCACAAAAGTGACTTGTTTAAGCTCGATTCATCATCGCGATTCTTCCGCAAAATGCGGAATAAAATTTTTCACGACATCATGCACACCTGTAAGTAAATGGCCGAAGAAAAGCATTACCTGCAAAAAGAAAAAGATTGTCTGAGATAAGACTTACACCAAATCGATCGTTTACAAGCATAAGACTGATTGGTAACCAACAAGGGCAGTGTATCTCGCAAGTTTTACTCCAACAGAGCATTTTTGTTCCTACGTAATTCTAGACATATATGAGGTTCCGTTACATATAATTACCTAGGTTATCATCGATTTCAACGGTAGACTACTGTTGTCTTTATTCCAGTACTTGCCCTCTCAAAATTCCACCCACCCTCTTCGTTAAAAATGAAATCCTGTGATAAGTACAAAGAAAAAAAAACAACAAACGAAACGTCTCCATTATGTCTTTTATCGCAGACATGAAGAGAATGAGTCTTATAGATCTATATTTTGTCAGTACCTGTTGTTATCGGTCTTAATCCGTATTGGCATCGAAACCAAATGGAAACGGAAGTGAAGATTCTTCTTTACCTTCCTCTATTGTAAAGATGGGTGGTGGTGTAGTTACCGCTGTTGCCCAAGTTTCTGAAAGGTTTGTTATAGGGGAACAATAAGCAAATACGTATGCGCAGGGGTTGAGGTGGTTGCTTCTTTGTTTAACTATAGATGGACCACTTTTAATTATTCTTTATTCACGTTTTCACAATCTCCTTTGAAAGAAGACTTTATGATTAGAAAGGGTCATTCGGCTTGAACAATGGCTATCCTGATCCACTTTGGTCCTCTTCTAAAGAAGTTCTGGGGAGGGGGGGAACGAAGAAGGGCAAAATTTGAGTGGCTCTGAGTTCGCCATTTAGTTGTGATCTTAACTCAAACGAAACAATGAAATTGTTTTACATCATGGAGTATATAAACTAGACCCTTGTTGGCGCAATGAAGAAAGAATTGCTTTCACGTTCGTTTCGTATCATGAGCCTGGACTTCCAGTGAATCTGTTGTTTTTGCGGTTACTTACTGCACTGAGGACAGCAGTGATCCGGCTTCATTTCAGTCTCTATGCATCCTTCTGGTTTGAAGCATAACAAAAGATTTTATTTACAAAACTCTGTACCGTCTGCCCTGCATTCGCATAAAGAACAGATTCCTTCCTTCTCACCTTCCTGCAAACGCACTAACCTCTCCCATTTTTCGCCAACTTTTCTGTCATCGGAACAACCTGTAAATAAAAAACGTCAATGATGGTCAATGCTCATGGATCGCCATGGGTTATTCTTTAGAGAAATTAGATCAAGAATAAATGTAAAATGGGAATCCGCAGTCCTTGCAGAAAATAATTAATTGGAAGGCGAAATACAAAACAGGAATGAGAACAAGGAATTCGGAGGTTTGAAAGTTATTTTCTCTTCGTAACTAAAGAATCGAGGGGAAAAGAATTTGGTGCATAAGGGGAAAGTAAAACATCATCTGGGGTATTTGTTATTAAGAGTTTGAAGGTCTTAAAGAAAACAAAAGTGGATAAGGCGGACATTTTTACTGATTGATAATCTATAAGTGATGAACTCTAATAGAAATATTGTAAAATCAATGCAAAGAGCAAATTCTTTATGAGGTTTTCACAGTCTAAGCTTACTTCATGTGAAATAAAGGAAAGTGAAAAGCTGTGAAAAGCATGTGAAAATATTGTCCCTTTCATGTAATGTTGTTGTTTTTGTTGTTGTTTTTTTTCTTTTTTAGGCCTTGATGTAATAAACTTGGACGTTCTCTTTGCGCTTAAGAGTTTCGATAGCTGTCACGGCTGGACTGACCACGAATCTTGAATTTAGGCCCCACCACGGAGCACCTGAGTTAGAACTCAGAATGAGAGAAACACAGTTGATGTGGGGATCGAAGAAATGGGTAAATTAAAGGTCTCCTACAGCACGAGTACGTGCTGAAGAAAAGAATACAGAAACTAATAACAAGAACAAAAAGACAAACTGTTCACAGGTCAATTAATGTTAAGTACATTAGAGACATATGTCGATAGAAAGAGAAAAAAAATACAGAGCTCGCCTTTTTGTTGGCATTCAGGGCAGCAACTATCAGGACGCCATACATAGTCTTCCATCTTACACTGATTAACTACGTGACAACTGTATAACTTTGTGCATTTTTTGAGTTTCCCTCTAATGCATTTGCACTCATCGCAGCGATCATACTTTGGAGCCACAGCGATGTTAACGGTTGCGCCTGGTTCGTATTCCTTGTTCCTATATGTTCACCCTCCTGATCCTAAAATGTGAAGCAAAATACCAATAATCATGTGGGAATTATGTTCCATTTCAAGAGAATTATAATGAGTCATTGCGGTTCTAGGTAAGAGGCAGTATCTTTAAGATCTCCATACCCAGGTTTAGTCATACTTGGCAACTTTCCTAAAAGGTGTTTCTTGGTCAGGTTATTTTCAAGGTGCATCTCGTTTCGAATCATTTAGCAATGGATATTAGCGATAATCCAGCATTGACGAGTTTTCCAGATGTCATCCGTTCACTGTTTACGCAACAAAAGACTGACGGTCACCGTGTGGTCATTTCCTAAGCGCTGCGTTTTGGTCATGCAGCTTACCGCACTTGCCTTTGTAGTAGAATGGTTGAAACATTGATATGAAATTCATGAACTGTTTTCAATCTAATGATTTTTCTTCGTGTACCTCGTTCTTTCATCACCAAAGACTTGTTATGGGTCTCAATATCAGAACTGTCCTGAAAAAAAACCAAATAAGTGAACATTAATTTGGTCCTTCTCTTCCCTTGCCTTTATTCATGACAACCTGAGTTATCGATTTAGGTGCAAGCGAACTGCTATACGGAAACGATAAAGTCAGTTGTTGAAGAGAACTAATTACCGCAACAATACTTATTCTATTCAGCCCGGCAAGTTCCTCCCCAAGAGACAGTAATGTTATCTATGTAAACAGCCCAAGCCAAACTATCTAAAGTAAGAGAACGATTCCGTATTTTTCATGAATCACTTACCTCTTTAACCGATCGAACGACCCTCGATAGAAATTAAAATACAAACGAAGATGATAAGCACCACGTTGAATTTGACGGCCATCTTCCTACTTCTTGTGCACTCTGAAAAATTTAATTGACAAACAGTCTATCAATCTGGTTGACTTCGTTCAGATTAAAAGTGTCTATTATTATTATATTCTTTATTTATGGGTAGTTTCTCTTTGTTTCACTTTGCTATCATATTCATACCTCTAAGGAATTCCTTCTACATTTAAATGCACACTTAGTATTTTATCTTGATTTGATCTATAACGGACACTAAGCAACTTCGAAACGTCGTCGTTTTAAAGAAATTTTCGGCATTTTAAACCTAGACGGTTTTAAGTTTTCCGCTTTTCTCAACGTTTTTTTAATTCAGTTCAATACCATTCGTAGTTGGATGGTACCATTCAATAACAAGTTGAAAGACCCCTCTTTGATACGTCCTTTCACCCCCCCCCTCCCTGAACACAAACTCTGAAACAATATTTTCCCAGTGATTCGTTTGGGCTCAATTTAAATATGCAAGTATTTGAAAGCCTCTACTAGCTTCCGTTTTTGTTGATTTTCAACCGAAGACATATATTCTGTATATTGTATTCAATACATCGATGTTCTGCCCCAAGGGAATTTTTGCGAAATAAAAGCCTACCCAGAAGTCAAGGAATTAATAAGCCCTACCCCACCCCTGAACTTACAGAAGTGTATTAAATATCAATTATGGAGACTCATTCGATGTCTGAATTCAAATGTTTAGCTATAACGACTTTTTAAAAGGATGAAAAGGCAAAATAAATTTATTCTTCCAGCATAACTTGTAAATGGTTTGTTTCAATTGCTCCTTGCACTTAACAAGAGATTTTCCACAACAGTTTCTCCTAGATTCAACATGTGGCATGCACATTTTGTGCTGTTACAGCATTATAGGCTAAAATTGCTGTCAGATAATATTGATTACATGTTTGAAGACTCAAACAGTGGCTTTCCTTCACTTCTGCATGATTGCTATATTTTTTATGGTATTTTGAACGACCCTTCTTAAATCATCTTGACTTATGATGTTCTCAAATTTTGGAGATTTGTAGCGTCTTACCTTATCCTTATAAGAAGTTATTGACAATAACAAGGTTTTACAGCAAAATGCAATGGTGAAATATGAGGAAAGTAATAATGAACCTCCTGAGCAGCCCTGTTTTAAACTTAGGTTGACTTCAAAGGATGCTGATAAATGCGAGTCAGTGTCGTTTTAACAGACGTTTTTCTGAACTTCACCTGATATGGTGTAGCCGGAGAAAAACTAATCCAGCGGTGTTCGCGTTTTCCTGTTAAGCGTACTGAGAGGCAGACTGAATTGGTTACAAAGTTTAAAATAAAAATTCAACTCATGAAATTAAAACTTCAATAACTGAAATAAAATACCCAAGTATAAAGTTCTCATTAACGATATATCTGATAAATTACAACTCTTTGGAACGTCAAGAACTTCGCTTAATTCAAGATATTGAAAACGGTATGATGCTAGCGTAATGCATTGTAAGTATTCGAAAGACGCCAACTTTATTGCTTTGTAAACAAACGTCAAAAAGAGGTCAGGGGCCTAGATCAATAGTTAACTTTACAAAACACATTAAATTTGTTTTGTCAGCAGGAAAAAATGCGATTTCATTTTGTATAATTAATTATCAGAATTTAACCTAATTTCGTTAATTTCTTGCTTAAATTTAGGTTTCCACCGAGTAATTATGACCCGTACAGTCATGATCACTGTTTATGCATTAAAAAAAACTAAATGGCGTCAATTGCTCTCAAAGCAATGACTTCGAATCTGGGACATCTGTCCAACTATATCTGACGCCAGCATCCCTTTGTTTCTTCGGTCATCTTAGCGATTTCCGAAGCGGAGTATTTAACGTCTCTTGAAACAAAAGTACTGCCTGAAATGGTCAAACACCGAAGGTTTGAAAAAAATGGCTATTTTAATTTACGTTCGATTAAGCAGTGAAGAATAAGGCCAATTTTTCCCGTCCAAGAAACTAGGCGAAGAACGAAATTTCAAGCATTTCAGTATAGATGAACTGATATGATTAGTCTGTAGCTACATAATATATGCCTAAAGATTAAGGATGGTTGCCACATTAAACTCTCTCTCCATCTTAAAGTTAAAATTATTTACGATCCAACCAGCTAATGGTGGTTGACGACGGTTGTTAAGCCACATCAGCTTAAAATGACAGTTAAATATTAAGGCTGGGCTCCAACTAAATAAACATATGAGTGTCGCAACAAAACATAGTCTACAGGTTCCACAAGCGTCGATACGGTTAACGATGGCTTACAAGATTGATACATTAAAAAATGTATACCACCGGAAAGCCTCCAAATTTTCTGACCGCAAAAGGATAAAAACTATAGTGTAAGGTGTTTCACCTTTATGCAAGCAATAGCACAACCAAAGAATCCTGACGCTTTTTGATTAGCATCGCAAGTCTAAATCGTAACGTGTATTCTCTATGGACTAATACATGATATTAAGGCATGTTCAATCATATGAAATTTCGGCGTTAAAATACGACAGAAATACTAAAATATCTGTGCTAAACTCGACCTACCCAAGACTTGATAGTGAACCATCTGTCCTCCACGTAAATGGATCTAATTCATGTTTCCCAAAAGTAGTCATCTCAGAAAAAATTAACGGTTTTTAACATATATATACAGCTCAATACTTCAAAAGAAATTGAGTTAGCAATTTTGAAGACCGTGAAAATTAGGCTTTTGTTATTTAGGAGAACAAACTTTCTTCTTTCTTAAAGTCATAGGCGTCCATAGAGATCTCTTTCTTCGATTTGGCAAATTTAACACATCTGAATTGTTAATTAAAAAGTGACGACCAAAGTGTTCACGACTTGTTCTATTTGGGTATTTTGTTGATCAAAATACATTTCCATCCTTCGAAGCAAGAAGAGGAACTGATTTTTTAGAAAAATACAAATATATATATTCGTATTAATTATATTTTTTGGCTTTTCCACAGCATTGATTCCGTGCAAGAACACGAAAACAAAACAGACAACACAATTAAATTCTTTCATCATAGTAGAGGTAACTAGGAGATCTGAACAATAGAGCATATCATTCTGATATCGAATTGATGGAAGGAAGAAAACCGGCAAAAATTATAGCAGTGAATGATTGAATATCACGAAAGCTTTTAAATATCTGCACATGATACCTTAAGACTGAAAAATGATACCATGATCATTTGAGAGATGACTGCAGAGTTACCAGTCAACTCAAATGCACCTCGTGGATATTTCATTGTGCGTGAGGCTGGACCCATTCTTTGATTATATGGCCACGTGTTTCCACCATGTCGCGTTCTGATTGTTCACAGCAGTGGAGATAGTCGTCAATAATGTTCGCTCAGGATGTCCCGCTTTGTTAAAGCATCACAGCATAAAATGTAGTCTGACAAATTTCGACTGTGCGTAAATGAGGAGTAGAAATGAAATGACCGCCGGACCATTCTTTGATTATATGGCCACGTGTTTCCACTATGGCGCGTTCTGATTGGTCACAGCAGTGGAAATAGTCGTCAATAATGTTCGCTCAGGATGTCCCGCTTTGTTAAAGCATCACAGCATAAATATAGTCTGACAAATTTCGACTGTGCGTAAATGAGGAGAAGAAATGAAATGACCGCCGGACCAGAACAATATATCTTGATCTGCAAAGTTTTTTTTTTTTTTTTTCTCTCAAAAAGCAATAGCAGACAAAAGAAGATAGATGGGGTATCAAAACATTTGCTTAAATTTTATGGTTGACTCGTTCCCAGCGAAACATTTAAGAAACTGCCAAAAATCATCCTGATGCAGTTTAACCACTAAAGTAACTGATACTGGATGTAATTTAAATTAAAATGACTGCAGCAAACAAGAAGATGCGTTTTCAATTTCTTTTCAAGTTTTATTTCCAGGTTTAATCGAGTCTCGCGAACACATCCATTCAACGATCTCTTATTTCTTAGAACAAGTCATTAGAATCGTCATGCTCACTCTTCCTTTGAAAAACTAGAAGCTCTCAGAGATCTCAACACTCGAAGTAAATCGCATCTGCGAAGAAACAACATTTGTCGAGCCTGGTCTTAAGTTTCTTTGTCTTCATTGGAAAGGTGGAAACGGCGGTGGTTCTGTAGGTTCCGTCAGTATAATGGTAAAGCTTGGTGCATCAGTCGTAGTTGATTTGGCCCAAGTTTCTGAAAGGTTTGATAGAAAAAGAGCAATGAACTGTCATCTTAGGACACTGGCTACATCAATTCCCCAAGTACTTGCGAAAATGAGGACAACAACTATATTTGCCGAGAACAATGTGTACGGAAACTTTAACAACTCTACGAAAGAAGTAAAATCGTTTTTCTCATGATGCAGTCAGTTTCGACGAGGATCACGACTTTCATCTACGAACTGCTAATCTTCTTCACATTAACTAGTTCTGCGTCGACGATTGACTTCATCTGCTTTAAAAACTTACTCTCTCTCTATTTGTGACGTTATCAAGGACCTATAACCCAGAGAGCAGTCTCTCTCTGAGACCAACACATACGCAACTTTTGCCACCTCATGGACTCATTGGAACTCTGCATATGGGACTTCTTGTTGCTAGGTTATTAATTGTTCACATTTTAATAGCAGTTTTCAACGCAGTACAGCAGCTTAAAAAGTCCACATAACCACAACCTGAAAACCGGTCATTTGACATTATATTGAATTTTTTTCAAGGTTATTTAAATGGACCATTTTCTCGCCTCAATCCACTCTCCTGGCTTACGAAAAGGATGCCTTTTTGCGCTGTTGTAAACTTCCTGTGCTCTAGCTTGAACATGTAGTGATTATTCAGATGTTTTGCTGTGAGTCATCTTTCTTCCTCTTTTTCTCTTATTCCATGCATTTATTTCATTATCATCTCTTTGGTGATACTTACTGCACTGTGGACAGCAGAAGTCCGGTTTTATCTCAGTCTCCAGACACCCTGATATGTCAAAGCAAATGAAACGACTGTCTTGGCAGAACTCTTCGCCGTCTGCTAAACATTCACAAAGAGAGCAAATGCCTTCATTTTGGCCCGTCATGCTTTTTATCCTCTCCCATTTTTCCCCGACCTTTCTGTCGTCAGTGCAACCTGTAAATCAATAACTTCAATATTTAAAGCTTAAAAAGCAATTGGTCAGTTTTGAACGCATTAGAAGAGAGATTCCATTGTCACATACACACCTGGTACACGTGTAATTGACAGAGTAAACTGAATTCTTAATTTTTTTTCCGTTCTTAACTGAAAAAAGCCACTAAACGAAGGCAAGTGGCCCTATTAGTTTTTTTAGGTGAGGAACGGTTGGAGGCCAAGATTCAGGTACTTAAACGCGAAATAAACGAGCAAAAATGGAAAGTGCAGACGATACACAATGATAATAATCTAATTATTGAGTTGAGGTAGTTGGCCTCGATGCATATTTTAAACAAATTAATTTATAGAATTACTGGGGAGTCATACACAGAAAACTGAAAATCGTAGAACTGAGAGTTAATGAAAGAAAAAATTCAAAAACGTGCAAGTGCAGAAACAGAAGACAGAAACAAATAGCAAGAAAAACGAGCATCCCTGCACAGACTCTGTACACACACTAAAACTCAAGGCACACAAGCGAAACGAGGATTGAGAAAGCTATGAACAGTAGGTAACTTACTTTTTCGTTTGCACTCAGGACAGCATTTACCAGGAAGCCATTCATAATCCTCAACCTTACACTTCAGAAAGCCCACTTCGCAATAGTACAAATTGGTGCATTTGCGGAATTTTCCTTTCTTGGTACATGTGCATCGATCGCATCTTGCATAATCCGGACCCAAATTTATGTCAACTTTTGCGCCCGGTTTATATTCCTTGTTTCTGTATGTACATCTTTTGGGTTCTGAAACGTTATGCAAAACAGTGACAGTGTTAGAATGAGCCACAAAATATTGCTGAAGTCGATGAGGAAGACATGTTGGGGATGTCCAGAGTCAACTTTCCAACCTCAATAACCGCTGATCACCAGTATCCAACTTAAGCTGCTGTCTCTTAAGCTTGCATCGGATTCATCAGCCACACACGTAAGCAATGGACCCTTGAGATGTACTCGGTCATCATCAATGACAAAGGAAGAACGTTAACGACGACTGTCATTCGCTCAAAATGTTCCTGAAGTGCGAAATCTCAATGTTTCACCTTACCTTTACTCCAATCCCACAAATTTGTACTTTTACCTATCTGTATTAGGTTACTATCACTAAAATTACGATAGAATAGTAGTTCGGCTACGCTGGACATATTTTCGTCCATAGTAACACATGACCATGTTGCCATTTCCTGAGCTTGTTAAGTGGAATAACTTATGGACAAGAGACTTAGAGGTGAACTTTACAAGTTCTTAAGATGTTTTATACTTGCCACGTGCATATCGTGCTTGTACCATGGAGGACTCATCCTGGTACTCTGGATCTGAATTATCCTGAAAATAAGAAAACAAATCACAGCTATAAAGTGAGAGAGGGAGCTAGTTTGTTACCAGGAAAATATCCTACTCTGACCATCGCGTAAGCCGAGATTGTATTGTCTTGGTGAATAGAAAGGAGCACTTAAATGATATGATTTAATACAGTCATTGCTTGATGAGCAGCGAAAGCGAATACGTTCAGGACAAAACGCTTATTTGATGTCGGTTAACACGTCATGAAAGATCATCACAGTTTTACTGATATTACCTGAATGGAGTCACGTTCCATATCGCGGCTTATCATTGGGCTAATGGAAACAGCGTATGCCTCAAAGAGTAAAAGACACACCAAAAAAAGCATCTGTAGAAAAGAAAAAGTGTAAAATTCTTTATGGGTTGTTTATTTAAACAATCCTCGGTTTCAGCTGAACCTTTTATCTGAACATTTATTTGTTAAGAGTGTTAAGAGTGGACGAACATTTATTAAATAAAACTTCTCGTAGAGAAAGCCCAAGGCCCACTGATTTTGTAAAACCGTGGTTTAGGTTGTAGAGCTCGTGTTATGACCGGCCCCATGAGTCCACATCATAAGGGATTAAGATAGCACGAGATAAAGAATTCACCGGCCGGTGGAGATTTTATTCTCATCGCCTTTAAATGAAGTTTATAAAGGAAATAATCTGGCCTCAAGGGAAATCATACGACGAGAAATTTCTTAAACTTTTAAGTGATTAACGCTTAAACTGTATTATACAGCAGTAAAAATATTTACTTGAACATTTACAAACTGGTAACACTATCGTGCAGACGTAGCAGTCGCTACTAAATGCAAATGATATGTGAAACCAAACAAGTATCAAGCATTATTTTACTCTAACAAAAAAAGGCCTTCCTGATTGGTCAATGACGAATTCATAAATAGATTACGGGATTTCTGTTTTGTACTCGCTTGTGGGTTAAAGCTTTTAAAGATCAATAAACAATGCTAACTTCAAGAATGTTCCTAACATTCAACTTGGTTTGAGTATTATGTTGTAATGACTGTATTGAAAGACCCTTGATAGGATTGTACTGTATAAATGGCATTAGTACTTTTCAACTGCAAGTCTTGCGTACGTGATCCTTGACATTTGAAGAATCTCTGGAGGTAACAAAAGGTGCTAAGTTCTTCGTTAATCAGACAATAGCATTTATGATTTCCATTTGTTTCAGCAACGGGCGGCTTACTTCATTGTCTGTGAAAATCTAGAAGCCACAAACTTCGCGCAGGCAAAACATACCAAAGACAACACTTGTTATTTAATGTCTGAGTGCACCCTTCCAAGAAACTAATTAGGATTTTGGCATTATGCCCCTTGCATCGAAAACTCTGAGATACCTTCTTCACTTTTCTTAATAGATTTGATGACAAAATTTAGAAATTTTGCCACACAGTTTCGTTTTAGCGAAAAACAGTTTACTTTAATAACTAGTAAATTGATCCTCTCACTGGATTGTTTTGTTATGCGAGAAACAATCCCAGACACATTCTTAGTACACCAACTAAAACCCCTGCCCCTCTCGATGTTGGTCTGCAAGATGGTATGGACGCATCAGCACTTAAAAATATCGTAAGGAAGAGGAGAGGGGCGATTGAACATCATAAACGTTGTTTTAAGAAGTGTCCCAACTAATATTACCTGAGAGTGAAGTTTTGCCAAAGAAACCTAAATGAATACATGTTTGAGTATGAGGTGAACAAAAAACCCTTACATCAGTTGAAAGGGGGTTAGCTTTTTTAAAAGGACATCCTGAGATGATTCTTACAGTAAGAGTTTTGGTTATATCTTCAAGAGGAACTGAACCTACCTTGAATGGTGTACTTGTGGAAACAGATCCTACGCACGGTAACTAAGTGATGTAAAAGCTTCGCAGATTGTCTTTTTATAACAATAGTCTTAGTCTACCTTCAGATAAATATGCAAACTTAAATTGATTTCAAGCTTGGCTGATTATAATGATTAGAAGCTTTTGTTTAGCGCCGTGGTACAGTTTAGATATGTCTTCGTTGTTTAAATTATAATGTTTAACTTTCATTCCATTTCATGGGGCATTAGTTCTGATGCTATTAAATTTAATAGAATAAAAGAAAGACGCGCTTTTTTTTTTTTTTTGATCTACGCTGTGCTAACTGTTCAGCTCTAAAGAATTCACTGAACGAGTCTAAAACCAAATTTTTTTTATTCTGGTATTATACTCTTCATACCTTTGTTAACCTCAAAGGAAACTATGTGGCGGTTGGGTCAAAGTTTGTGTTGTTTTTCTCCAGCTCTCTGTTTGTCGATGGGAGATCCCACGTAGATAATAACCAGAGTGAAATATAACAAATTTTCAAAATTCAATTGGCCTGTATCAGGAGTGATAAATCATCATTGAAATTAAATCGATAAGAAATGAAAATCATTCATGCATTGTTTCTTGGGCATTTAAGTACCAGCGGTATCTCGGCCATACAATGACAACATGAATTAGTCATCGATATTATTCATTCGTGAGTAATTAATCCCCCGAGGTAAACAATCACCCATAATTTCCCCTCGTATAATTGCCAAATTAGAGTCATCTTTCACTTTCTTTGCCACAGGATGAAATTCAGTTAACACGTGCGCACTAATTTATATCACCTGCTTGAAAGGGAAAGTCTGTGCGAATAAAGGCCACTATACAGAGGCGATTAAAACCCTAAACAAACTGTTCATAATTTCACCGCCTCCACATCAAGGTTTCTTGTTAAATCGGCTCTAGACTCGCAGACTTCAAGCCACGTTGCCACATTTAAAACAAAGGGTTTTTTTTTTCTTTTTCTCTTTCATGTATGTTGGTAAAAGGCGCCGCAATGGTTATCACAAGAGAGAATCTTGACAAATTTGCAATAATGATTTAGCCTGAATAATCAGCGCGAAAAGTCTGTTTGAGAAAATAGCAATTATGAACAGACGATCAATATTTCCACGATTTCAAGGCTCGCTTACGTCTAACTGTAATAACGCTATCAAAGAAAACTGATGCAAAAAGCATGTGGAGCTCACCAGAACAAATAACACAGTCAATAAAATAAACCAATTCCTTGCGTTTTAACGTTTATAATTTTTCCTGGTTGTAATTTCTATAAAAGAACATGACATTTGCAGAATACAACAGACGAGAAGTCATCATCAGACAGTAATTTCACTGGATCATCTACAGCTGAAAATAAGTTACAGAAAAGTTAGTTAAGTTCTGTGCAGCTGGTTTTTAAAGATCGATGAACTCAACAAAGATTGACGCTTATCAATTCAGAAGGAATATATGCTTTGAGTTTTTCTTTTTTTTTTCTTTTTGACATAGTGCAGCACTGAAGAGAGTTACGGAAAAACAAAACCAGATCTTATTGGAAAAAGAGTTGCAGTCTGGAAAAATTAAAAATGAAATACTGAAAGAGGTCGAAAGGAAGGAACTGAAATGCTCAATAGAAGCTGAAAGAAGACGATCAACAGGAAAAAAAACTAGACAAGAATAACGGCGTATTCCTGATTACGAACTAAGCAACGGTTTATGAGTTTACCATCTTTACTTCTTGATTTCACTTCAGAAAGGAAATGCAAATGGGAAGGATGGTTCTGTTCTATCCTCCGTTGGTTCGATTGTAAACACCGGCGGAGGATTTTGTGGTTCTGATTAATAAAAGAAAGAAATATTTTGATCAACGAAAAACAAAACAGCTTGATGCATCATTGTTCATTTTAGCAACAAATGAAAATGATCAGTGGTGATATACGCTTTACGGATTCTGGAAAAAATACAACTTGGAGAACTGGACATCAAAGATGAAAGCAAATCTCGGTTTAGCTGAACCTTTAATCTGTATATTTATTTTTGTGAGGAGTGTTAAGAGTGGACGGACATCTATTGCGTTCGACGAAGGAGAACGCGTACTAATCGTGTCGTTTTTACGGAAATCACTCTCGAGGGTTTTATGGACCAGTCCCAAGGGGATCAATCGTGATACCATACGATTTCAGGTATTGGGCACCATTTTGGACTGGCTGGCTGGTTATGTGGCACAAATAGCCTCGATCTCATGTGTAAATGTTTTCTTGACCGCCTTGAGCTGAAGACACCGATCAGCACAATCAGTACGATAAAGAAAATCTTCTACTAGAGATCGAACGAACTTTACTAATATTTGATTATTACTAGTTTAATTAAATTAACCTTCTCATAGAGAAAGCCCAAGGCCCACTGATTGCGTAAAACCGTGGTTTAGGTTGTAAACCTCGTGTTATAACCGGCCCCATCAGTCCATATCATAAGTGGTTAGGATAGAACGTGATAAAGAATTCACCGGCCGGTGGAAATTTAATCCTCATCGCCTTTAAGTTTATAAAGGAGGTAATCTGGTCTCAAGGGAAATCATACGACGAGAAATTTCTTAAACTTTTAAGTGATTAACGCTTAAACTGTATTGTACAGCAGTAAAAACTATTTTTAAGTCTTGTTGTCATTACTCGGGATATTTTCACTTGATATATTAAATATTTACCTGAACATTTACAAACTAGTAGCACTATTGTGCAGACGTACCAGTCGCTACTAGATGCAAATAATATGTGAAACCAAACAAATTTCAAGCATTATTTTACTCTACAAAAAATGTCGTTCCTGATTGGTCAATGACGAATTCATAAATAGATTACGGGATTTCTGTTTTGTACTCGCTTGTGGGCGAAAGCTTTTAAAGATAGATAAACAATGCTAAATTCAAGAAACATTCAACTTGGTTTGAGTATTATGTTGTACTGACGGTATCGAAAGACCCTTGATAGGATTGCACTGTATTAATTGCATCAGGACTTCTTAACTGCAAGTCTTGCTTACGTGATCCTTGACATTTGAAGAATCTCTGGAGGTAACAAAAGGTGCTAAGTTCTTCGTTTATCAGACAATGGCATTTATGATTTCCATTTGTTTTCAGCTACGGTTTGCTTACTTCATTGTCTATGAAAATCAAGAAGCCACAAACTTCGCACAGGCAAAACATGCTAAAGACAACACTTGTTATGTCATGTCTAAGTGCTCCCTTTCAAGAAACTAATTAAGATTTTGGCATTGTGCTCCTTGTATCAAAAACTCTGGGATACCTTCTTTGCTTTTTTGATAGATTTGATGGCAAAATTTCTAAATTTTGCCACTACAGTTTCATTTTAGCGAAAAAACAGTTTACTTTAACAACTAGTAAATTGATCCGCTTGTTGGATTATTGTATCATGCGAGATATACTCCCAGACACATTTCTTGGTGCACTTACTGAAATCCCTGCCCCTCTCAATGTTGGTCTACAAGATGGTATGGACGCATCAGTACTTTAAAACATTGTAAGGAAGAGGAGAGGGGCGATAGAACATCATAAACGTTGTTTTTAGGAAGCGTCGCAACCAATATTATCTTAGAGTGAAGTTTCGCAAAATACCTTGAGAAAGGAACCTCAGTTACATGTTTGAGTGTGAGGCGGACAGAAAACCCTTACTCAGTTAAAAGGGATATCTTTTTTGAAAGGACATTCTAAGATGAATCTTACAGTAGGAGTTTTGGTTATACCTTCTAGAGGAACTGAACCTACCTTGAACGGTGTACTTGTGGAAACAGATCCTACGCACTATAACAACGAAGTGAAGGCTCTGCAGATTGTCTAAATCTACGTTTAGATAAATATGCAAACTTAAATTGATCTCCAGCTGGGCAGATTCAGTATAATGATTAGAAGCTTTTGTTTAGCGCCGTGGTACAGTTTAGATATGTTTTCGTTGTTTAATTTATGTTCGGCTTTCATTCCATTTCATGGGGCACTAGTTTTGATATTTTGAATCTAATTAAATAAACAAGAACACGCTTTTTTTTCTATCTACGCTGTGCGAACAGGTAACGATAGATTGTGACAGCGTTGATGTCACCTGCTCTACCTTTAGTTAAGAAAGCTAACTGTTCAGTTTTAAAGAATTCATTGAACGAGTCTAAAACCAAATTTTTTCTAGTTTTACAATTGCTAACCTCAAAGGAAATTATATGGCGGTGTGGTCAAAGTTTGTGTTGATTTTCAGTTCTTTGTTTGTCGATAGGGGATCCCACGAAGATAATAACCAGAGTCAAATATAACAAATTTGCAAAATTGAATCGACTTGTATCAGAGGTGATAAATCATCATTGAAATTAAATCCATAAGAAATGAAAAACATTCATGCATTGTTTCTTGGGCATTTAAGTACCAGCGGTATCTCGGCCATAAAATTAATTATTGATATTATTCATTCGTGAGTAATTAATCCCCCGAGGTAAACAATCACCCATAATTTCCCCTCATATAATTGCAAATTAGAGTCATCTTTCACTTTCTTGGCCACAGGATTGAATTTTAGTTAACACGCGCGCACTAATTTATATCACCTTCCTGATAGGGGAACTCTGTGCGGATAAAGGCCACTTTACAGAGGCGATTAAAACCCTCAACAAACTTTTCACAATTTCACCGCCTTCACATCAAGGTTTCTTGTTAAATCGGCTTTAGACTTGCAGATTTCAAGCCACGTCGCTCCATTTAAAACGAGTGGCTTTTTTTCTTTTTCTCTTTGTATGTTCGTAAAAGGCGCCGCATGGCCATCAAAGGAGAGAATCTTGACAAATTTGCAATAATGATTTAGTCTGAATAATTGGCGCGAGAAGTATGTTTTAGAAAATAGCAACTATGAACAGACGATTAATATTTCTACGATTTCAAGGCCCGCTTACATCTAGTGCAATAACGCTATCAAAGAAAACTGATTTAAAAAGCATGTGGAGCTCACCAGATAAAATAACAGTCAATAAATTAAACCAACTCCTTGCTTTTTAACATTTTTAATATTTCTGGTTGTAATTTCTATAAAACAACATGACATTTGCAGAATACAACAGTTAACGAAGGATGAGAAATCACCATAAGACTGTAAATTTCGTAGATCATCTGCAACTGAAAATAAGTTACAGAAAAGTTAGTTAAGTTCTGTGCTGCTGGTTTTCAAAGACCAATGAATTGAACAGAGATTGACACTTATCAATTCAGAAGGAATATATCCTTTTTTTTCAAAGTGCAGCACTAAAGAGAGTCACGGAAGATTAAAACAAAACGAGATCTTATTGGAAAAAATTGCAGTCTGACAAAAATTAGAAACGAAATACTGAAAGAGGTCGAAAAGAAAGAACTGAAATGCTCACTGGAAGCTGAAAGAAGACGATCAACAGGAAAAAAAACTAGATAAGAACAACGACGTATTCCTGATTACGAACTAAGCAACGGCTTACCATCTTTACTTCTTGATTTCACTTCAGAAAGGAAATGGGAAGGGTGGTTCTGGTCTATCCTCCGTTGGTTTGATTGTAAACACTGGCGGAGGAGTTGTTTGTGGTTCTGATTAAGAAAAGAAAGAAACATTATGATCAACGAAAAACAAAACAGCTTGATGCGTCATCGTTCATTTTACCAACAGATATAGGGCCGTTTTTTTCCTTCTTTAACCTTTGTTGTCCCTGGTCACAATTTTCTTTCTCTTTATTTAAAAGTTTTATGGTAAATATCGTCAATATGACACTCATAATTCCAATTTAATGTTTAATCCGTGGCAAAAGAAAAAAAGGACCACCGTTATCATGTGCAGTCTTATGATGAAAAAAGAATTCGTAAATACCGCAATATGGGCAGCACTCTCCGACGGGGATAACCGGATCTTTGCAACTTACAGCTTGGCAAGCAGGTTTGACAACGCGGCACGTTGCGGAAACTTGCCCGTGGCATTCGCAAAATAAACATACGTCATCTTCGTAACTCAACCAAGATCGCCTGCCGTCGCACTCTGAAACCACCAAATTAAAGACAAATCAAAATTGTTTATTCAGGACAGGATCAAATTACTGATTTTAAACTATATCTTTCAGTAATACATGTGTATTGAGTCTTATCTAAATCGAGTGAGAATTTAAAAGTTTACAATTTTTGAAGTTTTTCGGGTAATGCAGGGGTGATTTTCATCGGGAATTTCGTTCTAATCCTCTCTAGCAGCGCATTAAAAAGCGGATTGACTCATTGCAGTTTTTGTTCTCAGGAGATGTAGTTCTCTACAGTGACTACTGTCTCCTCCAGGCCTTACTATCTCGGAGTTCGGATTTTATCATCATATTCCTTATCATAATCATTGTTAATATTACCATTATAATAGTCAGAGTTTTTCATTGAAAATGTATTTGAAGTATACTTACTCCTCCTTAAAGGTTCTGATTTGCATTTCGGACAACACTCCCCACTTTCTGATGGATAAACAATTTCTTTACAGCCCATCAACCCAGTGTCACATTTGATGTGCATACAGTCAGTCAGGTTTCCTTTAATACACTCACACAATTCACAATAGTCGTCAAACACGTCGCCTGTCTTGTGATATATTGGGGCTTCTTCTCCGTCATTGAATACTTTGTCGCCGTATCTGCACTTCCCGTCAGCTACGATCCCTAAAAAGACATTACAGAACATAGATGTGGTTAAGGAAAGACGTGTCTTCGTATGGTCTCGGGCGTGGGTCTAATGAAAAATTCTGAGTCCCCAGAAGTATTCTACCGATGCTACACCACAGAGCAACAGAAGACTCTGTGAGGTAAGAAATTACAGGTTCAAATATGACAGGCGATATGCGCGCATATTTAGCGAAGATCAGCCATGTAGAAGGCCACAATTTCGAGTATTGAGAGGCTAGGGACAGTCAAGGCATTGAAAGGGATTTGAGGTTGTCTCAGAAGAGAATTTCGGGAGACTGTCAGTAACTTAATAACTTTAAGTGTGAATGAAAATCCTAAAGCCGTAGACTATGACCCTTCCTTTAGCTACCCTCAAACTCTTTTAGGTTTTAGCGATGATGCATTTTCAAAGAGTTAGGTAAAAAAACAGGTTAGGCAAAACCGAGTGGCAGAAGTTCACTCAGACACAGTATTTGCCGCAGCCCAGTTAAGGAAACAGAAAAAACACGGATGCAAATGAAGGTTGTCTTGGCAGGATATAGAGAAAGTGAGGGATCATGTTGAGGTTTACTAAAGGCAGTTTTTTCATAGAAGCGAAAATGGGAGCATTTAGCCCACTTATGATGGGACAATCGATTTGCGTGCAGGTTGGGTACCTGACGCTATAAACATTTTAATTTCAGCCAAAGTTAAAAGTTTGAAAAACGCAAGTCGCTTTATAATTTCCTCTACCTGGATTCACGCTTTTTTTGTAGATGAAGATTGTCTTCTTCGATCCTGCTCCACCGGGACATTTGCTTTCTTCTTCCATTTTGAAATCATTTGGGTCCCATTTTGCTTCGTTTCCATTTAAACACGAAATACCTTTCTTTATCCTCTGGATTCCAATAATGGCATAATCCTGGCCTTCACTGCACTGATCAATGGGTCTCTCTGCTCCGGCTTTAATCTTCTTGTAGGACTTCTTGCCGAACACTTTCGCCTTTTTCAGTTTCCCAGAACTATAGCAACCCACTGGTTCATAATTTGAAGGACCTTGAATTTCGTTAACAAAAAAAAAAGAGCGAGTTAAGAAGACTGCACAAAAGGTGCTAGTTAATAGACGAAATATAGGGAACACCTGAGGTTCTCTTGAAAGAACGCAACAACAAATACAAATGTCGAGGTGCGAAGAACATTAGAAACTGATAATTGTACCTGCTCTTTTGTACCGACGTAAGTCGTTTAAGTCCCTCGATCCCTGAAAACAAGAAAATGTCAGTTCACTTTTTGATCGGCGAATTTCTAATTTGGAAATACAAAAAAGATTACGGAGTAAAGAAAACAGAGATGGTGAGCGCGGCCAGAATGACAAGTCCACAAAGGATTGTGGGTTTGAACCGGATGCACCATAGAAATTGACGGGAATGAAGACGAAGAAAGATCTAAGAGAATTAAGGACTTGTGCTTGATCGGCTAAAAATTTCTATCGATGAGCACTGCGATTAAAAGCTGCCTGAATTCTGACTAGTTGTGCGTTTTGACAATGAAAAAAAAAAACTATTTTACAAACCTTAACAGGATTGCTATTCACTACGAATGCTGTCATTAATACAACGCTGGCAAGTAAAATCACCTGTAAATAAAAAAAAAGGTCAAGTCACGTCACAGCCTGTTACTTAACATTTTTAAAACTTCGATACGTTGACTTTAATTGACAATGAAAAAATAAGGGTCATAGCTTTTGAGTTAAACACATGACGCCAAAATTGAAGCGTTTCTACAAAAATCATCAATAGTGTTTAACCTGTCTTTTTTTTTAAAAGAACAAAAATGATCCCAACTTGTCAGGTAATAACTGTGCTTTAATAACTGTGTTTCCATGAAATTTTTGATGAAAAATACGAAAAGTTGAGGTAGAATCGAGCCCTCATTACCTGTTACCTATTGTAATGAAATAAGGCATAACACCGAGATGATATCAAAACAGGTGTGCATGCGTGGCTCCTTTAATCAGTTATGAAATTTTTCTCTGGTGGCAAAAATCAAAAAAGGTAACCTACTAACAAAATATTTTCTTAGCTTTTTAACTTGGTGCTTGGCAGTTTAAAAAGCGAAATTAAGTTCTTACTTACGTTCATCACTTTTCTTGGTTGTTGGGGAAGTTCTGCTTCGTCTCTTTTTGCTAATCTCAGAACGAAACCTAGAATTGTGGAAGAAAATTAAGATTTCTAGGGCATATGTTAATTCACTGACAAGCAACATACAATACTGCCGGAAAAAAACATGTTGAGTGCTATGCCTTTGTTTCTCGGACGCTTTTGGACATCTTCTCTTTTTTTTCTCTTTTTTGCTTTTGATCTACGTTACTTTCATTGGTAAAGAAGTTTTTCGTGCAATACCTCAATTTGATTTCCTCATTGCTATGTTTGGCAGTTAAAACTAATCAAATATCGTCAGGTGAATCGCCGATTTACGATTTCCAAACGTGCTCCGACAATAATTTCACTCCCATGTGTTTGAAAGTGTCATTAAACCGGCAGAGAATCTTGTTGTTTGAATTTCTCGCCTTATTTTCATTCTTTTCTCGTTCTTCTTTATAATTGCATTTCGTCAAACACCTTCCTTTACTTCTCAGCGAACAGATAAGGCTATCAAAATAAGCAATTAGCACAGCAAAAAATCGTTATTATTAACCACCAAAATCCATTTACAAACCTCGTAAAATGTGATTTTGTGGCTATCGGTAAACTAACGATTAGAGTAAAACAATGGGCACTTGTGAGATACCATTTTTAGCTTTACTTTACCTTCGTTTACAGCTGCTTTCGCGCAGATTAGGAACTGGAAATCTAGAGACCCTTTCAAATTAGGTATTTAATCCTTATGAGGCAGAAAATTCTTCCCGAGAGCGTAAAGAGTCTTAGAGACTCTATGGAAACGAAAAGACGGTATACAAGGTCGAAAATCCATTTAGTCTTCAATTAGTGAAAATCGTTCTTCTATGCTGAAATTCGCGCAAGATTTGCCTTCATGGAACTTCATTAAATACTATAAAAGTCTTTTTTGAAAATCTTACGAGACGCATCACAAATTGATCACATATCTTGAAAAGAAAAACTAGATAATATTAGTCGCTGCTTTAAACTCATAAAAGAAAAGTGCCAAATTATTTACACTTTAATCAAAACGAAATATAAAGCTTTAATCCCACTTTTAACCAAATTATGATATTGTTATGAAACTGGCACTTTAGAAGAAGACTTGACGTATTCCTGTCTTAATAATCCCATTTAACAATGAGTCAAATTAAATTTTGTGTGTTTGGTCGCTGGATGGCCGTCATGAACAAATTTATACATAGTAAACTTAAGTTTTTCATTGAATTAACACTGACTGAAGTTTCCAAAGCGAAAAAGGTTGAACTCTTTTTCTGCCTTTTTGTAGTCAATCGACTAAGTTTTATTTTTTTATTTATTTTTACATCGATCATATATCCCTTTTGCTAAAGGTAGATATTGTCATAGAATAAAGAAATGTAAGTTTCTATACGGTCATTACCAGAGATTAATTTGAAGTGGACCTGCGCTATACTGATCTCGAATTTCGAGTTGATAAGCTAAAGAGGAAAACAGAAACGAGTTTCTTTCTCAACTTCGTGTCCAGGAGGAGCATTTCATGCGGAATAGCGAGGTGATCGCTTAATGCAGGTTCCAAAGAATAGGGGTATCATAAAAGAATGATGAAAAACGCCATTTTATGCCTAATTGACCCCTCATGTACAAAATATCGCTCAAAAATACTGTTAACATTGATTTCGGGAGTTAAACATGGATTAGATTTTACTTTAAAGATTATCCCCAATTTTATTTGAGTGGTTCCACTATAGTTGATTGTTCAATACAGGTCCTGAGCGATACAATCAGGCCGTTGGGACTCAGTAAGGGGTGAGCACGACGTACCGCTTACTAGAGTTGAAAATTACAGTACTACGGGGAAAAAAATTCGGAAATTTGAAAACCGAACGCTTAGACGGAGTGACCGCTAAATACAGCTTCGACTGTATTACCAACCGCAGTCTTTCTCACGGTGAACATGATCATGTAATAAAAATATGCAATTACATGATTTCAAATGGCCTTATGATAAAACATCGATCAAACAGACAAAAGGTTGGAACAAAGCAAAAACATTGACAAAAATAATTAAGTGAGAAGGAACGATCTTTCAGTGGATTGGTTGGAACAAGGAAGAACATTTGTGCGATAAAATATCACCTATTAGGTACTTTTATGGACTGAAATGCTTCAAATCTACGTGCAATCAACTGAATCCTTTCTCTCTTTTTTTCCACATCATTCATATTTTGAAGAGGACCGTGAGAATTGTCTTCTTGTCTCTTCTTCTTCGTCACTACCAACTAATACGAAATAATAACACCAGCAACTTAAACGAGAGACTTTAACAGGTTACTTCATCTGACTTTTCAGTAACTTACTTAAGGTGTGTAACTGTACAATATGGCTTAAAAGAATACCTTAATATCGGGTCTGAGTCGGAAATTATAATGTAACCATTTGCTGAGGTTTAATTTTATCTATGGTTACCAATTTCGCATTTTCTTTACGTACGACAAGGTAACAAATTCGAACGAAGAAAAATTAAATTCGAACCTAGGACTCAAATTGATCGAAGGGTTAATAGACTAACTATGGCTGAGTAGCAAAAGATTTTAAACAGTTAAAAATCTCATGTGAGAAGTTATTTTAAACTCATATGGCTCTTGTGTTTATTCCACGTATGACAGTAATCCATGCATGTGTTGACTAACCGAGTGCTTAGAGTGCTTCGAATCATGTTGCGTGATAATTAATAGCCACTGAATGAATTAACGCAACTGGCAACACTCTATTCCCAACTACTTGGTGGGTAAGTTGCTGATCACAAGAGAGTTTATTGTAGCATGTTATAAGATATAAGCTGCTTTCATATCCCTTCTTTTTCCATTACCTCCCTCCATCGTTTCTTTTTCTCATTTTTTTTTCTTCCTCTTGGCATATTCAGCACCCGGACCGAGAACTTGAATTTTCCATTTACCAATATCTAACTGCTAATCGGAGTGGATGAAAGATTCTTAATGTTCAGATGCAGCTTTCATTTTATATGTTTAATATAACTCCTTAGTTACTGGACAAAATAAAAAATTTGCGCATGAAAACATGATCAGAAAATGTTTGTTTTTTTGAAAACCCTTGCTACACGAATGTAGATGCTAGTTTATCCCGAAGGAAGAAAAAATAAAAGCACCATCGCGCTTTACCCAAAGTTTTCATCTTTATATCAAAGAACTTAAAGTTAATTCCACATCCTTACTAAGGAATAGTCCAATACATTTAGACCTTGATTCGGGCTTGCCCTTAAACTGTAAGGAGAATCTGTGCACCGAAGATATATACTATTAAGAGTTACAGGGTTAAGTTATGAGTTTAAGATGAAAGAGAATTTAGTTTTGTCATTTTATACTGTAATCTATTAAGCAGAAGTATGCAGGTTCTAGTTGCTTTCCTTAATTTTCAAAGAGAAGTTGGTACCCCAAAAGGATTTCTACAAAAAATTCCATAAACACCTCGATTTAGGTGTGCTTTAAAATTGTATATAGAAAGTTTTTTTAAGCAAGCCAGTAAAACTAAGAGTTCATGCAGCTTTGTTATGAAAAGACAATTCAGCGTCTAATGAGCAGAAGCCTGCAGGTTCAAGCACTTCTCGTTATTTTTCAAAAAGTACTTTGTTCTTCGTGAGGATTTCTGCCAAAAACTGTCATCAACCGGTTTTTTTTTAATTCTGTAGGCCATAATCCTTACCTGAATGTTTGCTTTGTTCCGCTTCGTCCTATATGAAAATATGCTGTCCTTTTTTTTCGCTTTTAAAGAAAACATTTGAACATCGTATTTATAACAGGCTATCATTGTTTCTCTCTTGATTGGATTATTCTTAACAACCGAAGGAATATCTGTCAAAACAAGAAGCGCTTATTTACAAACTACAATAGATAATTAATTGCCAGCTCACAATATTATTACCAAGTAGGTAGAATATAAATCTTTTGTCGATCCAACAAGGTGTTAAAAAGTGATAAATTCGTCTAGGTCTTGATACACGTAATACTTACTAGCCGTAGTTTTGAGAGAATCAGCTCGTATATGCTTTGCCAGATCTTATTCTCAGAATAGAGAGAGATTCAATATGACATAATCAATATTAGCCGGACTTGGCAATTTTTCTCAAAAACATCTTGGTCATGTCCTTATGGAAATTTCTCTTCGTGCTCATATCACATAATAGGAAAATTATAAATTACCACGCCGTGAAACACCCCGCGCTCAAACAAAACCCAAGTTTATGTAAATTGCTTTATTTTCGACGGCTTTTAGCTCTTGGTTATGAATTTGTTGGAACTGTTTTGTCTCACTCGAGTGAATAACAAAGCCATCATTTGTTATTGATAAGAAGTTTTGTTTAACCCGCATCTCTGGCTTGAAATTTCTGTCAGAACATGACTGAAATTTTTTCTCGAAAAAAATAAGAAAAGCCGGGAACTACTTGCAGGCTAGTAAAAGTTCTTATCGGTTGAGTAAACATTGAAATTTTATCAGTTGGAAATATTTCAAAATATTCTGATACATATGCTCGGGCCAATATACGCACAAAAGACACGAGGATGTATTTCTAAACTTTCCTTTGAGGGCCAAAAACTGGCATTTATTGAGACTCTTAATAGCCCTTGTTTGTATCGTCTGTCTTTTATGGCAAGGGCAGACAATTGAAATGCAGTCTGAATGTCATGTACTGATTCATGAAAAGTGTCTGAGTTTTCAGTCCAAAATTTTTTTTTTGAAGTGAAGCGTTATTTGTAAAGAAAAAAATTGCTCTTTTGAAATCAATTTTGAACGAGATGGGAGATATCAAGTACAATTAAAACTTGCCGAAATCTCTTTAATTAGTAAAAGGATGTTCGATCATATCAAAGTGTCCGCTTTCAAATTGAAAGATATTGTACCGAAAACAAAGATAGATATGAGAGCGCGTTGAGCAAAGCTAAAATTGCTCAGATCTACATTCTATATAGAAGTCGGACATTCACGCAGGCATTAAGATTTTCCTCTTTTTTTTTCTGGGAGAGTCTGATAAAAACTTTCTTAGCAAAGAGAATTTCGAGGACATATCACCAATTAGCACTATTACAGCAGTAATGACAAAAGACGATAGAAAAAAAAAACTCACTGCAATAGAATTTACGCGTGTTAAGTTAACATATCCTCACCTCAGCCTTCTGATAAAATTAAATTGTGAAACCAATAGTTACTTGGACAGAAGTTTGCGATCATTCAAATTTATTTTTCCATTCGTGGTCTTAACTAAACTTCTCTCTACCTTTATCCAACTTGTACAAGTTTGTTTGTTTTGGAGAGCATTAACAATCAACGGCACCCTTCCATACCACGAGGATCAAGATTTCAAAAAACCCAACTGTATTTCTACGGTCCAAGCTAATGTGGTCTAATTGTCCACCGAAAATAATTTTGAAAACACCGGCCATGCGTCCTCCTATGTAGAATGAACTTGCTGACTTTGGAAATTTTGGTTGGAGGTTATGATAACAGAGAAAAAAAAAGAAAAGAAAAACCTGTTGTGCGCATGCTCGAGTATGCAGACAAGATTTGGGTCGATGATAACACGTGCAACGACAGCGTGTAGTGGAAATGCAGCTTCTGCTATTATAAATTGTAGTTGGAATCATATATGCCTTTTCGCGTAACTTCAAATTTTTACGAAGAACACTGAAAGTTGTACTAATGTGGAGCGAGGCTTTTCTTCGTTTCAGGTGATTGGTAAAGCAAGATTCAAATATAAACGTATTTTATAAATCACATTCAAAGAGAATTCTCGAAGAGCTGGGCTATTCTTTGAACTAATGAATAGCGTCCAATGTAATAACTTCAGGGATTCTATTTCAATGGCGGTGAAAAAAATTAGTTAGCGTCAGCTTCTGCTGCATACTACTTCTTTGAGGAACTTAGCTACTCTTGCAAATCATGGCTCGCCATCCAACTGTTACCAAGAATGAAAAAATGATGTTACGAGACAGTTAGTTTATAAATCTACAAGAATTTTTAAAGGAATGCGGCTTGAAAGTTTACTAATAAATTGTCCAACATTTACAACTTCGTATCTTCCGAAAACTGAACAGGAACTTCATGTGATTCAGGGACAGTTTCATTCGCTGGATTCTCAGAGTCTTCAGCAAATGCCTGGTGAGTTATGCCAACTTCCGGTTCACTGATGTTCCCCAACCTTGTTGCCGCTGATCCACACAGCGCTGACGCGTCCATCTCGAATTCAGTTCCTTTTGCTGCTTTCATTTTTTCCCGGCGGGATATCCAGTGGAAGGTGACCGCGATAAGTACTAGGACGGTGAAATACGCAACAACTAACCCGATTAATAATTTCTTTTCAGACCGACTCGGGGCTTCAGTGGTCTTCCCACCTGTGTCTAGAGTTAAGAAAAAAATAGTTGTTTGGAGAAGAAATTTGTCATGAGAACGCAAAGTTTTTCTTGGATTTCAGTTAGGTTCGCTTTTTGAGAAACGCTGAAAGGGGAACTACCATGAACTTATATTATTGACTGAGTGAGAGGCCTAAACGGGAGAATATTTGGCTCGACGTCATGAATACAGACCGAGCGCAAAAAAGATTTTACATTAAAAGCTTTTCCTGAGTGAGTTACTTGATGCATCGCAACTTGTGAACAAAAATCGTTCGTTCGCAATTTCCAACGAATAATTTATCTCTATTTATGCCATGGTGAAATGAGAAACGATGATAACATACGCAGAAATAAGGAAATCTTTTTCAGTAAATACGGAAGTGTCCCCACTGCCTTAATACTAAGAACTTCAAAGTCAGAGTAAATGTGTTTAATGTCACATGTTAACACATATACCTTTCTCTTGGGCAGTTGATGGGCCGCCTGTAGGAGACAAAGCTGTAGGTATAGGTGACGCTGGAGAGGCCGATAGGAAGGATTGAGCTGAAGACCAAGCTGTAGGTGTAGGTGACGCTGGTGAGGCTGATGGGAAGGATTTAGATGAAGACAAAGGTGTAGGCGAAGGTGACGCTTGATGGGCTGTAGTCGAAACTGTTGATGATGGAAAAGGCGTAGTTTCTGATCGCAAGTTGGAATTTGTTGTGCAACTTCCTGTTTAAAAAAGAGGAATATGGAATATAAATATGATAATGAAAAATGACTAAAACATCAACGTTGCCTTTCTTGAAAGTATTTAGAGTGCTATATTCTTACAATATCGCTCAATGTTTGGAGTGACCCGTCGGAAGATGCACAAAGAATTTAAGAGCGACACTGGCTTCGGTATTCGGGATCTTGAGTCTCAAATAAAAAAAAAAACAATTGGGTTTTGCTATGAAGAGATCCGTGATCCCTAGGTAAATATTACTGGGAGCAGGGATGGGGCAGTGATGAGAGTGCTCGCCTCCCACCGCTGTGGCCTGGGTTCGATTCCCGGAGTTGGCGTCACACGTGGTTTGAGTTTCTTGAAGGTTCTCGCTCTGGCTCCGAGTCTCCGAGGGTTTTCCTCCAGGTCCTCAGGTTTTCGTCCCTCCACTAAAAACCTCATTCCAAATTCGAACTGGAAACGGTGGACAAGAAGAGCATGTCCATTTATAAATTACAAACAGAAAAACTGAAAAAAGATATTTATTGGAAAGAAATGTATAGGAAACCCCCGAGATGGAGGAAACATGTCAATGTCAAGTTAAACTAAAAAAAAACCCAAGTATCTTAGGTTTTTTGAAAGAGCATTTGATGTAACTCATGTAGAAACTGTTTACACTTTTCAGAGTGATAGGAAGCGAAAGTGATGGCTAAAATATGAATCCTCTTACAACAGTTAACACTGATGGAAGTTAATCACAATATTAAGTGATTGATAGCCCCGGAAACTAATAATGTTTAGCTGATTTACTCGAAACACAAAAATCGACTGTAAAGATGTGCTAGAAGATAATGGTCTTGACGCAAGGATCATCACCCAAAATTTATTCTTTAGGGTATAGTGTATGTATCCCAAATAACCTTAAAAATCAAAACAGGACAAAGTTTCCGGGTCCTTACGAAAATTCTGTCAAAAACGTAGAAAAGAAAATCCGGCCATCGATCAGTCTATCAGTTGGGCAGTCTGGCAAGACTCCACATTATAAATTCAAGCTTAGCTAACTATATGAACCCTATAATGGCCTGCTACTCAGCAATTAACGCGATTTCCGTCTCGATCGAAAATTAAAATCGGTTAAACGTTTTACTTCAGTGAAGGAAATTTAAGCGGTCGTTTGTGTAGGCGCGGAAACTTTCATCAATCAACAAAAAAAAAACTGAATCCGTACGTGCATGTGTGACGTTTTTGCTTTCAACACTGAGGTTTTTTTTTTTATCAAGAAACTACAAATTTAGCAAAATCCCTCAGATAGGGTTGTACAAATCAGTTTGAGATTATTTTATCTTACCTGATGAGGTCGGAATGGCCAAGAATAAAACGCAACCCAGGAAGAGACCAAGGTACATATAATTCTGAGACATTTTATGCTTGAGAGATGAGTCTTCGGATCAAACACCGATGGGCTGTGCGTGAAGAGTTGCACCGTCAGTCTTATTCAACCAACCGATAATCATCGACCCTGAACTGAGTGATCTGTTTATCAGCGCCGATGCAAATCTACCATTGAGGAGAGAGGGGACCTTGGGTAAGGAAATCGTCTTCCAGTAGCCGGTTTCGTTACATTTCCGGTTTTCTACGGTTCGAATTCGCTACTTGTTCGCTCCACCGAACATTGTGTTTGCTACATCAGTAAATCCAGTTTGCTACTTCATTTTTTAAATTACAATAACGATACAGCGAAAACGTCGATTCGATACCTACCCAAAAATTTACGTATTGAATTAAATCGAACTTTTGCTCTCTGAAAAGCGATATTAGCAACAGACTTGCAGTTAAGTTTCTCCCTCAGTCCAGTGCGTCTCGACACGATCGTAGAAAGCCAGTTCGAAAATCGTTGAAGCTTTGGAAACAAAACCCCAAGAGCGAGCTAACATATCCCCCCTCCCTGTTGTGCAACAAGTGGAATAGATGGACGCACACACCCCCCCCCCCCTCACACACACCTGTTTCCGCTTTTTTCTTAAGATTCTAAGCGTATGGTTTTTTCCTTCTTCTTTTTCCTTTTTTAAATCAATTATTTCTCTTGTCTGGACCTTTCAATCCCTATTATCTGCTCACTGATTTTTTCTAAAATGACAGATCTTCGACCCCCTTCGTCCTGCAGAAATCCAATACCATGGATCACTGCGACTCATCGATCGAGTTTCTGCCAGAGTCCAGCTGGCAAAACGAATCAATTTCCGGTATTAGACTAAAATCCCATTTATCATCAAAAATCAAATGTTGAAATTCTTAGATCAGTAGATGCTATTTAACCCTAATGGCCTAACTCAGCTTCTTTTTAAGAAATTTCAGCGATCTTAGTAACTGTTAGCAATCAAATGAAAATGTACTCTCATTATGATATAAAGCGGAAACAACACAATATCGTAAGTAGCAAGCGAGGTCAGGTTCGTGATTGAGCGCGTTGCTGCGGTTTAATGATTATTTCAGTTCGCAGCGTTTGAAGCGCGGTGTTGATATTGACCGACAGATTTGACGAAGATGAACGCGTTACTGCGGTTTAATAATCATTTCTGTTTGCGGCGGTTGAAGCGCGGTGTTGATATTGACTAACAGATTTGACAAAGATGAACGCGTTACTGTGGTTTAATAATTATTTCTGTTCGCAGCGGTTGAAGCGCGGTGTTGATATTGACGAACAGATTTGACAAGGATGAACTGCTTTGGGTAGGAATTATGAACAAAATTTTCTGTGGCAGATTATGATGTTGTGGCATACTGAAATTGAAAATGAATTGAAGTACATGAAATAACTATCTCAAGAGCAACTATTTCCATGGCTGTTGGAGGGTATGTTGCTACGTTTGTCAAAATGTTGGATATCAAAAATATCTGCAGCATTCCAGTAAGAAAAGAGAAATGAAAAACAGTAACCTAAGGAAAAACTTAAGCTACTACATCAAGAACGTGACTCAAGATCGATCCGATACCCCATGCAGTTGTTAAGAACTCGTAACCATGATGGTAAACTCAACATTCCTTCTGGATATAGGGCACCATCCATACTTCATTTGGAGCTCTCCGAGTTAAACTAATTTTTCTTACCTTTAACAACAAAATTGGAATTTCCAATAAAGAGAGAAATGAATAGAAGCGTCAAACAGTGTCCTGAGGTCATCTTAAAACATATATTTCCAATTCCACCGGTTCACCGTCAGACGTCAGTAAGCCGGTGGGCTTCAATAGTGAGCCATTTTGTTTCCTTTTGATATGACGCTGAAACCTCAGAAGAGAGGAGATTGGAACGAGACACACTGCGTCTCGACCCAGCCAGTTCCCGTACGAACCACAATCTGCGAATCGCTTTCCCTCTATGTTCCATTGTAAGAGACACAATACGACCAAAAAGTATTCCAATCGACCGTCAGCCAGTTTTTTTCTTTTTATTTTATGTCGTATCCGATCCAATAATATCCATTGTAGGGCAATTTTCAAATGACTCATTTGAAAATTACCCTACAATGGATATTATTATATTTTCGGCACTCGGAGTGCCGAAAAAGGCCGGAAAAGATACATGAGTGCGGAATCATACTAACTTACCGGTCCTTACTGCGCTTTGTGATTGATTACAATGGCAATATCGATCACGTTTTTCAAATGCATTTGCTCCTAACTGTGAATTTTGCGTATCGCCGGAATCATAAAAAGTTGAATGCGTTTTGAGGTTGCAGGGAGCCGCCATTTTTAATCTTGCCTAGCTAGCTAACTCCGTGATTACTCGAGTCGAATGAAACAAAGTCTCGTACTACTTTCTTTATCTCTTTGAGATCTGATTGAAGATTTGGCGCCACAAGAAAAGGCGTCCTTGACTCATTTCTAGCAATAACTTGAGCTGCAGGTGTTTGAAAACCGTGGGTCTTACGTGCGCAGACAGCTCTCCGAATCGATTTAAATGACGTTGTCTAAAATCGAGTTTTCAGCACCTTTGAAGGAAGTTTTCGAACGGGTAGTTTCTTCTTTATAATCGCGCAAGTAGCGTTAAGAATTAAATATTTTTTATTCAGTTTCGGGACGTTATTTCCTTATAAAAATTTCAGAATTTCGCTGACACGCAGTGAAGTCGACGCACTATTCCACAGTCTTGAAGGTGCCACAGATAAGTCTTTTGCAAATGTTAAAAACTCTACAACCCAAAAAACTACTAATAAAACGGAGATCGTTTCCTCCGATGTCGAGCCGGGTTTGAAATAATTGCCCACAAAGTACATTCACGGAAGATCTAGGACATTTCCACTCCTTGAAAATCTCGTCTAACATGCAAACTGTAAACAGATAGAAATGATTTCGAGAGGAATTAACCTCAATGATCAGCGCTTCGTCCACACTACGTAGATTAAGAATCTATTTCTACGGCTACGTCCACCAGGCAGGCTACTTAATTCGTCCAAACAGTCTACCAAAAACAAAGTACAACTTATTCACATAAATTGAAAACAATGGCTTTGTGTCTTCGTTTGTTATAAGAAAACGCTGACTTAACCGCTCTTTTATTTTTTTGCCGTGATAGAAAAAATCCAGGTAATGTAAACGGGCATCATAGCATCGATATTTTCAAGAAATACTCTTCTAATCAAAATGAGTAAGAAAGAGACGCATTTAAGTTGGCCGACTGTTCCTTAGCCGTGGAGCTGCTATGGATAAGACTCTACAACAATCTTGCTGACGTTACTCGATCGATGATATAAAGCGAGTCAGCTATTCTAAGATACTAAGGCCCGCATAGCAAAATACTACGGTGGTACTGAAGTAGAATGGTGTTTAGTAGATAAATCTACAAGAATTTACAATGTAAATGAAGTTTATGTATTTTTTTTTGTCCTCAACTTAAAACTTTGTGTTGTTATTAAAGAGAACTGTAACACTCTCTGGACTCTCGGAGTCTTCAGCAACTACTTGGTGAGTTATGCCAACTTCCAGCGGTGACGTGTTCATCTGTAACTCATCTCCATTTGTCGTATCCTTTTTCGTTTGGCGTGACAACCAGTAAAGCATGGCTGCAACTACTGCCAAGGTGACGAAATAGGCGATAACAAACCCGCTTAAACGCCAAGCTGAGAAAGAAAAAGTATGTCTTAGTTTCTAGTTCAAAACGAAATTTAAAAAAAGCAGCGCAATACTATTGATATTCAATAATAATATGATAATTGGGGAAAATGTCCCCTAACAAACTTAAGCTTTACTCCCTTCCAGGGCATGAGAAATTTATATCCGTAACAAATAAAAGGCGACCATGAATAATTTTCGAGTGATCTAAGACTTATATCGATTTATATCGATTTGTACGTCAGGTGTACTTGAATCTCATACTTTTGAGTAAGCGCAAAAAACGTTTTTCTACCGACAAGACTCTGCTGATCTGCTAATCATTTGTTTCGATAGGTGGAAGACTTGCAGCAATGTCGGAATGAGGCCGGGAGTCCTCATGTCGATTGTCGGTTAGAATTTCATCGCTTTGTGGGCAGTCGGTTAAATTTTTGTATTTCTAATGGTAGTTTGTAAATCTGAATAATGATTCAAAATGCAAGTTAATTATTCATATACGTTGTGGGCGGACGTTGTTCTCAAAATGAGCCCGCGCTCCTTCACTGCCATTAAAAAGTTTGAAAAATTCTTAAATTTGAGTTGTCTACCTCTTAAGCAGAATGCTCTTCTTTCTGAATACATAAACATCGATAATTTTGAACCATGTCCTTTGTCGCTTAATATTTTCTTGTCGCTAATTGGTAATTATTTTTGCGTTTTGTCAGTAGTCAGTTGTTGCTAGTCGGTTTATTTTGTTCAGACCCTCTTACAGATTATGCTTTTATACTTACTCTTCGATGAAAATATACGGAAAATATGTCTGTATTAAAGTGTTCAGTCTTTTACAAGTAGTGCGTTCGTCAATGAATCTAGCCTGTACCAGGCATTCAGAGTGCAAAACGGAGCGGAACAGAAATTGTGTGATAGTAGCGGAGGAGTGAAAAAAAAAAGCGAGGGAGTTTTTTGGTCAGGTGCGCGGGTAGATGTGGGTAGCATTGCCCCAGTTGGATCATCTGAAATTCGTTGAAATTTTCAAAAAAAATTAAATCTTTATTCTCATACTAGTTAGCTTAGACATGTTTGATTACACGCTTACCTCTCTCTGGCGCAGAAAGTGTTGGCTCTCTCGAGGAATTTTCTGTTTGATAAGCGAAAGAGGAAATGTAAATTTAGAGATCAAGGTTATGGATAACAGCTCCATACCCCTGACTTCCATTATAACATTCAGAAACGTAAATTCCTGCAATATTACTTAATATATAAAACGTATTAAATTAAATTGTATAAAACACGAAGTACTAGTCAGACCTTTTCCCTGAATGAAGGGTTGTGTAGTTAGAAGTTATAATTATAAATTTCGAGCCTGATTTGTCTAAGAATCGACATTATAATTTTGTATTGCATTTAATGTTTTGTAGCATCACCCTCATGAGGACAATGCAGGTAGTGGATGTTATGAGCGACCAAATATTTTCACTCGCAAGGAACAGGTCCAAAGGAATCAAGTGGCCAAATACTCTATCTATTATTGATAAATATCGATTTTCTCTGATGATTTTTAAGCTTTCCGGTGCAGTATTGAATTTAAGTAACGTTCACACGGATTATTTTTTCATTTGTTTAATTGGAGACGTATAACTTTAAACATGACTGTGTGAAAACTGAACGCCTGTAAACTTCCGATCTTGCCCTCTCTTTTAAAAAGTTCAAAACAATCTAAAAGACCACGATGGAAACTGAAACAGGAAGCACTAAAATGAATTGCGGAAATCTCGCAAGATCAGATAAGTATTTATGAGAACAGGAATGAACTGTAACAGAATAGTGAACGAAGATTATTCCTAAAACGAATTTAGCATGTTAGTGCCTAACCATTGCAGAGGAGGAAAATCATATCGAGTTAAAAAAAAAAGTAAGAATCGAAGTTCTCTCGAACAATAGAGCACTTGCTATAACCAATGCAGAAACTGTTTACACTGACAAGTAGCGGAACCTAATTTCAAGAATGTGATCAATTTTGCATAATATATTAGCCTGTAAGGATTTTTTAAATTACTGTTATAAGTCAAAACACAAAAGATGGAAAATATTTTTAAAGATAGCAGACTTAAAAACTTAACTCGAGGATCAGAGCAAACACATACTATTAGGTGTGAGTGTATATATCCCAAATAACTTTGTAGTATCGAAATCTCAACGAAGTTTCCGGGTCAGTATGCAGATTGAAAATACAACGAGAAATTAAGAAACAACCACTTGGTTGTTTCTATGAATTATCCAGTCTATCAAGCCTCCAAGTTAAGATTTCAAGCTTGGATACATTTATGAAGCTTAGAGTAGTCAGCTACTTTGCAATTTAGGAAATTTCCGAACGTATCTTACATGGTAGGTGAAGTAAAAAATTACACGGTCTGTGAAAGAGCGGAAATTCTCAACAATAAGTGTGGGAAAGGGGGACATTTTTGTAACTTTTCCGAGTTCTACACTAAGAGACTAGAAATGTAAGAAAACCCTAATCCAGGATTAGGATTATTTAACTTAGTAATTTAATAGGAGATTATTTTATCTTACCTGTTGGGGCAGAGGAATCAGCGGTCTGAATGTTCATAAATAGAACGTAACAAAGGCACAGACCTAAACACAGAAAATTCTGAGACATTTTATACCCGAGAAAGTTTCCTTCAGTTCGAGAGCTGATGAATTCCACCTTAATAGTAACACTGTAAGTCTGCTTCTAATGTCTAATATAAAAATGACAAGTACCCAAATCTTAAAGGTCACGTTATCATCAACGGTGCATATCTGCATCGAGGGGGAGGAGGACCCCAGGCAAGGAAATTGGCACAGCCACAGTGATAATGTAATAATGTTGGTACCAACACAAGGCAGTTCGGGAATCCACGTCGACCAATAAAATCCCCTCTTCTCTCCCACTCCCCCACTAATGGTTGTCATAGTGGTGACTGACGTTTCGTCAACCTCAGCGGAAGGCATATCATCAGGGCCAAGCAAGTTGTTTTGCCTTTGCCTTCCACTCAAGTTGTCGAAACGTCAGTCACCACCGGTGACAACATTCCTTCTCTGGACTACACTCACCCGGACGATCAGACTTCATTATCTACCCCTGGATTCAAACCATTTACTGTTTCTGCTCTGCTAAACTACTATGGACTTCTAAATCTCATTTGCAGCTGATTAGATAAAAATACGTTTGCCTCATACTATATCTCAAATCATTGGATGAGTGCCAACATCTCGTTTTGTCTGTTGAGTTTTGGATACCAGATTGTGGGTCACATCTCCCTTAATATCTCTAGAGCTTGTCAATAAATTTCCACCAAAATATCAGCAAACATTACTAATATTTAAGTTATTAGAAACAGCTACGGTAAGTTTCCGGTGTTGGCTGAAATCCTCTTAATGATGATAAAAAACTGTAAGTAATCGTAAGTGGTATGCCAACCTCTGTTACGCGTTAGAGGGTTAGAATAACTTATTTCTATGAAATTCTAGCGATCCCAGTGAAAGCTAACGACCATAGTTGTAAAAGATAAACTCTCATAGCGAGAACCAATGAGGATTGCAGATAGTATATATCAGCAAGCGAGGTCACAGTTTGATTTTCGATGATAACTGATGGGTGGAGTGCGATAATTATCGCCGTTCACTGTAAATTGCGGTGTTGATATTGACGCCAACAGGCCATCTTTATCAAAACTTAACTGCTCAGTGTTGGGACAACGAACAAAATTGCCCACACAACGTTACTGAACAAGACTCCAACTGAAAGGGAACTAAAGTACATAAACCAGCCGGCCAGAGAGTAACTGTTACCCGCCAAGGTTGTTCTTATGTTGCCTTATTAGAGGGTCTCAGTAGGGTGATAGCTTTTCCAGCCTAGTAGTTAAAATGTTGTATATATTACGGCTGAGGTTTAATTTCTTTCCTCTAAGTCTCACAGAAAAAGTTTTGACGGTTACTTTTTGTTACGACTAATCAATATTCACTTCTAGCGGCTTCACATTTTTGCCATATTACGGCTAGTGGTTAACCTCATTATTAATCTTATTGCTCTGTTTGTTTACATGTCACTTCGCGACAAATCTTCCTTCATCTTAAAGAAAGAAGAACAAATATACAACAACGGCAACAGCAACAGCATGTTCTGAAGTCGATCATGCCCAATGAAACTTACCATGAGCTCATCTTAATTATCGGAACATTAAACATTTACATGGGTACGGGGGGCATAGTGGGTGGTAAATTTTGACCTTCCTGAGTTGAACTAGCTCTTCTTACCTTTCGCAACAAACTGAGATTTCCCAGTAGGAAAGAGACGAACAGAGACGTCAAACAATGTTCATAGTTCATTTTACATCATACATTGGCGAATCCGGTAATTCGGCCGTCTGGATATTGTTAGCCGTGATCTACATGACCCAGTTTGTTTTTCTTTTGACAAGAAGCTACATCTTTCTGTACGAGAAAAGGTTGGGACGAGACAGACCGAGTCCCGAATCAGCTATTTCATATGTAGACACAATTAACGATCGCCGACCTTCCAAGCACGGATGTTCACAGAAGAGAAAAAATAAGACTAAATAAATTAGAAGTCTGCGCAACCTATTTGGCATTTTATGAGGTTGTATTCGATGGAATGAGCCTCTAACGAAAGCAGGCTTAGAAAAATAGCATATTACGCTGCCACCATTGCCCCATTTTGCACAGTCATATGCTTACAATTATGCTGGAACTATTTTTGTTTAGGATGCTGATAAAAAATACACAGAAAACAACTCCAAAATCATATATCTATTGCTAGCAATTTACACATTTGCTCTTACAAAATATTTTTAACTACTGGACTTCACACCAGAATAGAAGACGTGACTTAATGGATAAAAAAATGCGAGGATGTAAGAAGTATAACAATGAACCCTTCGTACCGCCAGTAAGAGTGACTAACATCTAACTTCTCCACACAATATCACCCCTGATTCATATACCAAGATCACGAGAATAAAGGAAATGATCACCAACTAAAGAAATTCTCGATCTTTAAACAAATTCTCCTTGTCAGCACCTGAGGGAATGTATGGGGAATGTGCATACTGATGTTAGGGCGTCAGCTAGGGGTTATTGTGAACTAATATAAGTTTGTCGGCACCTTTTCCCTTGGCAACGAAAGAGGCAGTAATGTGATAACACTCTCCCTCTCAAGGCGAACGAAAATGATAATGATAATATTATAAAGGATAACCCCGTCAGTGTAATAAGCGCTGGTATCAAAGGGGGTCCCGTTATTAGAGTACACAAGTAAAAATACAAAAGGTCTAAAAGGTAAAATTGTTACACGGCCGAAATATATAAAAAACAAAGTATACATCTACACATGAACTCGATCGATCTTTTAAAGATCAAACAAGGTACAGCTCTTTTAACCCTTCCACTCTCAAGATGCCATTTGAAATTCTCCTTACTGTGTTCTATACAAATCTCATGATGTTAGTTTGGAGAATTTAGTATTGGATCGAACAATAATCCCTAAATTGATTTATTTCTCTATTCTCGTCAGTTTTCTGCTTGATATCGTATTGATATTGTAAGGAGAAATTATGACGTGGTCACTCATGGGAGTTAAAGGTTAAGACCTGATAATGATTCATTTGAAAGGACTAAATATGTGTGATTAAGGCGCTCTCTTTTTCGAAAGAGAATAAAAGTTTAGCAGCGCAACACACTATGCTTTCGCGCTGCCCGAAAAAAAGGAGAATTCCCAATTACAGGTTATCATAAGAGCAAAAATTATGATCGTTTATTCAATTTATGCCAATAGTTATGCTGAAACAATACATCCAGGGGTCCAGAAATGGCAGCCTTATATGAACTAAGGAAACAGGTAATGCAGGCTACCGTCCCAAAATTTGATTTGTATTTCTCGTTTCTAGCTGCCTTACATTTCCCAAAGGAACTAGTTCAGAGAATATGGTATTTTATCAAGAAAACACCCTCTAGCTGGTTCGTTTGTCTCTTTTCATTACGCGTCGGTTGAATAATGTATAGATATTGTAAGAAGAAGGTACAAATTGATCACTTCCTGGTGTTTAAGCGTTAAAAGGTTTAGTGTTGTAAACTTTTATAAGTCTAGGAATGTTCAGAAAAAGTTATGCATCATGTAAAGCGGTAGCCTTGTAGCATACTCGTGATGAAAGAGACATTTTGATACCAGTCGAGGGAATTTTCTAGTTGGTTTCAAAATAATTTCAAAATATTTCTTCTTGTTCTTACAACGCACTGTCATAAGTGCCATCGACGTCGGCCTCAGTTTCTTTACTTTCCATATTATCTGGTTTTACCTCCGAAGCATTTGCTGCTGGTTCTGAACTTTAACTTCCGGTACTGGAGCCATGGCTTCCGGTTTAAAAGCAGAAGCAGAAGCTTCCGTTGGACTATTTGAGTCTCCCACAAATGCGTCGTGAGTTATTCCAATTTCCGTTTCTTTTGGTTTAGCTGAATTACGTGCAGGTACCTCAACCATCGGCTCGTTCGAGCCTTCGTCTTCCTCCCGCTCTCGACAGGCTACGTAATAAATGGCAAAAATAACAACAACGATAACAAGTACCGCAAGGAGACAGAATCCTATTACCTCCAATGGCCCGATAGTTTTCCCTTTGGTGTTCGGAAGTGGCGGAGTCGTACTGGTTTGCGTGGGACTAGAGGAACCTGAATACAAATCATAAATCACACGAGAAGTTTGTAATGATTGTGAACAGTCGCATGAGGTCATTGAGTACTACGAGATCAATGCTTAAAATCAGCATGGTTGCGAACAGAGGAGAAAAAATGATTAAACAGCCAGTTGAGAAGTTGAATTGAACCAATGACCCCCGGAATTTCAACGAAGAGATCAGTGAGAAGTTGTATTCTAAAATCGAGTCTAATCAAATTTATAAGCCACTGAAATCTTACATCATAACAGTTAAGGAGGATACGAGATATCTAATGGCAGGAAGACTTCTTCAAACTTTTTACCGCTTTCCAAAGTAGATCTCTCCTCTGCTACTTCAAAGTGTTTAAAAAAATGAGCTAGTCATGATGGCTTTAGTGATCATACAGAGATATGGCAACATTTTTCAAACATAAATTGTTATTAAACAGCTTCTAGTTGTCCTTGCGCTTCGTCAAGAAAGGTTAAAAGTACATCACAAGTGCCAAGGCTAAGGTTTAGGACATATTGGGTCAAACAAATGGTTGATAAACTCTAGAAGTTACAGTGCTAACTTAAGATTGACGTCGAATTTTTGCTAGAATCCAGTGAGCGCTTTCTAACCTGATTACTGCGATAACTTAGGTATGGCGATGCGAAAATCGATGGCAACGTAGAAGCGTAAAGAAAAAAAATATCTCAGACACAATTTTATGGAACACTGTAGTCAAGTGTCATAGGCGCCGTTGTCATTCACTGAGAACCCCTAACTTTAAATTTCTTACTAATTACTTAACGCTTTGCCAACTATTTTGTGTTTTCCAAAATAGCATTTTCCGTGAAAAATGGCTCTTTGGGGATATTTTTCATATCGATTCCGCAACATATCGTGCTATTTTCCCAGACACAGTGAAATGCTGGCCTTAAAGCAGCACTATTTAGGTAAAAAAACACGGAAATTTCTCCTATGTAATAAAAGCAAAATGCTTCAGTTTTCACGGATTAAGAAATGTGTTGCTTTAAAAGAGCAACATTATGTATAATTCAACGGGAAGTTAAATTTCGGTCAATTTTACTCATACAAATATTCAATTTTTAACTGCGTTGGTTGTTAACTCTAGTCAAAGTGCACATAATGCTCTGCACTTTTAAAAATGGAACGATAAAGTCTTTGATTTTAACCCTCAATATATTTAAGCGTTTTTTTTTTCAAGTTTTTTTTTTTTTAGTTTTATTTGACTTGGTATTACGACCCGTACTGCAAAAATTCTGCAAGGTTTGACGTCCAAAGCTGCAGAAATCCTGCATGGTATGGCGTCTAATGCTGCAGAAATTCTGCAAGGTACGACGTCAAATGCTACAGAAATTCTGCAAGGTTTGACGGCCCAACCATGCAGAAATTCTGCATGATATGGCGTCCAATGATACAGAAATTCTGCAGGGCTGCAGAACTTCTGCAAGGTTTGACGTCCAATGCTTTTTGAATTACAGGATAAACTAGTGAAAATTACTCCACAGTTTGGAAACTAAAGGCTATTAACAGAGGCCCATAGCCGCTTTATTAAATAGAACTAGTTATAACTCAGGCTTTTAATCAAATGCCAAAAGGGGAGTTGTTGAAAGAAAAAAGAATGAAAAATCGTTTAATTAAATTTTGTACACATTTAAGACTCTTAAAAAGGTTTGTTTTTAACTTTTTTAAAATTTCGTTTAATCAAAGAAAAGATGGAAACAATTCTGTCTTGGAATAAATAGCTCATCTGTTGCAGAATAAGATGATTCGTTCATTTTTAAAGAAATTTAAAGTTAGAAGACCTTGGAATGAGGACACTTTGTACCGAATTTACATCACCTTTACCGAGTGACGATATCGTCATTAATTCATATGAGATAAATGTTTTTCTACGAAGTTACCCGTTCAGTTATTTTCATTTCCACTGACGATATAGGATTTAAGATTTTTGAATCCTCTTCCTTCTGTTCACAAGGCGAAAAATCGAAAAATCAGTTCACACGTCACGGATTTAAAAGGGTAAATTTCTTATTTCCCATCCTGTGTGCAAGGTTTCAGGGAAATCTTGAGGTTTTCACGCTGTGGAAAAAATAAAAAAAAAAAAAAAAGGGGTCAAGCATTCTTCAGGATATCAAATCTCGCCTCACACAGTTTCGTTATTCACGAATAACGTTAACCTTTCGTTAAATTTTACGCGTCGCAGTTTAACTTTGGCCTTCATTACGTGTCACGTCTTAACCCTTAAAGATGCACCAGTTTATTCATACCTTAAGTGATACTCCAGGGGTCCAACAAAGGAATATGATGGCTCTTGCAAAGATTCAGCATCGATTATTTTCGATAAACGGTCAACTCTTGTTCCTGTTCTGTAAAGATACGCAGCTTCTGATTGTATCATTTCAATGAACGATACTTCCAATATTCCCATTCCCCTTATCTTCCGGAGGCATCTTACACAGGAAGTGTATAACGGACGCAAATCAGATGTGAGTTAATGCAATGGCAAACTTTTTTCAAAGCTGGCAGATTTATGAATCACGAACTCGTGTCTTCTCATCTTTGTCTCTCATGTAATAAAATTTAGGGAGCAATTAAGAGCGGCGAAGAGAAAGTCGCAGACAACTACATATCCGTTTGAGGTTTTCACACTTTCAAATCAATTTAAAAGAAGTTGATATGACATTTCTCCTAAGTATTAATCAAAGCAACTTAGCAGCTTCCTTGACTCTTTCTCCTATAACTTATGAGCCGTGACGAAAAGCTTAAGGTTTCGCTTAATCGATACTGACTTTCTCAGGCTTAGCGCGCACGGTAGGCCTAGTCAAAGATATGAAGTGTCCATTCATGTGCACTATGTACCTAATCGGCGAAAAAAAGGTTTAGTATTTCGACTAGAACTCGTAAGCTGTGCACTGTGCAATTTCACCAATGAGGGACAAAAGTCCTTTCAACCTATTGTTTTACAAACCGCCAACATCCGCTCATCATATCTTAATAATCGAGCTTTTGTCTTTTTTGATTGCTAAGCGCTCTTGTCACACTCTGGGTGGAGTTAATTCGTATCCGTCCTATAAAAATATTTCAACCGATGATGGCGAGTACACCGCAAACATCTCCCAGTTCTACGAGCCATGTTGATTTTTACGATTCTGGAATCACCACCAAAGGGAAGACTTCCCAACGAAGATCGGTGGGTTGACTTGGATGACTCAAACAATTCTTTGAGTGTAGAATCTTTCATTTATGGAGAAATAATTCTGGATTTAGAGAGTCAATTAGAAATGGAAGGTAAAGTTAGGACTACCTGAATACAAAGTATCACACGCAGTTAGTTCAGTCACGGTCGATAAGTCATATCTAAGGGTTGATAGGAGGTCAGAAGTGTGCAATATACATGCATTTCAAAGCACCTACCTTATTGTTTTCCACGCGATTTAACAAATGACAGGTAGCGCGAACTTAAATCGTAACGTATCGTAACGATAAATATAATTTAGTATTATCAACTGAGTTGATAACGTAAAAAGTTGGCCACCGTAAAGATTTTCAAAGCTGACGTTTCGAGCGTTCGCCCTTCGTCAAAGCGATTGGGTAACAATAAGTGGTCTGAGCGAAACTTTGTTTGCCAGGCGCATGTTTGCGAGATCACCGATATAGATACAATTTTACTAAATGCTTATCGAATCGTCATGTCTTAGTCTACAATATCACTTATTTTATGTCTTGTCTGTTTTAAGTCCTCGTTGGAGATGTAGAACTCACAAACTTTGGATAGAGGCACGTTTTGGGCCAATTTTGTTGTCGCGAAAACTGATACGATACATAATTCATTTTGGTTGAAATGCACTTGACTAAAAATTAGTGAATTATTTCAGTTCTTGGATTCCGTCGTTGTTTTCAGTGTAGAACCCGGCAAAACCAGAAGGCGCCCTCAAAATGGCTTTGTGGAGTGGTTCTCCAGTACGTTTTCCCTTTCATCGGTTTGTCACTCATTAGACAACATGGCACGGTTTGATTTTTTTCCTATTCGGGAAACATTGTTGCAGCTGACAGAGAGAGAGGATTATTTTTTCTAGAAGCTTATTTTAGCCCTTTTTAATTGAGACACACATGTTACATATTTCCTTATCATAAATATTGTTGGGGATATTAATTCAAATCTGTGATCCTGTCAATTTAGCATATTCCCCTTGGATAGTGAAGAGTGTAAGGTTTTCATTTGAAGGTTGAGCATTAATTTCCCTTGTGATCTTTTCTAAGTCAATGCAAGATTTAAATGATGTATCTGTACTCTTTTCATTACATATACAAATCTTTTAAAATAGGTTAAAGGATTGAAATTGTGACTTGTTAATATATTTTGGCTGAAGTAGATTGCTTATTTGCTCGTTAACAAAATTCTATTTTATTGATAGAGTTAATAATATTTTTCATTTAGTTTTTGTATCTGATCACATAATAAAGTGATGTGACTTGAACTGTATTTTTTTTTGCTTAAAAACCATTGATTTATCAAAAAATGTGCTATTTTGGAAAACACAAAATAGTTTGGAAAGCGTTTTATGTAAATATGTTTAATAACACGATTCCATACACATACCTGTCACTTGGACACTTGATTTGCTGGTTGGAGAAGCAGACGAAGTTGGAGAAGCAGACGAAGTTGGAGAAGCAGACGAAGTTGGAGAAGCAGACGAAGTTGGAGAAGCAGACGAAGTTGGAGAAGCAGACGAAGTTGGAGAAGCAGACGAAGTTGGAGAAGCAGACGAAGTTGGAGAAGCAGACGAAGTTGGAGAAGCAGACGAAGTTGGAGAAGCAGACGAAGTTGGAGAAGCAGACGAAGTTGGAGAAGCAGATGAGTAGACTGAGGAAGACATTACAGACGGTGATGCTGTACGTTTAGCAGAAGATGAACTAGGGGATGTGAACGACAGAGGCAAAACTGGCGATGACGGACTAACAAACGGCTTAACAAACGAAGTGACGACAGTGGCCGCACTTCCAGCTGTTGCGGAATTTACTAATTGAAAATAAGAACGCAGAATATAAATATAAAGATGGAAAATTTTTTAGATACCAACCCCTGACTTCTGTTCCTCGAAAGTACTTGGAGACGTGAATAATTCAGATATTTTTAAATGTATTTGTTTACTTGTCTGACAGGCTGGCTAAAGGGAAAAAGGATAGAAATTCTTCGAGTTTTTAACAGCCTGTGAGCAGTTCCTCGTCATTAGTGCTTCCGCCCGATTATTTTTTCGCGAGCAGGTAAGTATAAGGTCTCGAACAAAGCGAGAGGTCTGCCAGGGATCTGGGACTGATAATAAGGGCCCCTCATTATTAGTGCCAGATCATTGGCAGCCCTCTCGCCAGCTCGCGTTGCTCAGAGGGTCTCGATGGGGTGATGGCTTTTACGACTAACGATTAAAATTGTGGCGATTGTACGGCTAACGCGTGCCATTTTTGTACTAGAAATTTTGTTTTTAACGGTTAACATTGTTTATGACTAACGGTTAAAATCTGTCAATTTTTACGCCTAACGTGTAAAGTTTTTGGCCATTTTAAGGCTATCGGTTAGCCCCATTGAGATCCGCGTGAAATAGAAATGTTTAATACGTTTTCTTTCAAAAGAGGGCGAGAGTAACTCAGCGTGATCGTGATCGTGATCGTGGTGAGTGGCGAAAGTCTGTCTGTCTCTTAAAAATATAGAAGTGTGAAATAAGTTGAAAGTTGGTGCACAGTCGGTTGCGTAACGCGTCAAGACCAAACTCGCGTAAGAGGAAAATTTGAAGATTATAAAAGACGATATTCAGAATAAACTTGAGAGGGTACTCACCACCGGTCGTTGTGGATTCATATTTCGCTTCAAATCCACGAGCAACTGCTTTTCCAGGATGGAACATCACAAACATTTGGCTTCCATTCGACAACTGAGACTTATTCCAAGACGACCCCTGGCAAAATCGCCCCAGCAAAGGCGAACTTGTTGACCCACCATCATAAAGCTTCACATAAGAACAAGAATCCGAACAATTATTGGCTGAACACTCACTTAAGACAAAGTCAGTAAACGTAAACTTGACAATTTTGTCAGCTGGCGCGGTAATGTTCCAGGTACAATCTCTGGACTCAGTGTAGTTACTCTTTGGGTAGTTTGTGCTGCTTATTTTCCCGCTGCCTGAGAGAGGAATTGCTTGCCTGGGACAAACTGTAAACAATGAAAAAGGAACATGTGAGTGTGAAAGAATAAGCATAGGCTGTTCCGAGCGTTCAGTTGGTAAAACGCAGTGCCATATTGAACAGCGCAAGAGTAGCAGAGGAGTGAAAAAACGAGGGAGGGGTGGGTCATGTTGTGTAATCAACTTCTTCTTTTCCCGACCAGACCCAAACCTTACTCTCTTTTTCACCACGCCGCTACTATCGTGCCCAAGGTTATTTCGCTCTGTTTTACTAACCCGAACGCTTGGAACAGGCCAGAAAACATGAATTGGTGCTAGATATATGGTTTCTTTCACAGATGCACTTAGCCGTCAAAATGTGGTAAGAACAAAAAAGTGGCACATGAGGCGTAGCCAAGAGTCACTAATGACCACATTTTGACGGCATCTGGTATCTCTCCCTGAATAGACGCACGGCAAAATGGAATCTATTTGTTTCATTCGATGAGGAAGCAAATTGTTATGAATGGTGACATCATTTATTCCTCTGTTCTCCAATAGGTGATAAATAACAACCAATTAAAATGCTTATCATTTAACTGTCGATTCGACCAATGGTCAAAATCTATACAAACCAAAACGGCTCAATACCATACCTTTAGGGTGGAAGATTCCAATTTAGCTTTTATAAGGGAGTATCCCCAAGGCAAGAATATGAATATTTGAAACTCGTTACGGTGGTCAATTTACGTTATCAACTTATCTTGTTATACTCACCCACCGACGCAGCACCACATTTTCTTTAAAAACTTACCCCCTAATTCAAGAATATGAAGATTGTTAAGAGATAAATTAAAGTTGGTATAGCTTCCCAATACATCACCGCTTACACTTTACATTAGAGATGTTCGCATTCACCCTGAGTTAATAACAGAGAAAACCTCCAATTTTATTAACTAAGCTCCTTATCATTACTTGTATGGGTGAATTTATTTCATGAAACATATTCTCTCAGCGAACTCTTAGATCTCATGACGTTGTTTTCTCTACTTACTTGGAGGACTGTAGTTCAACAGCTTGTAAGTTGCCACAAATCCGTCATAATCCATGTTTGTATCATCGGACACAAACACCACCCTCAGGCTTTCGTGCAGTGAATAAAATATGACAGGAATATACCTTGGTGTACCACATAGTTTTCCAGGCGGCACTTTATCACTGAAGCTATTCTGAACTTCCACATAATCACACGAGCAAGCAGCACCACCACAACGTTCAAGATTATAGTCTGGTATTTTGAGCTCAACACGGTACCCTTGTTTCCCTGTAATATTCCAGCTACATGTCTGGTTGAATGGATAGTTTCTTGGATTAAAGGGAGAGGAGAGAGAACCTGATGTTTCATCGAGGATCATATCTGTTGGGCACACTGAAAAGAATAACAAAGGCTGTCAGCTTTAGGAAAATGCATTTTACTTTCTGTGAAAAACTTAATTTATTTAAAGAAAAATCTTAATGAAGCTTCTTTCTCTCCGAAAACTGTTTTGGTTTTAATGATTTTTCCACGAGGTTTACAGTCCACTTTGTTCTAATGGATAATTTCCAATACCGCTCACAGTTCATTTTCCGTATGTTGACGGTTTTATGCTTTAATAAATATAGAGATCGTGAACTTCACTAAGTGGTTTGCGTTCGAGTGAAAGGCTTGACTACATGCAATATTTTATTCTACAGACTATAGCTGTTCAAAGATTGTTTAATTAATTGTATGATATACTCAACAAAACTCTCGCTCAGTACATGCTCCACTGTTTACTTTAATACTTTCAGTTAGTAAACCACCATAGAAGAAAAGCTCTTACGTGAATCTCCATCTATCGCCTTAAAGGTTGCATTGAACCCTTTGTTTACAGGGCTGGTGCGAGATTCAAATCTCACTTGAATGAAATTTCCCTCGGAGTACACTGGAGGGGGTAGCTTTTGTCCACAGATCTTAAAGTCATTAGGTTTTCCTCCATGAGAGGCAACGTTTGTGATAAAGACTCGGGCACTTTTTGCTGCCGCTCCAGCACAGTCATCGTTTTCACCCGCTACCAGGGTAAAGTTCAAAAAGGTCAGTTTTATGATTTTCCCATCGGGTACGGTGATATTCCAGATACAATTCTTGTTTCGATCATAGTTGTTGGGAAAATTGGGGCTGGAAATGTGACCACTAGAGGCATTGATGGATTCTCCAGGAGGTATGCAGGCTGAAAAAGAGAGGATTTTTTAAATTAACTTTTTTATATTCCTTTTTTACTGGAGACGAAACAGTTCTAATGAAAGAGGGTCTCAATGGGGTGATGGCTTATATCATGAGGGGCCCTCATTGGCAGCCCTCTCGCCAGCTCGCGTTGCTCAGAGGGTCTCGATGTGGTGATGGCTTTTACGGCTAACGGTTAGAATTGTGGCCATTGTACGGCTAACGCGTGCCATTTTTGTACTAGAAATTTTGTTTTTAACGGTTAACATTGTTTACGACTAACGGTTAAAATTTATCAATTTTTACGTCTACCGTATAAAGTTTTTGGCCGTTTTACGGCTATTGGTTAAACCCACTAAGACCCTCTTGCTCAAGGCCGCAGGTGAAGAACCGCACGTGCTGCAGCGCTAAAAATATCAGGGGCCTGCTCGAAGGCCGGTCGAGTAGGGGATATTGCGATGATAAAATGTCATATTCGATCTAAGAGCACGTGATCAAGTTACTATTACCCTCTGAAAGGATCGGAAGCTTTGAGCTGCTTGTCAACTTGACGGTGTGTGGTCCTTACGGAATTGTTTCTACATTTAGCTATAAAAATTATTCTTCGATCAATGTGCTCGCCTTAGCTGCCTAAGGTCGATATGCCACAATTTATAAAACTTAATGTCCTAAACAGAGTGGCAAAATGAACGGATGATCAAAGTTCTAAGGTCTTCCATGACACACTGGTACCCCACCCACACTTTATTCAAGTGCCCCTCCCCCTTCCCCTCCCCTCTGAAAATTATCCATCATCAATCATACCCACACTGACCTTTGAAGAATAGCATATTGACACAGCGATTTCCTTTTTCTCTAAGACAGTATAAAGAATGTACGTCTAAAGAAGATAAATGGCTAATTCCTAGGTAGTTTCCTGTCTATTAATTTGAACTTTCTTATCCCGTGACGCTATGATTATGTGACACTTACACGGCGTGATTGAGTGACTATAATTTTTCTGACCCCAGCGATAGTTCCCACAATGGCAACGAAAATGAAATTACCTCAAGTATCTTGTCTTCGAGGTTTCTTTAAAACCATACAACGAACACATCCCATTTCAACACGATACTAATAAAAATAATTCTTCGAAATCGATTTATTCGTTGATTTATAATTTAAAAACCAGAACGAACCAAATTAACGAGGTTGTGATTATTTCCCTGAATCTCGTCAATCCCTTCTCATTTGGGAATTGGACGGCGCTGAGAAGGTCAAGAAAACAGGTTTTAATTTTCGCGGCGGTGTACAGCCTGTGATCATTTTACTGCATATCGTTAATCAGTATCTGATCGAAGCTTTTCGGAAAAAGGCGATAATCGTTTGTGGTGCCGTAAGGGTCAAGGAATTAAGTCTGAATTTTCGTGGCCGTTCACAGGGAAAAGAACACAACACAGCTTTAGTTGTGCGACGCAAAAGGCGTGCGCATAAAAAAAATGCTAAGGAAACGATGAAAGCGGAAAATTGCCCAGAGTGACATGAAATTGCTTCGAAGACGATGAAACATTCAGTTTAAGATCAAAATGTTGAAATCAAACACACAAACCATAAGCGAAATCAAAACATTCCTCGGTTTTGAATCCTTAACGCCGACACGCAGGCTATTGGTCGATTGAACACATCCGAAAAAATCAAAGGAGATGGCAAATTTTCTGCGATGAACTTCAGTTAAAGCGAATGAAAAGGGAATGACACAGCCATTTGCTCAATAAACAAACTTAATTAGGGGAAGTTTAAGTCGAATCTTGAGGAAAAGATTGGCCGAGAATTGGGATGACGTTGGTGTCAAGGCTGTCTTCTTTTATAATACATTTGTGTCGCACGCATCATAAGAGCTTGATCTTAAAGCACTGATAAAGACTCTTACCCAAACTCGATCCAGCTACCATCTCCACAGCGAAATAAAGTGAAAGGAGCAGAAACAGCCATTTAGGAAGCATCGTGTATTTCACGCGTAATGGCAACCCACAGAAAAGTCGTCTCTCGTGAGCGGTTGATATGACGTATCTACGGAATGAAAAGTGATATTTACTTTGATGAAATATGCGATTAAAAAGCAAATAAAAACATAGGAGCGGAAGCTTATAAGAAGGCGACTGCAGTACTCGTGCTCTTTGGACTATAGTTGTATCACAACGTTTAGAAGGTTCTAATGAGTAAAACAATAATATTCTGATATCGCACAAACTTAGCGGGAAAGAGGGTAAAGAGCGAAGTCTGGGGACCTGGGGGGAGGGGCAAGGCGGAGCGGCGGGGGTTTCTAAGGGTGTGTTGCCAAGGCTTTCAAGCCGTGACTGACCCACTCAGACAAAATCCGTTTATTTTCCTGCTCCGTGCAAGGCCAAAAAACATAGGTAAACTGTTTCAGATCGACTTCATGGACCTATTGTTAACAAACTTAAGCTGAAAAACTTGCGGTTATGTTTCTAGAGACAGTTATTGGCGGTTAAAACCCTTTAAGTCAACAAAGACACCCTAGGCATGACACAAAATTGTGAAATTCCATACCCTTTTTTTTTCTCGTGGTCATGAACAAAATGTCACGGTTTATTTGTTCACGTGGAACTTGTGACACTTTTGTTTTACATTTGAAAGCAAAACATCTCGAGATGGTTTTGAAACGTTGCCTAATCTTGCAGATTCAGTTACTCCGATTCCAAAAGAGAAACAAAGCGAAACAAACCTCGCTTGGTATGTGATGAGCCCCCTCGTCGATGTAACTTCCCCTACCACGATCACCTCCCCCTCTTTCCCTAGTGAATATATGCCCTCTACTCACAGATCATCACAATTTTTTTAAGGCATTAGCTAGTGAGTAAATAAAGAAGTCATACAACCCATACCAGCCAAACTTCTATCTACAAACTCCCTTATTTCCAACCTCCGTCTCTGGAAACGGTAATCCTTTCTTCCTTCTTTTATAAATGTATGGTAAATGCCTGACGCCGGAGGAGAGAAAGGTCAGGTTTCCCCAAGAGAGAATTATGGGACATTACTTTCTCTTGGTTTCCTGTACATATATGAATATTTCAAAATGAGCAGAATTTAAAAGTACCTTTTTTTGTGAAAGCGAAGTTCGATAAAATGGTCAATGCCAGTAATACCAGTTCCTTGAGCCTGCTGTTTCGATTCCACAACAGGTTTGCAATCTTTCGAATTGTCACGTACAAAAGGTAACCATCGGTTAGTTTGGACTTAGACCGCCTCCCTATTGGAGGCAAAGAACCGCATTTGACTTTCAAATTCGACTTTATTCAAATGGTTGCTAGGGCAACTCAAGATACAATGAGCCGCTGCAAACACAAATCGAAATAATATTTGCCGTGCTCTCAACACGAACAAGACCTTGCAGTTTATTTTTCCTCACATAGATCAACATGTCTGATATTGGATCGGAAGAATTCGAAGAAGATGAAGGCATCAATCTTGGGGTAAGTTAGAGCTGGTTTAAACGGCAATTTTTTCGGTTAATATGCGAAAAATTGAATCGTCAAAAGCTGTCACTCTATTTGCCTAAAATTTGCTCCGTCCTTTATCAGTCTTCTTTCTCTCTTTTCGTTCTTAAATCTCCGAAATTTCGTAATGTGTTGAAACTGATAAACTTTAATCGACGCAAACCTTGCGAATGTCAACTGTCAAGTCTTTGAACTTTCATTTCAATTTTATCGAAATGACAGCATTGATCGCTAAATTATAAGTATTTGACAGCTTATGGTTTTCAATGTCGACTGGCAATCTAAGCTAAGAAAGTGTCATTAAGTTCTGTGCAATTTTCAGTCTCTCCTTTAATCAAAAGAAGAAAACTTTGACGAAAGACTATTTCGCAGCCGAGTTAGCCATTCTTCAGTCATAACTAAATATGCAAAAAAATATCCCGGCAGGGAACAGCGATTTGTGCATACTTAATTTGCAAAGTAATAGGCTTCAGTCAAAGTCAACATACCACAGCGATGTTGATAAACAAATACAGCCACCCACTAAACTATCTCAATAGCTTTGCCCCCCTCAGCGGATGTTAATCTGTACCAAGCGTCAACTTAGTTGAGACGCTCGAACTGAAAGCTTTTCAAATTACACTGCTATGCTTTTACTCGCTTTCATGTTAAAGTGATCGATGTACAAGGGATTTTCAAGTGATTTTTACTGATGACACTTTTTGTAAAGTACATTTTTCTTGTTGCTCGTAAAGGCACATAATTATGGCTAATATTTTATAAAACTATTAAAATTGTCAATTGACTTATAAGCTTTTCTAAGAAACTGTATGTGATCTTTCTCTCGCGATGATTAAAACGATAATCGACGGATAAAGAGTGGAGCATGTGAATGAATGAGGATACATTCCAGCCGATTCAGCATCTCAAGTTTATCATGAAATATCTCTTGTGAAGTGGTTTGTTTCTACGCATGATTGCTTACTGTTTGACCCTTGTGGTTACCCCTTTGAGAGGGAAGAAGGACATTAAAGCCTAACGACATGTTACGTAATCTTTTGGTTTCTTACGGAGCGAAATTAAGTCAGGCCTTCACTAACGTGATGAACTTGGAACTCTAGTTAAGGGACCCCACGGTTCAGATATCCGGCTCCCGGCCGGTTCAAATATCCGGCTCCCCGAAAGGGTCTTCCTCTCGCTGTGAGCAGGATATCCTATGGGGAGTTTTATGACATAAACTTTCCAGACCACCCTTCCCTCAGAGCTTCTAAAAATGAGCGCTACATACAGTTCAAAGGCTATTCAACGAATCTGATTACTGTATTACGTTTTATTTTCTTAATTCATTTCTGTAGGAGTACGATGGTGACCGAAACGAAAATGAAGAACGCCATGGCTACGGTAAAGCCACCCTGCCAAACGGAGATACGTACGAAGGGCAGTACGAACACGGAAAAAGACACGGCAATGGTACGTACCGCTTCAAGAACGGTGCCAAATATGTCGGCGAGTATGTCAAAGGCAAAAAGCACGGCCAGGGTACGTTTTGGTACCCAGACGGCTCGCGATACGAGGGTGGCTTTGTGGAAGATCGGAGAAATGGCCACGGGATTTACTACTACGTGAATGGGGACACTTACGAGGGTGACTGGTACGAGCATCAGAGGCACGGCCAGGGCGTGTACACGTACTCAGCGACTGGGACCAAGTACAAAGGATCGTGGGTACACGGCAAGCGCGACGGCACGGGAGAACTCGTTCACTCCAATCACAGATACATGGGAAATTTCTTGGATGATAACCTCCAGGGCGTGGGCAAATATCGGTTTGATATCGGTTGTGAACAACACGGAGAATACGTTTTGGAGGAAAAGGTCCAAGAGGGGGACACCGAAGAAGATGAACAACTTACCGTGTTGACTGCCAAGTGGAAATGTGCAAGTATAACTGAAATTGAGCCAGCTATCATTGGATAGATTTGTCGCATTTGAAATGTTGACAATTTCTAGAACCTTCTTTCAGATATTTCGCGCGAAACCCTCTGTTTACATCAGTTGTTGAATCTATTTTATTTATTAAGAAAAATTCTTCTTAGGGGTGAATAAAACTGCCTTACACCAAAGCTCTCTTCGAGGTGACTATTATCGAGTCCAAACTGTGGTTCTTGGGCCGAGTAAAGGAGTGATCAATCCTATTATTAGTCTCGCTATCGTCGTCATCATCATTCATATTATCGATATCATTTTATTGTTTAACTCTGTCAAACAAACCCCCCCCCCCCAAAAAAAATAAAATAAAAATAAAGAAGGGAAGTGAAGGTTTGATTGAAACAGCCCCTAGAGGGATAGGGAGTGTATTGTATACTAAAATGAATGTTTTTAAATCCGATTTTGCCATTTATCAGTCCCTTAGGCCCGTTTTACGAGATTCTCAACTATTACCGGTCCCGGAAACTAAAGATGTCTTTTGTTTGCCGTACATTGCAGATAGAGATATGAATATTTTTGGAATTAAAGCAATAAAAATATCTGGAAATTAAAGAGAGTAGACGGGTTTTAGATCAGAGAACTTCATTAGTTTTCCTAACATTTAGTTTTTTTAAATATGACATTCTGCCCGCTAAGTTTCCGAGCCTTCGAGAAACAGGCCACAGATCGATCAATTTTCCCCTCAAATTTGTCTAACGAGAAGTAACCACTGATTAAAAGGTTATTCGTTCAACTGACAAATACAGTCAAACCTCGAGCTCTTTCTGGTTTGACCCATTAATTCCGCGGCCAAGTTCAGTTATTCAAACCTCATACAAATCAATTACTGAGTGACTGCGGATGACAAGTGACATGCGTAGAACAGACGAGCCGTCCCGCTTGTGACGAATCCCATATGGAAGGAAAGTAAGGGGTGGTGATTGAAATTTTTAACCCCTATACCAAGCAGTCAATCGTCAATGTCCCGAAATTCTTTCCCCTTAAACTCTGTGCTTTTCACCTCTATTAAGTGGTTGTGGTCATCCTTTATTCCAAGGCTTGTTTCTAAACACCTTCTGCCTGTATTGAACGGTCTTTTGAAGCGCCACCACTCAAATAAAACTAAGCACAAGCTTTCAAGTATATTTAACCCATGTTTATCTTCTGAAATCAAGCTAGTAGTATTTTTGAGCGAGGAATTTGTAAATTAAGTGGTTAGTTATGGCATAAAATGAAATTTTTTATAATACCATACCCCTATTCTGTAGAATACGTATTTAGCGGACAAACTGTATTCAGCGGTCACCTCGCCATTCTCCGTCGGTAACCGCTTAATACGAGGGTAATTTTCTATTATCGACCGAGTTGATAGCGTAAATTGGCCATCGTGAAGAACTTAAAAGCTGACGTTTCGAGCGTTAGCCCTTCGTCAGAGCGATTGTCAGTTGATAACACTAAATTACCCAGTTATACTCACCCACCGACGCAGCATCATAGTTTCTTTAGAAACTCAGTTAACCCCTTTATTCACTTAATACCAAGTTCGACTACGGTTATACCAGTCTAAGAGACACAAGAGATACGATTGTTAGACGACAGCTGAAGGGGTATAGCTTTATTGCAATCAACCACAAACGACAAAATTCTTTAAAATAACAGAGATACGACCAACGCCTTTTATTTTTTTATTTTTTTTTTTGGCCAAAAAAACCTATCGTTCAATGTACCTGTTAAGTGAGCCTACAGTTTATTTTTATAAAAGCGTTCGAAAATTGTGCAAATCGCTACCCTCAAGCCTGTGATTTGCAAACATTTTTCGTGTTCTTCCAACATCCTGCGTGGGTTATTACCGACACCGGCAAACCGGTAGAGAGTGAAGTCTTAAGCATAATTGCCATGTGAATGAATTTTTCTATAGTTGTCGTATTAATATCAATTGTTCATGAAATTCTGTCCACCGTTGCAAATTTTTAGGCTTCGGTACAATATTTGTAGAATTACGGAAATCGGCAATACCGCGATATTGCTTTGTATCGATATTTATACACAAAGTTATAGAAAGTTAATCAATACGAAACTGATCAAAGGTTCACTGTTTTATAAAATGGTTTATTGTTTGCCACGCCTAATTCACATAGTACCTTAGTCTACCTTTCCTGATTCTCGTCACAAATATTGATCAACCAGCATCTACGAAGCATTAACGAGACATGGAAATGACAAATCAGAGAAACTGGTGTGGAAAAGTGAAGTTGGAAAAAAAGAAACGGATGTGTACCAATATTGTTGATGCGGTTCACTGCTTCCGTAACTTCAGTCCAATAAAATAAAATGTTACTCTTGGTCTGGAATATTTGAACTTTGTGCATCTTTGCAAAATTGCTCTGTATTGGCAAACTATTTGCTAAGTTCGAAGTTACTTAAATTGCATGTTTGACTAAGAATTGTGGAGTCAAAAATGATTTTTTCGCGCTGAAAATCGACTTTTGTTTCGTCGATACTAAAAATAGAAACTCTCGGAAAAAAAATCGATTCCACAGCAAGGTTAAGATGGAGTCGGTAAAAAACTTATGTTTCAAGAAGCTAAATATGCAGGCAATTAAAATACCAAGATTGAACAACGATATGCCATATTTCATGAAGAAATGTCTCACAATAATTAATTTTATTTTAAGAACGAGTTAGTGCATGAGTAGTTTATTCCATTTGAGGTCAGAACGATTATGTTATCCTGTTATCGCTGTGATAACACGCTAGAGGAGTTGAAACACGCACCTCTTGGAGTTGGAAAATAAAAACCCTTTAATTTATCCCAACAGCCTCACTGCGTCACTGGGGAGTTATGTTTGCAGGATATTGATCTGGAAGCAAGTTTGCAAGAAATAACTTTCCTAAGAACTCACTTAACCGCAGGCTTTCAATATCGTAACACTCGTGCGCATGATATCCCATCACGAAACGAAACTCGTTCGTACTCGATGGACTGATGAAAATTCTTCATTTCATCCTCAAAAAACGAAATATTTACAAGATTGTTATAAGAATTGTTCCCTTGTTGTATTTACATACTTTTAGGTAATCCGACACATTAATTATTTATATTGGGACTCATTGTTTGCGCATAAACAGCATGGGTAGCGTTTGACAGGTTGGGACTCAGGACTAGTGAGAGACAGACCAACGTCAGTGTTAAGATGCGGTAGTTGGATGCCCTTATCTGTTTTATAGTGTTGATTTTACTTGTGGGCAAATGGGAAATACACAAGGGAAAAGTACTGAAGGTAAGATATAAATTATATCTCTGTTTTATGTCGCAAGAAGGGCAAGCATTCTTGAAATTCAAGTGTGACAAGGTTAGTTGTGAAGAGTAATTTTGCATGACAATGCGAAAGCTTGGGAAAATTACGGAATGGTCGTGTTTATTTCGCATTATCCGGCTTATAGGCGAGTTTGCTCCATTTATTTGGAGAACAAGGCCTTAATCAAACGTACTGCTGTTCATTTAAGTTATTTCCCTGGAGTTTTCTTCGTATACCTGGTAAATAATTCGCAGAGTAACGGGCTTTTGTTGTAAAATACCTCTTGCAGCGTCACAATAAATTTCTGGTCTGTATCGATCGATTTTATCTGCCTGCAGCACAACTTGATGTTGTCATGTAAGTCACCAGGGCCGTATAAGTCTGTTTGCCAGATAAAAACATATGTACATAATGCGTAAGCTTTTTCAAACACAGAAATCCACTCGCGATTATAGTTTGTTTAAACAATATGGAGAATTTTACTGTTATTGTAAGACTAGCAGCTTTGATCGAGCATTCGCAGAATTCTTTTCATTTCGAATGTTTTCTGTCGTTTTATCGCTTCAGCAAAATTTTAAATATTGCATTAATACGAGATTGAATTTTCTCCCAGCTGAAAAAAATCGCCATCCGTAGCTCGCTAATGACTATTTATCTCTCACAATATTTATCATCGAGAGTTCTTTACATGTTTCCTCTTCAAGAATTAGTCTGTCACTTACTATGATCAATATTTTCCTTTCCTTTATTATACTTTCAATCTACTGACCTGTAAAAACATACATCATCGCACTACTGTTTTAATTTCCTTTTCCGCTGTGATAGTACGTTTACTGTAATGCGATTTTTCATGGGAGATGCATTAGCAACTTACGAATTTATTTCTTAGCCAAATCCCGCTCTAACTTCGCTGGGAATACTGAGCATGTCAGTAACCTGGTTGGGAAATTTAGTTTAAAAATCTTCCTTTTTCTTCTTAAGATTGCGGCGATCTAGCAATTGGAAAACCTAAATTGGGTCTTGAAAAACCATTCGTGCGTCTTAAATGTAGCTTTTTCCGAGATCTGGGATTCCGTCTACAACAATATTGGTCACCAAAGCATTTCGAACGTTCGATCGTTGTCTTTTGCAACTGCTTTCGTGTTAAATCCCTCTATAATCCCAGCTCTCAGTGGCGGATAATATTCTAGAATGTTTTCCGAGAGACAAGGAAAATAGTGTTTCTGTACAATTAATCTTTTCTTTTTGTGATTTCCTGCGATTAAATGTCGAGAAATTCGACTCGCTCCTTAATTATTCAAATGTAGCCTAAAGCCGTCAAACGAAGAAGCCGTCTAGCCGCGAAAAAACAGTTAATTTCTCAAGAGTGTGTCGAATAATATTGGTTTACGTCAATATTACTTCAGTGTTGAAATAAGTTATCTTTCATAACTTATGATGAGCGCTTTTAAAGGATATACTTCGAACGAGAGAGAGTTGTTGTCGCATGTTGGAGGATGTTTTTATAGAATCAATTTAAATTTAATCCCTCGCTAAGTGATATTTGGTGAAATGATTGCACATTACGTTGGAACATTCAGTGTAGAAGGTGCGTGAACTGAATCTAACATGGCAGTCTACCAAATTTGCTTTTTGAAGCATACTGCATTTGGAATGCTAGTTGAGATGTTTACTACACGTTATGACTTATCTCTGACAGGCTTGTAATTTCTCATATCGATACCTCACTGATTCAATGAAATTTGTACATCAGGTTTTCAAACTTTGTGTTCAACATGAGTAAAATGAAAGCAGATGCATCGATTTATTTTAGTTTTTGCATAATCATGGACACTAGTTTGAAATGATATATTTGATCAAAGCTATATACACTAACAAAAGGCTGACATACTTTGTAGAAATAATCAGCAGAAACTGTGAGCACAAACGGTACACTCTGATTGAACCTATTTAATTTTCATGTACACTTCTTTAAAAAAGTCTATCATATTGATATTTTATTTCTTTACTTAGCATATGATTATTTTGTTCTTCAAAATTTGAGATACACCTTAGTTTTTATCATTAATGTGAATCACTACTCTGTGTTGTCCAACTGATTGTAATTATTGAATAATGCCTCATGATGATCAAATTGAACTGTTGCTATGATCAGCGAAATATTTATATCACTTGATATATGAAGATAAGTCAAAGTGAAGCTCCACTCAATAGAAATCAATCATGCAATGATTTTAACAAGTCCGAGAATCAATCTTAAGTATTTATTTTCATACCATGCAGTTATAAGGTATAGGAGACTATGTAATCTTGTGGTCTTATTACTATGAATTCTGGAGCAAGTGATCAAAGTCCTAATGTTTCAAATTTCCAAATGAATTTGAAGTAGTCCTCAACATGTCTAGCCAAAGCTAGACAAACTCAGTTAAAATCCAATTGAAAACAAAACCACAAGAAAGATTTGGATTTAATAAACTTGACTCAAATCGACCTATGTGATAGTGAGTTGTGATTCATGCTTTAAAATTCATTTTGGTGATTTCACTAAGGAATTTTGGAGAACAAAAATTTACAATTGGGATGTAATACTGAGTTCACTTTTGAATGCAGTTTGTAATTGATGAGAGTGCAAAATTTGACCTGAACACATGTAGACAGTGAGGCATTTGTTTCATTGGCTCACACATGGTAATTTCTGGTTGTAAAATTCACTTGTTGTTCATAAATATCTAGAATAATAATTTCAAACATGAAATTACACTAGATCTATGCTTTTTTTACCCTTAACTTCCATAGGTAGGGAGCTGTAAAAGTTATGACAGTCGTATTTTTTCCAACCCAATTACATGATTGCACACACACTAATGAGCTAAATGTAGTTGCTGACACCATTATTTCACTAGAGAAAATAATTTTTAAAAAAAACGACTAATACTGACTGAAATTGATAAATAATGGTATGTTCACATGTAGGTATCAAAAGGCAACTTTCCCAGTGGGTATTAAGTATTGCAGGATTAAAAATCAGCAAGCTACTTGCAAGACTTGGATTTTGTATTGTGTTAGCGGACAAATTTTAATAATTATCTCTTTTGCTCTTTATTAAAGAATCACAAATTTGATTAAATTGAAACCATCAACAATGAAATGCCCTCAAGAAGTTTTTTTTATCACCTAATACAACCCAGACAATATGTAATAAGTAGCAGTTGAAATCAATAGCTATGAAAAATGAACTTAGTGGGAGCAAATGCTTTTCATATTTTATGGAATTCATCACCTGAATTTGATAATCTAGTTATCACCCTTTTAGAGTTAAGTCTTTAAATCTTTGATAACTAATTATTTCAGAGACCTAAATAACCTGTCACAGGTACTGGACAAAAGAAAAGATATTAATTTTCAATGCACTAATTTGCAGAAAAGAATTGAACAGAAAAGTTTCTGAACACCAACAATGTCATGTAAAGCATAAAATAATGCCATGCTTTCCCATGTCTCCTCAATGACCTCTTTTGAGAAGAACAACAGGTAAATGAAGGTTCCTCCCTCTCCTGCAAAGCTCTTTGGATTAAATCTGTTGATCTCGTACTTAGCTCTGTCAATCCACCCTGATTATGCTACAATGTTATTTCCCAAGGGAGGAAAAGTTACTCTACATGAATTAATCTCCAACTTACAATTGTCATTGTCATCATGAGAGAAATAAATTTAATATCAAATAAATGAGGTAATCTTAAGGGGCAATGTAACTTCTTTATATCACACTATTTCTGTGCTTGTGGTGCTGTATAAATATATGTGAGAAGCTGACTACCCTCTGCAATAAAATATCTTGATTGAAAAAAGAGGTATCTTTGACTAAAAAATGTCCACACATTCAATGAGTGGCTTTCTACAACATATATGAGGTGTATTGGTGTAACTATTAATACAGTTTGACCTGTGTAAGGCAAGTGGCAGGTTATTACTTATGCTTGGGAGCACCTACACTAAATTCCCTGTTACTAAGGTTTTAAGTAGCCGGAGCCTTTTTAAAGATAAATGGTTGTGGGTCTCAAAATCCAACATGGTGGACAAAACGTCATATTGTTCATACTTTTTTGCCACTGCAGCAAGATTTTTCAAAAAGACAGTCCCCATCAGAACATTTTTAAATGAACCTTGAGTCAGAAGTCTTTTTATGTTTTCAGAAAAGATAAGCAGTGCAAATTTATATTTTTATTGAGCCCAAGTTTAGACCTGATAAACATCATCTCTGTACAGGCTCTCGAAGCAATGAAAGTAGCCAGTGAAACCTTGCAGAGAAGTCAGTGTACTTTGCTGGCTGCTGGCTCTTATCTACAACCCTGTACTGTAGCCCTTGATAAAAGACCTCAGCTGATTGTAAAGTTGATTTCTGTTCTGAATTAATTATTCTAATAAAGTAAAATTGTTCTAAATTGATGAAGCAATCAAAAGCCCAAGAAGTCAAGAATTCTAAATCTATATGTATGAAAGCTAGGAGAATATGTTACTTAGATTTCTTATTATTTTTCTGTTGTAAATTTTTTTACAGCAAAATCTTTTGAGTTTTTAAAGTGAGTACTCTAAATCACAGAGTACACTTAATGTGTCCTGAGCCTTTAAAGTGTTCCTCATTCTTTTATTACGAATGAGCTTGTATTCCTCAAAGTGTGATCACTTGGTATGGGAGTACTCAGCTAATTTCCTGTTTTGTTTCAGATAAAGACAAAAGAAGGAAAGGAAAGACATCTAAGAGTTCTCCTGCCAATGAATTTTCTCCCACACCAAAGCGAAGTTCCACTTCAAATGGTTCTGTAGGAATAAACAGCAACCATAGGACTAGAGAAAGTTCAATTCATTTGCCTCTGAAGGAATACGAAGTTCCAGATTTCTTGAAAGATACCCAGCAACAGCGTTGGCATGAAAATGGGGCATCTCCAGTGGTCAAAAGGGACCTAAAAGACCCGGATTTTTCCTCTAATGGTGGACAGGGGCTTATGATTCCTAGTGAGGAACTAGTGGTGCCTGAGTTTCTTAGAAACAGTGAAGGTAGACAAGGACATAACAAGTTACGGCATGGTGGAAGCTCCACTTCTGTTGCCAGCAAATTTGGGGGCGCTCAGGGAAATGTAAGAAATGAAAGCAGAGCAAGAACTGCAGAAAGGGCTGACAGACAGAGACTTACTAATGGTGATACAAAAATAGACAGTAATGGCATGAGAGACTTTGTTACCATGAATGGAGAGCAGAAAGTTCGCAGTCACTTGCAGGGTGCTGTTGCAGCCTTTAAACCAGATCAGGAAACAAGAATAGGGCAAAAACAAACTCCTGACTTTCAAAAAAGGTTAAACAGAGCCTCAACAGTTGACTCACCTGATAAAATTGCTCAACTGGGGCAAAACATGAGAGAAAATTTGAACTCAAAGACAAGTTCAGACACTGACAGTGATTTCAAGGCAAGGAATAGAATAATGTTTGTTGACATGGAGAAAAGAGAGGAATTAGGAGCATACGATGATGCTTCCTTGAAAAGAAAATACAAGAAAGGAGGCAATAAGAGTAAAAACAAAGGACAAAATGGTATGAAAGACACTTCAGAAGTTTCACAGAGAATTGTGGCTTCTGCTAAGGTGCAGATGGATCCTGGTGGAAGGCGCAAATCAAACAACTGGCCTGCAGACACTGATAGTGTCCAGAGCACTTCTTCACAGTCTTTTACTGAACCTATTTCCACAATGTCCTCTGAGAAAGATAAATTTAGTGTTTCAGTGAGAGATCATGGGAACCTTGTGTTAAAAGGTGGTTTGTCAAATGGACTTCTTTCTTCCTTCAGAAAATTACCTGGAGCTGCCAGTGAGGATGCAGATTCACTGCCTTCTACACAAAGAAGTAGTAAACTTAATACCAGTCTTGGTTATAATGAAAGTTCACCTGAGGAAGACCTTCGTAAAGTTAAAAGGAAGGACTCTTTGCAAGCTCATTTACGAAACAGGATTACAAAATTGGAAAAAGTGAAGCCACCTCTGCCCAGAGCAAGATATGACAGTGACTCCACAACTATCAGTGATCACAGTGCTTTTGGAGATGTCCATATATTTCCACATTCCCCCAGAAGAAAGTCAAATTTTGGGTTGATGACTTTGAATGATCTTCCAGAAGATATTTTGATTTTTATTTTATCTTATTTGTCAACAAAAGATCTTTGCATGGCATCAGGTGTTTGTCAGAAATGGCAGACACTCTGTTGGGATCCACTGCTTTGGTCGAACATTCAAATCTCCAATTATCAAGGAAGCGACATCAACAAAGTTTTGCGGAATCTACTGGCAAGACTAGCCATGGACACTCAGGGTTACTGTATGACAGTACATTCAATAAAGTTAAATGGTTGTGAGCTACTGTCTGATAAAGGACTGGGTTTTGTTGCTCGGTTTTGCATAGATTTAGAGGAGCTTGATGTGTCTGGTTGTTGCTGTATCACAAGTAAAGGTCTTCATGACATTTTATTGAATTGTCAAACTCTGACTCATCTTGACACAAGTGGCTGTACTTGTGTGAATAATATATCAGCTCCAGTAGCAAATGGATTTGGTGTGGGACATCATGGGTCATTCCTTCAGTTGCGACATTTGGACCTAAGCGATTGTGTGGCATTTGATGACTTGGGTTTGAGAGTTGTGGGTCTCAGTTGTGGTTTGCTTGAAAGCTTGTATCTGCGCAGGTGCAATCGTGTGACAGATGTTGGCATCAAGCATATTGCACAGCACTGCAGTAATCTCAAAGAGCTCAGTGTCAGTGATTGCTTCAAAGTGAGAGATTTTAGTCTGAAGGAAGTTGCCAAGAATTGTCCAAGTCTCAAGTACCTCAGTGTGGCAAAATGTCCTATAACAGATACAGCAATGAAGTATATTGGAAAGCACTGTGTCAAATTAAAGTACTTGAACATCAGAGGATGTGAAGCTGTTTCTGATATTGGAATGACGCACATTGTTCAAAATTGCTTGAAACTGCGGTCTCTTGATGCAGGAAAGTGTGATATTACAGACAATGGACTTCACATGATTGGCATTCATTGTCCTCAGCTTAAGAAATTGAGTATACGAGGATGTGACCGCATTACCAATACTGGGGTGAGAACTATTGCAGCTCAGTGTTGCAGTGTGCAGTACCTGAACTTGCAAGAATGCAACCTCAGTTATGAGACTTTTATGTACATAAGGGAACATTGCAAAAATTGTGTCATTGAACATACATGCCCTGCATTTTTCTAACATAGCCATGCAAAGAGATGATGTGAGCTCTTTGTCAAATATTCTTATGTTTTATCAGCTATTTTCAGTCCATCCAGTTGTGTTATTTTGAGAGATAAAATAGATTTCATTCTACCTTCTAATCCATGTGTTCCCACGTGTGTAGGTACGCATGAGACAATCTCCCTTACTGATAACCACTCCATTTTTTCACATACACCCCAGCAGGGCCTGCACATGTTCTTCTATGTTTTTCACTTAGTTTTAGGCCATCATGTAAAATTTGTAATAATTATTTATAGAGTAAGAGAAATATACCCCCTCTGTGAGGGTGGGGCATGGGCAGCTCAACCCCCTTCCCTTATATCTGTATTGTGGTTTTGTTGTCTCATCCTAGGCCTTAACAATGCTTAATTGCTGAAGCCTAAGGGCCAAAAGTATACTACTGCCTGTCAAGACTATAAAAAAAATTTATTTATAACATATTTGTCTACAAAAATCTCTTGAAATCCTATTGAGGTGGACAAAGTATAAATAGTGGTGATCCCAAGAGCAAAATTTACATGGTATCAATGAAAAAAGGGTGTGTTTTCCTGACTGTTTTTCAGAAGTCAACCTGAAACTCTAAACTACAAGTGAAAAGTCTCTGATATTCAGGGAAAGCATGTACGTGAGTGTTTTAATACTTCTACAGAGTGAAAATACACAGAAGTTGAAATTGTAAAGTTATGGTTATTGTTTATTCTAAAATTCAGGGAGGGAACTAGACTCCATTTACCCTTACTGTTCAATTTCCAAAGTTTCTTTTTGCAAATATGGGATTGTATATTTGAATATTTAAAAGAATTATTATATTGTTGTATTACAGTCTACAGTGTAAATAATTTATGATTTTAAGAACTATCCTGGGAATTAATTTATAGGTCCTTTGAAAACTTATGTGAAAATAGAGTGCTTAGGACTGTGCCCTTGATGAATTTTTTACCAATTGTGTTTGGTTATGAATGATATGTTCCCAGTTTTGAAGAAAATGTTAATTTTGTTGATATATTTCTGGGAGAATTTGAATTATTATTATTGCCATGGAGGAACCTTATTTTTGGTTCAAATGACAGGAGTTATTCAAAAATAAAACAATGAAAACATGAATTATAACAAAAGATGGTGATCTTTGAGTCATTAATAGCAAGTATTGTACATCCAGATGGTGATATAAGTTATTTTACGATGCCTGGAAAATAGTGAGTGACAACCTTTTCATCTGATCTCCATCAGCCTCAAAGCATCGCAGAATCTTTGATTTTACTATTCTCCAGCCATTTACCAATAGAGTGTAAGCTCTTTGATTCTTTGAGACATATTCTGAGGATGTAGACTTTGGTCCTAATTTTCAAAAATTTTGCAGTATTTGTTGTTGTTATTGAACTCCAGTTTTCATGAAGAGTGAAGTTAAGGGGGGAAGGGAGAAGGAAAGGAAGTTGAATCACAGGCGGACCGCACTAAGTGTTTGTGGTTATGTAGCCATGCGGCGAACAAAACCTATGAGGGTAGTATAATGAATAAACTCTGAAAACTTTTCACCTTCATGGGCCCTTTGAAGCGTCTTTTTGCGCAATTACTTTTGGCCGAAGGCCATAAAGTACCACAAATGCATCGATTAACATTTCATTTAACTTTACTGAGATATTCAGACCAAAATGTGATTTAGATATGCAATTTTAAGAGCTCTATTTTAACCTTCATAGATTTTGTTCGTCTCACGCCCAAATTAATTTTCCCCGTTCTCCACTATCTCTAATTTAAAGGACAGGAACCTCCCTCTTGCCATTCAAAATATCCAAAATCACCATAGTGTATACTCATTTTAACACAAAATAATGCAGCGTTGTTTATCTTAATAAACTCTGCCGTAAGACGAAAAATAATGGCTGAGTGGCGCTTGACGTCAGCAGCGCTCGGATGAGGTTGCACAGCATGACGGGATTTCCCGCGCTTGCATGAAAATCTGCATTCTTTTACTAGCCCGGGAAATTCGCGTGTGAAACAGCTGAAATTCTGCTTTAGTTAAGGGCAGATTTTACGCCGTTTCCTGTGGTTTCGTGCTCAATTATCCCCTTTCGTCGATATCGATGGTCGACCTGTAAGAGAACTTCCATCAGGCAAAATTACGAGTTCGATCTAATCGACAAAGATCCCAAATCATGTCTTCTAATCGTCGAGCGTCAGTTCCAGCAATCGGTCTTCGTCGAAGTCCGCGAAGAAGAACGAAAACTCCTTCACTGAATGAACTTTCAAAGAAGTACAGTAAGTAACACAAATTTACATCCTTTATACATCGTTTTCGTTTTTGTTACGGGCTCCTAACTAGCGGAGCTTCTCGAAGACGTCTTTGTCGTGGAGGTTTTTGTTTCATCTTTTCGTTTTCACGCCGCTGTGTGAATCGTCATGGCAGCTGTGATATTGTTTTCAACAAAAACTACGGGATGTTGGCTTATTTTACCGTTGAATTTTTAAATTGCCATTAAATTTTGTCATGTTCGTCCACATTTTCAAAGATCGGAGTAAAATTTAGTTAAGTTTTAATCCTTTGAGTCCGATCGCGTCTTGGTGTCCTCTGACTGCGTCGGTTACATGCTTTCACTTAGAAGACAATCATCAAACGTCAAGATATCACCGCTGTTCTTGTTAAAACTATTCCGGTTAAAAATCTTTGGCGTCGTGACGAGAAAATCACATTATGTGATCGCTAGGTAGTGTTTTGATTTTATTGGACGACAGGTTAATTGAAGCTGGAAGTTAGTGTATAAAACAGACCAGCTGTTATATTTTTGATTCACGTGCTTCATTTTCCTGATGAATTATACATCCTCCTCAGGTTGCTCTTAAGTATGCTTTCATTTTAGTTCCTTCTAGAAAGCATTGTCGATCACTTCCATATTGATTATTTTCTATAATCCCTACTGTAATATAATTGTTTACAAGAAAGAAAGCTGCACTTGATTTTTTTTATGCCTTAAGCCTTCCCCACAGAATGTTTTGTTTTCCATCACCCTCCCTCTCTTGAATATGGGTTACTAGGTCCAACAAAAAAGGGAGGGAGAGGGGGAAGAATGGAAAGATTTTAATCAAGGAAGCCTTGGTTTGTGAAAAGTAAAAACAGCTGGTTACAGGTGTGTTATTTTGCCAATCATATTTCCAACCAAAACCCCCAAGAATTCATATCCAGGCAAGAGAAAGTATAAGTGAATTCTGTGTGAGAAAAAAAGGGTCATCTGAAAAATGAACATTTACAAAACATCTCTTAGTGATGGCCCAAATGGTTTATTCCCAAGAGTTGCTCCTGACTAATATTAACACATTTACTCCCAAATTTTATTAGTAATTCTCCATACTGTCTGCCATACAATTATTATGATGTTACTTTGGAGAATTTGGTATTGGATCAACTAATAATCCCCTAATTGATTTTTTTCTTAATTCTCATCTCTTGTCTGCTTGATATCATATTGGTTTTTTTAGGAGAAATTCTGTCTTGATCACTCATGAGAGTTTGAGGGTTGAGGGTTAGGTGACAAGTACCATAGTCCACCAACCTAAAAATCAAACTTGTCATGGCTGATTTTGAGTGTATGCATTTTGTTTTCTTTTAGTTCAAATATGTTCATGTTTGATTGAAATGGTATTTTCCCTGTCTAGAAATAAGTCCCAGAGGTAAAAGAAGACTTGAATTTCAACACGAGAAACACCAAGAACCATTAAAAGACTGTACATTCTACTTGGATCTTGAAAACTATCGCAAAACAGGCAGCTTAAAAGCTCGCATAAAAGAGCTTGGAGGGGTAAGAGAAGATTTTGAATTCAACAACTTGTAAAATCCCAGTTAGAGCAACAGCATTATAAATGTGTAAGACAAACAACCAATCCCTTATTTTGCTTTCATAAACAAAATTTTTACTAAATCACGTCTAGTTTTATCTGTAACAGCATTTATATACATGTATCAAGGACATGAATCTTCATGTAGGGTGCTGCTGAAAGTGTGTCTGAACTAAATATCACAATAAAATTTTAGGGTGCAGCTTGTTACTACAGTATAGAAGTGAGCCTTATCACATTTTTACTGAAAATTGCGTGAATAGTTGTGAGGCAAGGGGTTGTTAGTACCCTGATGGTGCCAAGATGCCTCTCTCTTAAAGACGACTTGAGCCTGCCTTCATTATTTGCCAGTCTTTCATGGTTCTTTTTGAAGAAAACTTCAATGAATAGGCTTAAGTTTCAGGCGGCAAACAAAGGTAATACCAGCAATGCTTTTGTTAAATAAGCTAATGATTGTTTTCAATGAATTTAAAAGGCTGTAGAAGAATTTTTGAGCAAAGACATTAGCTGTGTTGTCACCAACAAGAAAGATGCTGACAGCCGTTGCTCTCCAAGAAGCAACTCAACACCAAGCCCTAGTTTATCAATTCCAAGTCCTTTTCCAGGAAACACAAAAAGGTAAAAAAGAAATGATACACATTACTAGTGAAGGCTAAATATCCTTCACCCTTAACACCCTAACATCAGTATGCATATTCTCCATACTGTTCTCTATACTATTTGTAAAGGTGCTGACAACAAGAATTTGTTTAATAATCAAAAGCTTCTTTAGTTGGTGACCATTTCCTATGTTCTCATGACCTTAATGAGTGATTCAAGGGTGAAAGTGTTAGGAGAAATTAGATGCTAGTCACTGTTATGGCTCAAAGTGTTAACTTAAGGGTTTTACTCATTTTGTTTTCACTCAAAAGAAGCTGATCTTCAATGTGTGGTTGTCAATCAGATAGGGAGAAACTACTACATTCTCCATCTGAGTTTTCTAGATTGACCCAAAGGCCAGGACAAATTCCACAAATAGCCTATTTTTGATACAGTCAGGCCAAGTTACTGAATGTTATCAATTACAAACAAATCTCCAACAAATGACAGTTTTTCAAGCTTGAGTCCATTAATGAATCTTCCATGAAATGAATAAATCCATGGTTCAGGATTTTTAAGTGAAGCTTTCTTTAAAGTATATTTAAAAAGTGAGTAAGTAATGAATGCCTTTTCCCTTCATGATTGCTGTAGCTCATCAGCAAAAGGTTCTGCCGTTCCATCTCCATTAAGTGCAGACTCATGTGGTACTGAACAAAGTGGTCAGACTTCTGCCAAACATAATATGAGGGGCAAGGCACTTGCAGCACATGCAGCCATAACCTATACGTGTGGAACAAGCAATGTCATCGCTAATGCAAGGAACTGGGGTCTTCAAATCGTTTCACTAGAAAAGATGTTAGAGAAATTGGAGCGATATGGTAGCATTCTAAAGAAACCAACATCCAAAGCTTTAGTTACTGGTAGAGTAGCCAAGCAAGGCGTCAAACCCAAGGTACGAAAGCTGCACTCTCCATTCATCAAAGTAGAAGATCACAGTCGCGCTTACAAGCCCCTGGTTCATGAGTTGAAGGACTGGCCAAAGATTTACTTTGATGGGGCATTGGGGAGGGGTCCATTTGACCCTCCAAAGAGAGACTTGGAGCATGACTGTAGGGAGCCTGCCAAGACTAAAAGGTAGATAAAAAAATTAAATTGTAATAATTCAGTGTGCCTGATACAATGTGATACCTTTAGACATGTTAAGAAGGATGCTTCAACACTTCATTACATATAGAAGCATAACTATGTCAAGTTTGTTTAAGTTGTAAGAAATGTTGCTGAAATTAGATGGTCTGGTTTATCAAGGTCTAGCATTTATCTACATCATTTTTTCAGTTGCATTTTGTGTTGATGATTGCAGTTTGCACAATTATTTTTTTTACAGTTCTGACTGATGGTGTTATTATACATACAGTGTCTAAGCTCTAAAAAGCTATACTTACAATCTTAACCCTTTGATCCTTAGGAGTGACTATCATCTAATTTCTTCTTACAATATCCCCCCTGAATCACACATTAAGGTCATGAGAGTAAAGGAAATGATCACCAGCCAAAGAAGCTCTTGATTGTTGAACAAATTCTCCCTGTCAGCATCTTAGGAAATGAATAAAGAAAAGGATGGAGAAAATGCATACTGATGTTAATGAGTAAAGGGTTAATCATGGGCTGCTCATAACTGACTCCGGAACCATGTGTGGATGTCTACATGTACATGTATCTGAGATGTGTCAAGCTGTTCTCTCATGTGGTGTTGTTTATTGCACCATATTTTCTGCATGTATTCCCAGAACAGAGGTGGCTTCTATTCTGATGGCAGCTAACTATTTTATTATGGCCATGTGTACAATATGGTGAAGGTTTTCATGATATAATTTCTTCTTTTCTTCAGAAAAAATGTTGAAGAGGATAGGAATAAAAAGAAAGGATTTTGTGAGTGCTGCTGTGTTCATTACGAGGATCTGGACATGGTAAGTACATATACTCCTGCCATTAATATTTTGAATAGCTTCTTCATGGAAAATTGGTTAAAGATCCAGCCATTTGAAACTAAAGGATTTATCTCCACTATCTGCAAACAACTTTTTTTTTCTTTGAGAGGAAAGAGTCTTTCCCAATTGTGCAACATAATAAAATGTAGCTTGAGATCAAATCCAGATCTGAAGTCCATTTGACCATTGTTTTTCCCACACATTCCAGCAGAAAGGTTTCTTTGAAATTAATTTCGTAATACAACCCTTTTTTGTTATAAATTTTCCTCCAGCACCTTCACAGTGACCGTCATCAGGCATTTTCAAGGGACTCATCTAACTACAAAAGCCTGGATGAACTGATCAGAAGAGGAACAAGTTTGCAAGACTTTTTGGAAAATATGTTGTTAAAACATCAGCAGAAAGAGAGGGAAAAGAAAGAGGAAAACAGGTAAAAATTAGCTTAAATAATTGTACTGGGAAGAAACAGCTTAACAAAAGGTATTGGTGAACGTCCACTGTATCTTTCTCCATTGGGGGTGAAGTGTGTAAATGTAAACTTGTGAAAAGATTGCAGGAAGGTATAACAAAATGTCTTCAATGTATAAGCATATTCTAAGACCTGTTTTTACAGTGAAAGCGAGACAGGTTTGGTGAAGGCTACTTGTTCCGCACATTATTTCCTAAAGCATTTCTCAACATAGCTACTTCTATCTTTCAATGCTTTGTATCTTTAAATGTTTGGGGAAATCGCATTTTGACTACAGAAGGTTAAATAAATACAAGTGTGCACATAATTATAGCTTTTAAATTTTCAGTCAGTTACTTGAACTGTACAGTGTAGTTTATTCATTTCTTTCCCTCTGTTCTCATGATTTAGGACTGAAATTCCTGGTTCTCAAAACTCCGTCGCGGTTGAAGCTGAAGAAAAAACACCATCAAAGCAAAACAACCAGGAAATGATTCCGGTGTATCAAACTCCTCCAGACCAAGGCTTCAAGGAAAATGAAGGCTGTCAAACACCCATCAACCCCTCGCCTGAGAGACCTGTTTGTCACACATCTGCCACCAACTCCACCCCCGAGAGGAATTGTACTGATTATGATACTCCAAGAAAAAAGTCAGGACGGAGAATCGGCAAAGGTTCTTTTGAGGTCAAAGAGGCTGAAAGGCGAGAATTGCGCAGCAGTCCCAGACGCTCTGAAAGCAAAACGAACAGCCCAGGAGAGGGTGCATCCACGCGTACAGTTGGGTATTTTAGAGAAAGGCGTGTAAACTTGGTGAAAACAAGTGTGAAGATAGCTTCAGAACGGGTAACCAACACCAGAGTACGGTCGTCGTCTTTCAGTCCTACTGCGACGTGTTCTAAAAGCGATAAATATGCGTCTTCTCCGGCATCTCGTGAAGACCTCGAGAAGAGCCAATCTAAAAGAAGAAAGAGAGTATCTCCCGTTCAAAATGTGGAGGAAAAGAGTGCAGATGCGAAAATGCACACCCATGAACAAGGATCTTCCGGCGAGGATGGTAGTAAAGTTAACCAACAACCTAAGTCGAGTGTTTTTCGTTGGTAACATGGCGAGTTGTGACGAAGACAGCGTTGTCCGAACGAAGCTTCGACCTAGAAGACCCCATTCTGATAGAGGTGAAGTCGACCTGGTTAAATGTAAAGCTAGTTCGTCAGACGAGTCCAGACTGGAGTTCCAACATAAAAATCTCGGGAGAACACGTCTAAGGCAAGCTGGAAAGGAAAATTTTTGTGAAACTTTCGAGTCTACAAATCAGATAGCAGATGAACAACTAAAAAGCAACATTGACATAGAAACCCTTGAGAAAAAGTATAGCGTTGACTATCTCATTACTCATGCTTCTCGTTCACAAGGAGAGAGCAAACAAAACACCCAAGGAGAAAGTCCTAAATCAAAGAACATTCGATCTGCTAGAAGAGAAAAGTTGTCCGATTGTTGCGATGAAAACGAGCAGCTAGATGAATCTCATGTGGAAATAATTCAAGACATAGAGCAAAAAGTAGATATGGAGAGTCCCAGAAGTACGCGGGATGCATCGGTTGTTAAGCTGAAAAATTCCATCATGATCCGTGAAGCTCCCGCGACAGAGAGTGACATGCAAAAAGGTAAGATGACGTCACTTGAAACAAAAGTACAACAAGAGTCGGAAATCAGGATGGAAAGTCGGAAAAGGTCATGCCTTAGGTCAGCTACGAAGGAAAGTCATCATGAATCTTGTCAAGAGGATGGGGGCCATGCGTCTGCTCATTTGGAGATGCCTACAGAAAATGAAAAAGAGAATGCCGTTAAGTCGTGTGAGGCAAGTGGTTCGAAAAGTTTGGGACAAGACATTGAAATGGAAGGTTCCATGGGGTCGCGTCGTAGCTCTGCCGCAAGTGGGAATCGTGGTGGACTCTGTGACAGAAAACCAAATTTCGATACTTCGCCGGAAACTAAACCAGAAGACACCCAGATGGAAAGTCTTAGTATGTCCTGTCTTTCATCTCCTTCGAATGGTAGTATTTCGCGACCCAAAAGATCTGGATCGCCAAAAACAGGGGAGGAAAAAGGAGAGCAGAAAACACGAAGAAGGAAACAACCCTGTAATAAAATTGTCACAAGGGAGACGAAAAAGAGTGGGAAAGCGTCGAGCGATCGACAAGAAACTACGATAGCCAATGCTAATAACGACAGCGTTGTTAGATGTACACGATCACGAGTTAAGTCAGCCCCAGCTACAATGGCACACTCGTCCAGTGATTTAGATGACAAAGAGAAGACCAGAAAAGCATCTTCATCGGATTCTCCGAGACCAGCAGCAGAAGTAAAGCTGGGGAAGAAGACAGTAGATTCGAGCGTTTGCCCACATAGATGTTTAGACTCTGAGCCACAAAGAAAACTTCTCACGTCGAAAAATGAAGTTAGCGAAACTACAGACCTTATCGAAGTAAACCAAAGCACAAAGAGCTGTTTTCTTGACTCGAAAGATTCCTCACAAGTAGAGGTGAAGTTGTCTGATTGTAGAAAGATGTGTGTTAACAGGAAAAGGCCTTTGCGAGATGTACACTCAAATTCTTCTGACACCGAGAGTATTCAGAGTTCAAGTGGAGAAACGTCATCGAAAGGACCTCCTGCCGAGGACGCTCTCTCGGATGACGACGAAAATGATCTCTCTAGTACACCAACACTGGATCACTGTCCCTCTCCTGCAAGCTCGGAGAAATCAGGCTTTTCAAATGAAACTTCAGCGGGAAGTGGAAGGTATAGCTTGAGAAAACACGTAGAACAAAATAAGTGTGACTCTAAGCTTTGTAACAAGACCAAGTTAAAACACAAAATCCCCGACAGCCCTGAGAGTTATCGTGAGCGGAGGGAGAGAACTGTTTCCACGGACTTTACCAGTGTTAAATCAAAATCCAGAAGTCCAAAACAAAGATCTCAGTCAGTACAAAGTCTCCAAACCAGGACATCAAAGAAAAAGGTGAAAGGAGAGAATAAGGGACAGATAAAAATCCAAGAGAAAACGCCTTGTCGTGGAGAGGCCTTTCACGTGAAAGAATTCTCATCTGAGGCCGATTTAAGGTCCACCTCTGGTAGCCCTCGAAGTGGTCCTACTCATGACAAGTACAGCATGGGTGTGTCTGGTATGCTTTCAGCTGGGATAAACTTGCAAGAGCTTGCTGTTGACGACGTCGACAAAATAACGGATCCTTCCTTTTCATCAGATACAATTGCATCTTTGGGAGATGTTTCCGTAACTACCGTTCGTGGGTCACCCCCACGCATGAAAAGCGCTGACTACTGCGCGACGAGTAAATATTCAGGAATTCAACTCTTGGAAGGCAGCCCACGCATCAAAAAAGATTACCATTCTGCAGCTTTTCTTGCCAAACATGGTAAGAAACGATCTGGTGTTACTCGGTTGTTTGAGTCAGATGACGAGGAGGAGGACTTCTATGGCTTTGATGTGCCGCAGTTCCTTGGGTCGTTTTCATCTGAAGGAGAAGATTTGAGTTATAGGATCAACTCTATTGTGGAGAGTATGAATGATGGTTCTGATGAGGCCACTCTGGGAGATACTCAGGATAATGACACTATCGAGGAGGTTAAAACTAGTGACGAGGACACGGTAGTTGAGAAAAATATTGGAAGGGAAGAAGAATCGATGGTCGAAAAGATAGAGATAGGCAGAAAAGAGGATGTCGGGAAGGGACATTTTGACGGAGATGTGGAGATTGAACAAAATAAAGCCACCGGAGTGTTAAGAAAGATAAGGCCTACAACTTCAGTCGAGATTCACAATAGCAACTTACAAGACTCTCGGCCAAGTACAGCAAAAACGTCCATAGTGGACAGCATACCCGAAGTAGATACTGACGATTTTGATGAGGATGACGATGTTTTCAGTACAGTGGCTGGCAGCACTGACGGAGAAGACGACGAAGATGACTTTGCAATAACGTCGCCTTTCAACATCTCCAGCTGGACGCGGAGGCTAAATTCAGATAATTTTCAGGCAGAAGTCTCCGAGCAAGAAGAGGACTCCGTGACGTCGTTCACTAACATTAACTGGAGACGAAAGCGTAAATCTGACGACCTTCAGCCAGAAGTGGGGAGGCCAACGAAGCGAAGGAAATCAGATGTAGCGACGGAGGTAGATTGCTCTTTCCAGTGTTCCCAAAAAGTTACCCCTGTTAAAACTGGAGCTCCTAAGAGACTTCGATCAGTGAGAGAAAGTAATAGCGAAAAAGGAACTTCATTTATGACAGAAGTTGATGGTTTGTTCCTGAGCAAACAGGAAGGGCCATCTTTTTTATCCGAACCAGTTCCAAGTGGATTCCAGGACAGCGCTATGTACGAAACTATTGAAGAACGGGTCAAGATACGTCGGATCATGGAACTTTCACTTAAGGAATACGAGAATACTCAAATTGTAAGGCAGCAAAAAGACCACAATATGCAATCATCAGCGAAAGAAAAGGACAGACAGAAATTCCCATCCTTAAAGCCATTGAAGGGCCATTCCACAATTCGAACTTCTCAGAGAGCTCGTCCAATCAACAGCTCACCAAGTTCCTTCCCGTCACCACTCGCCGGTCCTTTTCGAAAAAGTCGGAGAGCCACTTGGACTTCTGACGCCAATGCGTTTGCGTCACCACCTCCTGCAAATTCAAGCTCCAAAGGTCGACAAGTTCGGTGTTTGACTCCTGTGTCAGCGAGAACACCTTCCCAACATACTTTGAAAGAAAAACGCAGAGAGAAATTTCCACCCTTAAAGCCGTTGAAGAGCGTTTCCAGTATTCAAACTTCACCGAGATCTCGTCCAATCAACAGCTCGTCAAGTTCCAGCCCGTCACCACTCGCGGGCTCTTCTCGAAAGAGTCGGAGAGCCACGTGGATTTATGACGTCAATGCGTTTGCGTCACCACCCCTTGAAAAATCACACTTCAAAGGTCGAAAAGTTAAGTGTTCGACTCCTGTGTCAGCCGTAACACCTTCCAGACATACTTTGAGGTCACGTAGATACTACCAAGACCCCGAAGATTCCTTACCACAGAAATCAAGACCAAAAAGGGACGCTTTTGCTTTTGATGAATAACCAGAGAATTCAGATTGTGCGGAAAAGAGAAATTTGTAATTTACGAATTTGCACAGAAGTAGGGTATAGAGTATGTTTTTAAAAAAGTATATTGTACAGAGAGACATTTTAAAGAACATTCTGGTGTAAAGTCGTTCTCATGGGGAAATTTTACTAGTTCAAGGACGAGTGTATTCAGTATAGTGGAAAAGGTAGCGTTCTATTGTTAAGTCGAATGATAAAAAGTCGTAAACATGAGCCAGTGTCTAATTTTAATTAACACAGCGTCAGATTAGTGTCTTCAGCTACAGATCGAAGGAACACTAAATCGCTAGTTTAAAAAATTCGTCTTAAGATACTTTTACAGAACGCAATTTTTTCTACTAGAACTGTATGCTAGGTCCATATCGAGCTAATGTATATTTGAATTTACAGAGACCCATTGCCCGTTTTCGATTTGTGGAGTTTTTCAATCTCGCAGTTTAGCTTTGTATATATTTCATTCGTATTGTTGACATCTCGTATTTTACATCGAGTTTGAGATTACTTGTCTGTTTATTGAATTTTTATCACAAACTGTTTGTCATGGCAATCACAATGTCAGATTTTAGCCGAGTTGGTTAATATTGCATATGGGTGCTTTTTAAAGTATTTTTATATTGAACAATAAACTTTTCAGAGACACTTACTCATATTCCTTGTTCGTCCTTGAAAGTTTTAGACCAAGAAAAATCAAAATTTATTTAAAACAAAAACTTTAAATATTACGCAGGTTGACAATTAATCAAGTGAAATCGTCTACCCGATACCTTGGAGGTGTCGTAAGCCATAAAATATGCGCTATTTAATTTGGGAAACTGGTATGCAATCAGCTGATAGTTTTCTTGATCCATTCAGAATGTGGTTTATTTGAAGTCGATAAAAACCCCCACAGTCAAGCCTCGGTGGGTTTGCATTCATTTGAGTACAATTGATTTAATTGTCTTTTAAAGCCTTGCAAATAGCTTTTCGTTGGTGACAAGTTTGAGTTCAATCGAAGTGTCGGAAGAAACTTGACAGTGGAAAAAAACACCAGGTAAGAGTCGCTATCAACTGAAATGAGCTGTGTAGAATACCGGGATATTGCTGCGTGCGATTGAGAGAAAATAGCAATTTCTTCTACGAGCGTGAAACTTCATCCTTTTTTTTCTTCTCCTTTCTCTCTTCTTATTTCGCTGAAGTAGGTTGTGCGTATTTTAGACACGATATGCAACGAATGAGTATATTTCGTATTTTGCTTATCATCGCAATTCCGTGAAAGGTTTGCCGGTGCAAATTACTGACAGGGTCGCAAATCTTTGGAAAATATGCGCTCGATTCCCTTTTTAGATATTTTTATTTATTATTATTTCTATTTTTCATTTCTCCATGTCTAAAGTTAACAAGTCGGTTGCGTGCTTTTTTCTTTTTCTGGCAACATTTTCCATCTAATTTTGAATCAATCTATCCGGACGCCCCGCTTGTTTTAATAGGCTTTTTTTAATAGTATCGAAAATGATAAAGCTGACTGGAGTAACGGTGAGAAAAATATTAAAATTAGATAAAACAAAAGAACATCTTGAAAACAATACAGATGCACATCGATAAGTTAGGGTGCAAATGTGTTGAGAAGGAAAATTGTCCGAGAAAGTAATTGACGTTGCTTTTTTTTTCTTTTCTTTTTTTTTATTATTGTTTAAGTCTGTTTTGTTTTTCCTTCTCCTTCTGTGCGCTGCTTCAGGGGAGTCATCAGAAAGATTTTTCGGAAGGTGAAATGACTAAAACAATATTTAAATCTGTTATGTATTTCCGATTAAATTGAAAACTCTAGAAGGCAATTTCTATTCAATAAAAATTCAATTAGAACCAGCGCTGTCTTTCGATTCAAAATATATAAAAGAGCGTAATTAGAATTAAATGCTCTTAGGCGCGCTTCGTTTTGATTTTTTAAGTTATCTTAAAAAACGCTTTTTCCCATCGCTTGTTAGTTCCAACAAACAATCGACTCCGAGAAAATTTAAGTACAGCACATACAAAGTTCCAGAAAAAGAGTACAAAGCTTGCGCTGATGGTCATAGCAGCCAAAAAAATGATAGATTCAACTAGCTTAAGGTTTTCTGAGTATGTCTGTGGCTATGCACGTCGGCATGTTTGCTTTTTCTACTATAGGTGAAATAACAATGTGTAAGGTTCAGGTAATGTGATGCAAAACAGTAGCGTGGGAGTCTACAAAAGCGGAAGTCATGCAACATCGCTCGTTCACCGGAAGTTTCAGAGAACACTGTTCATTGCGCCTCATGTTGTTTGTTAATCGTTCCAGACTACGCAGTAAACACGTTCTAGTCAGTGAATCCAATCGAACAATCGGAATCAATATGCCATCGAAAATGGTGTACACAGTAAACTCTGATGACACGATTTGGTAGAATTATGCAGAGCGAAAGGTATGAAGTTCCAAGGGCGTTTTGGTAACGAAAGCCAATGGGTTTTGAGGGGTGAACTGTTTTGACGGCGTGAAGTAATTGAGGTAATTCAAAACTACTTGTTTTTTTTAGATCAAACAGTGTCTGTTGTCTGTTTTCACCTTGGCAAGCAACGCACTATTTCTCTTAAACGCTAAACGCGCAATGTAGAAATCGATGACCACGTTCAATCAAGATTGGATGACATATGCTAATATAGCTACAGGAACTGATCGATGAGAAGGGAGAAAGCATCGCTCTTTATGAAATAAGCAGGCAGGTTACACAGTTAGACACTTTTGCGTTGCTAACATGTCATAAATATTCTCCGCGAAACTATTTTATGACTGACTTGACTTAAACAGTGATGTCAAATTTTTCGCAATTTGTTTTGCGTTGATTAATTTATTCTTGTCGTGTAAATTTTTTTTCGGTGGTTTTAGCTATAAAAAGCTGCGGTATTGTGTATGTAGACGTTGCAGAATCTCTCTATCCGTGAGCAAGATTACTGGGATTTTGGATTTTTAAATGCTGGCTTTAAGACAGCGACTTTCTACATCAAAGTAGCTTGCACAAGTCCGACGCGTACTCACGAACTGACGCGTTATCACTCGACCTTATCGCCCAACAAAGGTGCAGCAGCATCAGGTCGTAATATTGAGATCTAGAAGATATCATTATTATCTCGCGATTCAAAGAACAAAAGACAAAGCTTTATTGTTACTGTTTTAACCGTGAATAGCGACTGCAATAGTTTTACAATATTTGTTTGAGTTAAATCGTCGGAACAGTTTGGTCGCATTGGTGTAATTGCAGCGATTTCAAATCAACGTGCTGATCATGCATGTCGTTCTTATTTCATCGACTGCTGTAAGTTGAGACGAACACACGATAGCGACCAAAAATAAATTACAAACTGCTACTGAGCTAATACATTACCCACTGACTACCAAATATGTTTCAGGAAACACCCTCTTTCTCTTTACCACAGTCAAGCGACTTTCTTTCTAAAGTTTTGCCTGATCATGTCATAATTCGATTTTACGCTCCTGTTGATCTGTTGCTTTAATTAAAAAGCCGGAAATCGAAAGCATAACTGAGATGTTAAGCCTTTTTGTTTTTCATTCCGCAGTTGTTCCGAGTCATCCACCATAAAAGCGGAAGACTAAGCTTTATAAAAGAAAAATTTGTATCAGCAAAGTAATTTTAATTTCATGTTGACAAAGTAAAATAGCAAATGTAGGATCTTCATGTGATTACTTCGTTAACTATCTTGTGGCTTCAGTATTTCGTTCTTTTAGCTGGTTTTTGACTATCACCGGATAGTCAAATATTGTGACGGACGGACGGTTCGTCGAAATATCTTGCGTTAAATAAAATACAGGTCATTTTTTTTTTGTCTGCGGGAAAACTTTGCGTCTTAGGAAAAAGTTGAACCGAACAATTGAGTCACACTGCATTTGAACTTCCTCCAGAAGCAATCATTCAAGGAATTGTCGTCTAGAGTCAGCATCTCTACTTCACGCCGTGAGCCCAGAAAATTCACCACCGTATAGAGAATACCTTGTAAATTTAGGAAACAGTGGCATTTCATTTTATTTTTTTCATTTAACACACGCAATCCTGTCTCGTGTCATGTTCGTTTGAAATAAAAAATACTTTCGTTGTACAGTGTTGTTGTTATTGTTGTTAGAATTCACGTCATTTTCCTTGAAATACAAATCACTGAAGCCCCAATCATTTTCAATTTACTGATACGTTTTCATTTTTGTATTACAGAAAACTAAGAGGAATCAAAGCAGCCGTATCGACGCACAGCTGAGACGTGTTAATTGGTTGTTGATAACATGACTTTGTCTATCAAAACCGGAGTGACTGTTTTGCTTCTTTTTGTAAGTAGTTAGTTAACACTGAGTTGAAATGGACCAAACTTCGGTTTTGGATGGCAAAATCAAAGTCATCGACCTTGTTGAGTGGGGCACTGTAAAATCTGTCAAATTTTGCGAAAGTTTGTCTACGCTTGTGTGATGAGAGGCAAGGAAAGGAGATGAAACACAAGTAGAGAAATGAGGAACCAACGTTAACTTATTTAGCTCACTTTTTGAGTTCGCGTCATTTTGAGTGTTTTTATTGTTTTTCTAGTTGGTTTTTATTTCATCAACCCTGGAACAGGATCTTAAGACCATTAATGACAAATTAAAACAGTTCTGTGAAAAGAACCCACAAAACTACATTAAAGATCCAGGTAAGCTTGCGGCGGAAAGTGCAACTTGTCATAATTTACAAATTGCGACAGCAATGCGAATCTAAGGTCTTCATCGGGTTAGCTTGTAACATGCTCATTCTTCTCTTATCTTACCACCTCTTCAATAGTTTTCAGAGGATAAAAAGTGTTTCCTGCGTAGCCTCGAACCCAGATGTCTATCTTTGAGAGAAAAAAAAAACTAAGAATAGGCGCACAAGGGAGGAAGCGAATGCGGTTCTTGTTCCTTTCCATTGTATCACGCACTTCGCTCTAGTCACACCGGTTGGTAAGAGGAGCTAGTGTTCGTTGCTAGGCTTGTGCGCGCGATGCATTGATCTTTCCCGCCAAACCGGAAGTAAACAGACATTCACGATTTGTGCTCACCTGAACGCGACGCTACTCCATTGTAGTCATCTCCGAAACTAATCGTTCACGTTCCCCTGCAACTTTTTGGGCCCCTTTGATACTTCTGAGAGGAAGGGGCACATTGAGAATACCACTATCCTCCCTAAAAACGCAGCATCATGACCCACGGCCTTAACTTAATCTTTTTATTTGGAAATCCTGCGGACTATTCAACAAATAACCATGGCTCTCAATAACTGACACTTTCGATTTTTTTTAAAGGTGTTGTGAAGTGCAAATTACTTTATGATGTTGCTTGCTGGAAGGAGACTCTTGCAGGCCAAACAGCTGTACAACCCTGTCCTTTCCTACTGTTTTCGACAAAAGGTAAACGCAAGAATCACTATTTGAATTCGATTCCTTCACTCGAATACCCTGATTCTTGTTGATTAGCGGCTTTTGAAAGTGATATACCGTTTCCCCATTCACTTACGTTTTAAAACTTGAAATATATGGCATCCTTCAGCGTTGTTTCTTTAACTCCCCCAAAAGATGCTTCTCAACTCAGTCATCAAACCGATATGCTTCCGTACGGACGATACAGTATATCCTAAAAATCTGAAAATGTTGGTTAACTCTTTCAGATAATATTTCTCGCCGTTGTGATAAGGAGGGTAACTGGCAAGAGATGAACATAACAAAATGTCACAGACTTACACCAAAGGAAGCAGCTGATAAAGGAAGGCAGGCATCTAACACACCAACGAAGAAACAGGTAAACGAAAAAAGAAAAATCTTTTTACATATAACGCACATATCAAGAAATAATCAATGGAACAAGCAATCTTTGAATGGTTCATTTGAACTCTCGAACTTCAGTCACATATTATCGTCATTTCGAGAGAAAATATTCGTCTCGAAGAAAAAAGAAAACTCTTCAACATGTCGCCTTCTCTCACTTCTCACGAATACCGAGTGCAACCCTGACTTAACTATCCATACGAACTTGAAATTAATGGCTCGATTTGTTTATTTATTTATTTTGCTTCTTTTGTTTCTTTCATAGGATGACTCTCTTACTCATGCTCAGCGTGTGCAGCGGTTGTATATCGCTCTCTCTTGGATCGAATTTTTTGTCCTGCTGCCAGTATTCATACTGATCTGCATCGTCATGTAAGTGGATCTTTAATGTCCTTTAATTCCATGTAAGGTGATGGTCGCAAGAAAACCTTACTAAACGTCAAAATGGTTTTCTTGTCTTCGAAAGTAGGCCTAAACATCTAATTTATGAAACAGTTTGCACGAAGAAAGAAATATGAAAAGGAGGTATTTTGTGCACCCACTTTTAGGTTTTTCCTCCACTGACAGTCACCCCTTACTTGAAAAAAATAATCTACTCGTCTAAGAGATCGATGTCTAATTTTACATCAACAGGGGCCGTGAAAATGATCGATTTATTTTGCATAATCATCTTATCTTGGCGTTTATTCTTCGCATCATCACTCTATTCATTTATCACTATGGGAAAATGGGAGAGACAGATTCGAACACGGTAAGACTCCTTCATTTTCTCCTACTTTCATCATTTTTAAAATCGACTTTCAAATCTTGCAACGCCTCTTCTCATTCCCCATCCCTCCAGGGATATGAATTTTTAACAAGGGAAATCTGGCAAAATTGATTTATTTTGCGATCTTGATAAGCCAGTCTTCCATCGAGGAGGAAGTACGGGTTTCCTAAGTTATTTAATATGCTACGCAACATCTGGAACAAGTTTCCCAGTGCGAGCAAGTCTCATATGCAGATTATACTTTTAATCTTTTAAGAGTGATCTTTATGCCTTCCTTCATACAGGCCGTTTGCAATGCATTCTGGTTATTGAACCGCTACTTTGCGGCTTCGGAGATAACGTGGATGCTCAATGAAGGGGTTTTTCTATTGCGCATGCTCGCGTATCCCTTTGACAGCGAGTCATATCTATGGTACTATTATGTCTTCGGTTGGGGTAAGTTTGGTCAAATCAAGGCATAAACTACACTTTTTCTAAGTAACAGTTCGAAATTTTCATCCATTTCCAGTTTAGAAATAGGGAAACCTTCCAAAAGTAATGCCCGGAAAAGATTACAATGATGATTCAAATGGGTATAAACCCGTGTGATATATACATGGTAAATCGAATTGTTAACCTACTCACTCGCAGAATTATTAATTTTTAATTATTAATTGTTCATTTCCTACTTTTCGCACACTTTTTTCATCTCTTCATCAATTCAACGCAATTCACTTTTTGTTTCGCGTGGTTGAAAAATTTTCCAGAATAGCATAACAAATGCTATGTTCTTACCATTTTGCAAGTTTTTAGAACAACACTGTTTTATATTCGTTTCGTCTTTCCTATATAACAGGTTTTTCCGGTTTTCTGACGTTCTGTGTGTACCTTCCATACATGCAGTTTAAGATTTCAAGAGTTTTTTCAAGGTCAGCTACATTTCTGCGCTTGTTTGTTTATTTTGTTGTTGTTGTTGTTGTTTTTCTTATTCGTAGCCTTGTATTTTTTTTTCATTGAAAATTCATCGTAAATTTTTTCATTTTCTTCATTTAGGTCGGGTGCGTATATCTCAACTTTCTCGTAAATTATCTGACCCATCTATCTCTACTGATTTTGTTTCAGTTGTTGGGTGAGACACAGTCAGTCAGAGCACATGCTGGTGTTGTATGTTCCATTATCCATCATGCTGCTGGTAAGAAGAAAAAGCTGTCAAATATATGCCATTTCCCACTAGGGAGGGATGGATCCTCGGCTCAGTCCCTGAGATCCCAAATCAGAACTGTGGCTATCCTCCTTCTTTAGGAAACGAATACTTTAAAACTTACAGGCCGTCGTAATCCCTCCTTAATCCTAATCAGAAAATCAGTTGATGCTTTGAATTTCTGCGGCTTTGTTCTCTTTCACAGATCAACTGTGGAGTTGCAGTCTACGTAATTCGAATGCTCACTAAAAAACTCAAGAACTCTCATTCATCACAAATGAATGCTATCAAGTGAGTATCTTAGGAAAATATGTGACATGTGACTGCATAGATTCAAATTTAAAAAAATTTAGTTTATTCACATCCGAAACTAGTCTCCTTCGCTCCTTTTTTTTTTTATTTTTTTTTTTAATGTCATAAAACCGCTGCGTGACATACCAAAGAATGGCTGTGAAGGAGACTGATAAAAAACATGTGTTTTCCCGATTGATGTTTCTTTAATCTTCCGCTTGCACCAATAGGAAAAGTTCCAAGGCGCTGGTGGTTCTGGTATCACTCCTGGGAGTAATCTACCTTCTCGTTTTCTATCAGCCAGGGAACAATCCTTCTTACGATTATTTCGTGACTGTTGCTTATCCCTTCCAGGTACGTTTAACTTTAATGCTAAATAAAAATATTATTTTGCTATTTAGCACCAAACAGAACTTATATTTGCATCAGGTAAGATTCAGTTTTTTCCCTCAAATGACAAATATTCAATGCTGACTTTTCTTCCTCTCGATCCATGAAACTTTGCCAATACCCAGCCATATTAACCACGCGCTTGGTGAATAACACACATATATTCATGTAAGACAAAGAAGGCTTCTGCACTGAGTAATTAATTAAACTGTTCGTCAGAGAATAAGTGCCCATTACTTATGAATCCATTTTTATATTTTTTCTCTTTCTAGGGAATCATGGTTTGCATATTTTGTGTTTTTCTGAGCGAGGAGTTTCGTGAAGCGCTCAAACGACGCTGGATGAAATGGAGATACGGAATACTTATAGAAACGGTAGGTTGTAATACCTCGTCTTTAACATGCATTACGGACGTATGATTTTCCTAAGAAATTTTGGTTAAGACTACCTTAGGGACCAGTCTTTATTTGCCGACTGCGGGGGGAGGGGGTGGAGGATTCTGAGAGATCACATGATTTTCAGGCGGGAATGGAATGGGGACAGTCATAGCCAACAGAGCATAAAAGGGATACTATTAAATTGACTGCCAGTATATTAACTGTCAATGAGGGGAATGGGGTGGTTATAAAAATATTAAAGAGCCTGAGAGCCGTGGATTAGGTGAATTTTATCGCGACACAACCAAATCCTCTAGCTCCCACTCCCCACCCCTCCCCTCCACCAGACGATAAATAGAAGCCGGCCCCCTCTGCCTACCTGAGCTCAGTGGCAGATACCGATATTGTTGGATCCAACATATAGACTAGGGACGAGAGAAACAATAACGTTAACTATCTTAGCATGCCTGGAAATATGAAATTTATTTTGGGGCTTTTTGGAATACCTCAACTTCTTCCAAAATGACCCAAAGTTTAAAAAACGTAGCCTTCGGAAAAAATCGAACGAAGGAGAGTTTGTTTTCGTCCACTGAGTAAATAATACATTAAACTGGAGTTCCTCATGGGTCTCTTTTTTTTAATCCACTAAATCCCAGAATCCATACTCCGCAAACGCGGGAAATGAGGAAGAGCCTGGCCCATCTTATGAACCGGAAAGAGCAAGAAGTACGACAAGAACAGAGTCCTCAGTGGAAGTACCTCCTAGAGCTCTTTCAATTGCATCTTTGCGACAGCCAACAAGGTATTAAACTTCCGCTATAGTTTCCCTGTAAAAAAAAAATAGTGAAACCGTATTTTCCTCGCCAACTAACAATTCACAATATTTTCAGGGACCAGCTTCCCAATGAACATCCTCGTAAGCAAAGCACAGAGAGATCTTTATTGTCTCGCTCGAGTGATCTCACAAAATTTCGCCTTGCCAAGGTCGAACCGGAGCCAATCGTGCCTGTAAGGATACAGTCAGCAGGTCCAAGGGATTGGTGCCCACCAACGCTACAAGCAGTGAAAGCCTGGGCAGAAGTTGAGTCTTCAGAGGTAGGAACAGGACTGGAAGTTTGTGTCAATCCTTTTGCTAACTGGAAGGATTATCATTCTTAAATTCTTCCCCTAATTATTAGGTTTGCCTTTCATGAGGCATTCGAAATTACTTCACGAACTGAATCCTAAAAAAAAATTTAAAACATTATCTGACACAACGTTCCTGTTTATGTGTTTATCTTTGTTTTATCTTTAGAAACCTGACACAACAGATCAAGGTCATTCAAATGAAGGTTTTTTTGGTAGTAAGGTTTCCCTCAGTAGCAACGTCTCTCGTGATCCGCCAAAACCAGCTGCAACGGAAGTGGTGGGGTCCAACGCACTTCTATCTCAACATGAATTGAAATCAGAAACAAAGGATTCCGAAGAACTTGAACAGACTGACCAACCTGACGATGCTACTCAGAGCGACCCAACTAAAGTTTCAACGCCACAACAAACAGAAGACCAGTTTTTGGTGACTTCAAGTCAGGAGTTTGATAATGACGATGCTACACAGGATGACCCAACAAAAGTTTCAACGCCACAACAAACAGAAGATGAGTTTTTGGTGACTTCAAGTCAGGAGTTTGATAATGACTCTCTAGCCTCGATGGCGCTACCAGAAATGGGGCTTGCTCTGGAGAGTGAAATGTTGACAGCTAGAGTAGGCGCAAGTGTTTCTCAAGATGCTCAACCGTCAACAGGCAATGAAGAATTAAATGATTCTGTTCAAGGAATGACTTTTTGGAGGAAGGCGCGACAACTAGCTTCCCGAAGAAGGAGATCGCGAATTGAACACAACAAAGTGATATCTACAGAGGGTGGTAAGATCAGCCTCTCTTCGGAGAGGAGTCGTTTACTTTGTAGAGTCCACAACGAGCGTCTCTTTTTGTGCGTACTCAGGGGACGAACGCGGGAATCACGCGCAACCCCTCGCACGTCACTCGCCCAGCGCGCCACTTCCGCCTTATTCTTTCGTGAACGGTGTATCATCTCCACCCTGATCAGTTGTAGCAGTCCGTCACTACAATCGACGCAGGACTTGCTAGATGGTTTGAAAAAAAATAGTACTAACTCACAGAGAATAGTGATGAAATTTCCAGTTTGTTGTTCGAAGCGTCAAATGAGCTTTGAACAGCTCAACAAGTGCTCGTTCTACTGGTGGTTAATGCGTTTTGAAATTGAGTTGCCTGGCCTGAAATATTAAAAGCGGACTGGTAAATAACTTGACTGGTGAATAACGTGTTACTAATTTTGAATAATTCTTTCTAAGGTTCATTAGAGTTCCATTCATCGCACGCAGATAGATTCAAACAAGCTGAGGAGTATCGCTTAGCGTGGATCTCAAGTATTCTTCAAGGGAATAAAACACGCGGTATGTTCTAAACGCAGAGAAAGAGGTGACCGTGTCCAGAGGCCTGGGTTCGAGACCTGGCTATGTCATTGTGTTGTTCTCTATTGGGCATGACTCATCACTCTCATTCCACATCCAACCAATTTTAACTGGTTTTAGTTCGGCTGAGAATTAGACTACTCTACATCACTATCGAGGGCATACCCTAATGGAAATCCCTTCCACCTTTCTGAGCTTGCAATGTAGAGTTAGATCGCGTTTACAAGCTTGTGGTCACCTACTGAGCCACCATGTTTGATCTTTGGTTAGAGGATATTGAGTTGGGAAAAGCGTGAAAAGCGTATTTGTCATGTACTTAGCATGGTATAGGAATCCTCAGAAACATAAAGAATGAAAGAAATTCTCTCCTCCAGCTGTCATAGATTTACCGGTAGAAATAAATTAATTAAAAGAAAGTAAAAACAACACTTCAACATTTAATTGTGATTTTCTTTTGTACTTACAGAAGACGAAAGTGATGTGTAAATGTTATTTGCAAGAAACCACCCTCTTTCGATTATAAAGCATGACAGTGTGACAGCGTGACAGTGCCACGAAGCAAGAGTGTTAAAGTATGCTACAAAACGGATTTGTTTCATTCTGATATGAAATCCTCATTCGTTTACTAAGATAATGTGTCGAAGACTCTGTATACATAAATAATGAACGAAAAAGTATTTATTAATAGTTTGTCAATTTTTTAAGAAATCGTTATTTAATTTTCTTTACTTCCTCCATCATATTGTGCCCTACATTTAGAGCTGAAGGTATCCATTTTTAAAGACAATTTGTCAGTCAAAGCAGACAGGGTGAAATGCTTGTAATTTGACCGACTGTTGTTTTTCTCAAGAGTTTGAGGTAACTGCGTTTTATTACACAGCAGTGTCTGTGTGAATTGGTAAGCTGTGACCAAAACATAGAAAATGCTTTGAATTACTATTGATAGCGGCTTTTGATTGGGTGTCGAAAGTATCACGGACTTACTTTGGCTTTACTTTCCTTCGCTTTGTGATTGGTTCAAAAAAAATTCGCACCACCCTCTTAACCAATTAGATGTGCTAAATTAAAACCAATCGGGACTTTGTTTCTCGTGTTTTCCCGCTCTTGGCGCTGGGTGTGTGGGTGTCACTTAGACTTGTAATTGGCTTATTGAGTTTACTTTTTGTTGCACGGCACTCAATCAAATGGCGCTCTATGGAATCGGATTAAATATTTTAAAAGGAGGTGATTAATACTTCCAGCAGATTTATGCTCCGCCACTTTCTATAGTGAGAGAAATGTGTGTCTTACGTACAGTCAAAACAGTTTAAAATTATGTTATCTATACCCCGAAATCAGATATATGAATAAAGAAACATGTAACAAATGTAAATGCTTCTCTGCTTGGTTCCGCGTTTGTGGTAAAACATGCCACCATGTTTAAAAATTCGAAATTATTAAAATTTAGCACTTTGGAAAAAAATACAAGGTTTTACAATGAATTAATTGAAGATAACTTCAGTTAAGTTTTTTCAACCTCAGTAGCGATGTTCTTGAGTCAATATCAAGGATTTATTTATCGCAAAAACAGAAGCCATTAATTTCATTTGTAATAATTAATTATCTCTAATCAACCAGCTTTTCACCGAGTAACAGACAGGCGAATAATTTTCATGATCAGAGAAATGTGCCTTTTCGAATAGTCTATTTTACAGCTGTGTGTTTGGTTGCCAAGCCTTTGAACAGGAGTGAGGCTAAGGTTGACCCTGTTATGATACAAACTTTGCTGCTTTTTAAATATAAATTACTTTGTTATCATGCTAACTAGATACTGGTCTCTATCACAACATGGTCAACTTCAGCTTCACTCCAAATTAAACGCTTAGCAACTAAGTACACAACTGTAAAATGGCCTATTGCTTCTTATCCTCAACAGCCAAAACAATTAGTTACATTTCATCAGTTAAGGTTTTCATTGTTTCTGTCGTTTTCATCATTTTCAGCATTGAAATAATAATAATTATAATAATAATCATAATAATAATCATTATAATTAATATTATTATCATTTTTCATAATTATCATTGCTATTAAAATAATTATCGTTGTTTTTTGTTTTTTACCTATTGATCTTCTTGTTGAGTGTTATCTGGCTAACAACGACTTACGTTCATTTGTACGTTGCGATTGGATACATGACAGTTTTAGCAAAAAAAAGAAGGAAAATTGCGCAAGATACGCCTAGCAACAAGCGAAAAAAACACTAACAAAACGGAGGTGTCAATTCTACTCAATTAAATCAATTTCAATTGATTTACAGCGCTCCTTTTGTCAGTTCTTGGGCCTTTTTGGAGCGCAAACCAGAAACTCTCTCGTACTAAATACTATTAATCCAACAAAGTTAACGAAGATTCAAAGGTACGTAAAAACTGAAGGAACAATTTTCCGGCTACAGTTAAAATTAAATTAATTTTTCAATGATAGATATGACAATCATGACGCATTTTCACGCGTACACTGTTCGTTACGTAACAACTTTAACTCGACCAGAGGAATATACATTTTGAAAAGGACTAACAGCCTCGGGTAAAAAATTTTAAGAATATGAAACTTGAATAAGTTTGAACGAATTTGTGATTATATTTATAAACGTTTATAGTATATGAGTGTTAATTTAGATTCGGTTTTCATTATAACGCGTTGTACAGAAAGATTCGACATGCAATGTTTCGTGAGATGCACGAGGGATGTGATATGCCGCGTTAGAATATTGGTAAGAGTCGAGCCAAAGTGCACTTCTATCCGTCCCGTGAAAGAAAGCTAGAAAACGTCTTTAAATATTTGCAGGAAAAAAACGGAGGCAGGATAAAATTAGCTGAAACTAAATCAAAATCTCGTAAAAGTCGAGGGAAAAAATAAGAGCTTAGTGCTAAAAATTTGTGGGGAGAAAGATACGGACAAACTGTTCCTTAAATCTTAATTTCAGAAATCTGTCATTTAAATGCCAAATGTTATGTTTGTTCGAGTAAAGAAAAATTTTTAATTCTTGGCCAAAAGACGATGTCATATGGAGAAAAACACCGATTTTAAACCAGTTCTATTATCTTTGATTAATTTACTTCATCTCGCTGTAACTAGTAAAATGTCACTTTCTTTGCCTTGCCCACTCGCGACAGTCAACGAACGCGGATTTTATTACCATATCAAGTTGTCGAGAAAAACTATGCATAAAAAAGAAACGAGAGACTTTTTTTGCATTCGATAAGTAGTAGTTAATTGCATTGCTCGCAGAGGTTACGTAATCAACGCCTTCTAACTCACTTCTAAGTCATTCAGAATGCCACTAAGAAATACTCCCATGTGACACAGGAAAAATATATGTAGTTTTGTTTTACAGAAATTGGACGCTGATCGGTGAATACGTGAGTATTCTCCGCCAGAATGGGTTATGTTGAGTCACCACGGAGACTTTTTCCTGCCATCTTGTTTTCCCTCGCACTGGTAAGACTGAAAATATGTTTTTGATAAAGCTCATGAAAACTTTTCACAGTTTATACACAATGGCTAGAGCCCTCGGTAATACGAATCTTTCGCCAATTCGAACCCAGGTTAGTTTCCTCTAGATTTCTATGTATATTTAGTTGGTTTAGTTTGCTCAAACCCCCCTATAACTAAAACATCCTTCTTTCTTGCAATAATTTTTCCCTTCAGCTCATATTGGTTTTAACAGTTTTACTCTTAATAACTCAAACCCCTCGGTCAATGTGTATTACACGGTAATCTGTGATTTTCTTTCACGAGCTTCGCGTTTGAAATCTCCGTTGCTTTTGAGCACCGTGTGGATGCATCAAAGTGATTCTTTATGTTACCTCGAGCTGAATTACTTGATAGGTAAATGAAAATAAATTAATTAATAAATAAACTGTCGACTTTGCACGATATTCGTCCTTAAGGACAACTATGCATTGGGCCTCACAGAGTAGTAGTGACGAACTGTAACATGGAGGATAAAGTAAATCAAACATTTATCACATCTTTCCTGTCAGTTTTTCCTTCACCCTACCAAGAGCAACGATTTTGAAGCGAAGTATAATTTGGAGCGTTCCAGATGTCACAGAAATCCAAAGAACTACATGGAGGATAAAATAAGTAGGTTCATACTTTCCATTTAATATCGGTTCGTTTATTTTAATGCTCCGTCATGAAAAGAGGCAACTTAAATCGAATTTAACTTGCGCAGCTGGTGGTGTTGTATGCCCTGGGAAGAAGAGAAGGCGGCAGTGCCGCTCCAGAAAGCTTCAACAAAACACACGGCAACGCAGGTTAAATGTAATGAATCTGATAAAACGATGAAAGATGCTTTGCTATTAATGCTATCTCGAACTAAAGACGTTAACTATTCGTCGCTTAGAGAAAAGCAAAGAGGAGAAAATACACGGGAAGAATACGTTTAGCGAAAGAACAAGGGAACTCCTCTAATTTTCGCGCGGCAACCTTTTGGCTTATGTTCACTGAAAGAGATCCAGCCTGAGTTGGCACCGGCTGAAATAACGAACGCTACCGATTTTGTGTGTCATTGGCCAAAATGATTGTGGCTCTGAGTATTCAAACTAACATTCTCAAGGTATCCCCGATGGTCCCTAACATTTGCACTACAACCTGTGTTTTGCCTATAAAACCAAGCTTAAAGACCCTTTTTTCATCTTTTGCAACCGATCATATGGAGAAGATGAGAGGTCTGGGTTGAGATCAGGCATGTGGTACCCAGAGCTCTCACGGTCGCTAATACAATCGGGCAGAACCTTGCACACAGAAAGAGGCGGGGTCTGAGTAAAGTGATAAACTATAGGTAGCGGCTTTAATATCACTACATGAGTTGATATTTTTTCTAAGAGAGCCGTCAATGACACGTTCTGAATGCACATTTGTTACTTCGGAATTAAATATGTAAAAGTTGGGTCTCGTTTTTGTCTTTCAATATAATTGTAATTCAATACAATCTTTCAGATATTACAAAGTGCAATGTTTCGTTTTCTGGTGCCTGCTGGCCAGAAATAACTGCAGGCTCCACATTTATCCAGCCATGTCCCTCGCTGTTCTTTACAACTGGAGGTAAGCTATCAAAATGAAATATTGTCATAGTTTTCACTATGTCTGCCTCCGCCGTCTGATGATATGAAATTTTGATTATTGAAATAATTCGAACAGGTTTGAGGGAGATTTTCTCATGGAGCTTGTAGGCTGTGACTTTTATTTTTCAAGAGATCAAAGTAATGAAAAGTACTCACATCAGCAATTTCTCTGACAGCGAAACGAAGCGTAGTAAAGAGACATCGTAGAGGTTACCCTCAACACTTTGCGTCCCCTGCTAAGAAATTACCCGACACGACTAGTTAAGAAATAATGATTACTAGGTACGACTATTTAAAGCGCGCCTAGTTCGTTCAAATCGGGATAATTTCAAACTCTACATCAACATGTTTTCTTTTCCTTATATGTTCGTTCATAACATCGGGGATAATTTCAAACGGTTTCTGGTCTACATAAATTTTCACTGCCTGAGTTTTCAATATTATTTCTATTGTAGTTGTTTTTGTTGTTGCTGTTATTGTTCTCTGTTTTATTTTCCTATTCCTCCTTTGCTCATGCGTAGGTCTCATTCATCGCCGTTGTAATGCCAGTGGTCATTGGGAAAGGATGAATATTAGCCAGTGTCGCAAATTGGAGTCAAGCCAAGTCCTCAATAACATGAAAGAGTCCTCCTGTGACCTCTTGAACACTACGGTAATCCGTCAATAATGTTACGTAACATATGAATAGCTAAACTGTAACTGAAGGTAAAAGTGCTGGCATCCCTGGGATGTAAAATGATCGTTGACAGTCACTGACTATTTAGTAAAGCAAAGGGCCGAAACAATAAAAAAGGAAAAGAAAAACAAAGGGGCCTTTGATACGAAACTCCTCGTTTTAGTAAGAAATGTTATGCTCTTGATCTTGTTTCGAAAATGAGGGAACTCGGAAAGGGCAAATTTTAGTCTATGCACATTAATTCGATTGATTGAACCATCCAAATACAATGATGCGTGCTTGTGTAAAGCGCTGGTTTTGTCAACCGAAACATTGTTCATTGACCCCATTAACCCAATACAGTTTCTTGAACCCAAAGATAACTGTGATCCAACACTGAAAGAACTGTTGCGTCTTATTTCAGATTTCAGAAGACAATGACTTCGTAGTTGCAGAACATTTTCTTACATCTTCCCACTGCGAAATTTAATTTGTTTTATTTTTTGTTTTAAGTTTTCAAATAACCTTAACATTTTTTACCTCGTCTCTCGAACACAGTGTTTCCAGCCAGGAGAAGCCTCCACAATGGAATTATATCAGCTGTACATCAACGAAGGTCGCGTGTTCGTGGTATTCAGTTGGATTTCTGTATCAATCATGCTGCCATCAATGATCATTCTAATTGTTTGCAGGTACTTAATCAATTTGACTTGGTTAAAACTGGCTCTTTTAATTCATATTTTTATATATCAATTCATTCCTTCGTCGATTCTCATCAATTCGTCCATTCGCCCATTCGCTCTCTCGTCCAATCGTGCATTCTTTCGTTCGTCCATTAATCAACACATTCGTATGTCTGTCCGTTCGTTCTTCGTTCTTACAACAGTACATCCATTCATTCATTCATTCATTCATTCATTTATTTATTGTGTGTTCATTCGTCTATTCCTCCATTTATCCTTTCGTCCTTACTCATCCATTCATTCAATCCTTCATTTATTTACTTCTTTGCTCCATTGAAAATCTGTATGCAAAGAAAAATTCGCTAAATTACCCATCCAGTTTTTGGTTCCCAAACAATTCTTGATCGTAATTCTTATGATATTTTATTAGTCAAGCGTTTATTCTTTCTTCTCCTTGTGATATATATCTTCTTCAGCAGAGATACAAACCAACAAGATCGATTCTTACTTCATAAAAATCTACTGACGGCCTTCATATTGCGAACTGTTACCTACTTCATCGATTATTATACTTATCTCACTCTGACAGACTCTCTGCAAGTAGGTTGTATTATGATAAAAAATAACTTATTTTTGGTTAAAGTTTATGATTTATTTTTATCACTTTAAAATGACGCAAGGCCTCTTTAATGGTACGATTTCAAACTGATTACTTGTTATATATAAAGGAAAAATAACAACAAGGAACAAAAAAACAAACAAACAAAACATGTAATCCTTAAAAAAAGTGGAAGTCAATCGAAAAAAGGTAAACTAACATCGCTCCTCGTCTTAAAGAACCTTGTTCAATTAGTTGGCTTTTTAAAAAATGTGGGAGTGATCCTGTGATGACTGTTTACTTATTGGTTTTCTAACGAAGATATCAAAATTATTTTTCTCTCTTACAATTGATGCAGACCGTTTGCACAGGAGTCTGGATTCTAAACCGATACTTTGCTGTGGCAGAGGTCACTTGGATGACCAATGAAGCGGTTTTTCTTCTGCGCTTGCTCATTAGGGCTTTCGACAACGAATCGTACTTCTGGTATTATTTCTTCTTTGGATGGGGTCAGTATAAATAAAAATGTTTCATAAGGAGCTAATGGCACATTTAAAATTTACGCGTGAATTACAAGTTGTTTAAAGAGGCGTTTCCCTCATTATTTTAAAATAGAAATAACCAGAGCACATAATTTTAACCTGATTTTTGTTCGTTATCAGAAATCAAACTCCGCACATATTTCTGTGGCAACTATTATTTGCATCAAGCGAGAGTTACTGGAAGACTCGGTCAGCGCGCTGAACTCTGGGTCAAGAGGTCAAGGTTCAGGCCCTGGCCGGGTCTCTGTGTGAAACACTTACTTAGTCTCGTAACCAGACCTCCCACGGTCGAGCGGCCCTGCATTTCAGTTACAGTTAAACGGTAGGATCTGGGTACGAGATTAACACTTACTCTCATAGAGCTTCTCTCCACCAGGAGTGTAAATGACTTCTAGGGAACCGTCAAGAAAACCCGATGGGGGAACCTGTAATGGGCTGACATCCGCGCATCCGGGTGGAATATATGTACCCTTAGTTGCTACGTGCGATGGAGACCGATGTAAGCCCCGGCATTTATGTGCCGGTGGACCTATTTTTTACCGTGTTACTGTAACTGAAATGTCGGCTTACATCCCTTTGGCTGTAAAAGGTCTGGGTACGAGACTAGGTGAACCTTAGTGAATTAACCTTATCAGTAATCAATCTCTACTTACTTATCAGTAATCAATCTTTACACTTCAGAGTTAATTCTCTGTTTCACCATTTGTGTTCCCAGTGCTACGCGGCACAACATTCATATGTACCCTTACTTTCTCTTCGCCGCGATTCATCATCCTAAATCGTCCCCGACTTTCTCTGTGCGACCTCGTAGCTCAGTCGGCAGAGTAACGGTAGATCTAATCCGGAGGTCGTGGGTTCGATTCCCACCGAGGTCAAAAGATTTTTTCTTTGCCTTCGCCCTGTGGGTTATTCATGGGTTTAAGTAGCACTTTAATTTACACTTCAGAGTTAATTCTCTGTTTCACCATTTTCAATCTCTACTGAAAGTCGCGCGTATTTCTGTTCAAAATATTGTTTGCAGTAATTTCGACTTTTGACATTCTTGAGATCACTCTAACAAACCATTCATTGCTGTCTGTTTTAGATAAAAGTTGCTCTGAACTCTTTTCTCAGAATTTTAAAGCCTCAGTCTAAATTAACTAAAGCACGATTGGTTTCTGTATGAATTTCTATTTCATAACGATAGCATATACGGCGCCATTAATCAACCTAACAGCTCTTTATTCCTTTATGGCTCTTGTTCTCTAAACGTGTTCGTTCTCCAAATTCATTCAAAGGTCTTCCAGCTTTCATGGTATTCACCGTGTATGTTCCTATTTCTCTTCTTGTGTATGGGTCCTACGATCCACGGTGAGTTCGCTCAGTTCCTTGCAACACCAATCTGTAATCTTTATGGGGTGTCGCCAAGGACGTAACTAAGGGATACTAAGTTGCCCGTGACCACCCCTTTGTAAACCTTTTTTCTTTTTTTGATCACATTAAGTAAAACACGGCGTGGAGGTTGACATGACAATCTGGTGAGTACCTTATGTTTGACACAGTGTCACCCCCCCCACTCCCCTATGAAAATTCTTGGCTACGCTCCTGGGTGCGCCTAGAACGATAGAGAGTCGACTTCGAATAGTCCTTCTTTAAAAGCTCAGTCCACCGAACGGGAAAATGTCAAAACTTAAAATAAAATTGCTGATATTTTCAATTGGTTTTGTCAGTTGCTGGAGTGCACACGGTCAGGAGCCCATCATGATGATACTGTACGGACCGATAACCATAATGCTTTCGGTAAGGATACTTTTCTTCAAGAATTTTAGGTTTGAGTCAAAGATCCCCGCATTAAAATTTTGAAACTAAGGAGTCTTTGGCATGCCTCAGAAGCTTATCACCCACATTTATAAACGTGATACAACGTTGCCTTCTTCGTATGACATGCAATGGTCCGTTTTGGACTGAACATTTCGTAAAATTGTCATCCAACACTGTCTTTTATGCGAGCTTTGGAATCAATGTCAGTATGTGAGCAATTGCGCTCCTACCCCTCCCCTAACCCAACATCAGTCAACTGATAACAAGTGAGGGTCAATGTTTGGCTAAGGAAGGGTAAGTAGGTGCTCAGTTGCTCATACTCTGACATTGTCCCGAGAAAGGCTAATTCTGCAGATATCAGCGGAAGTATCCCTTAATGCAGGGAAACTTTAATCCAGGGTTTAAAGATTTATAAACATATCGCGAATTTCTTTATCTGTTTCTTCTAGATTAATTTATCCATCATGATCTTTGCCTTGTTCACTTTGGTGCGAAAAATGCAGGAAACAAGCACACCAGAGCTTCAAATCGCCAGGTAAAAAAAATTCGTCCAAATTTTCAAGCAAATATTGAAGGAGAAAAGTTATCCTTTCTTTTGGACGTTTTGGAGAATCGACGCAATATAAGAGCTTGTCAAAAAAAAAAACAGTTTGAATAACATTTCTGCATGATTATGATTATGATTGTGAGAAGTGATCATAATCATCTCATGATTACTGATTATTAAGCTTTTAAAAATACTATTATCTATTTTTCCCATTCACAGAAAGACTGCCAAGGGAGCAGTTATCTTGTTTCCACAGATGGGTGTCATATATCTTTCGATATTTTATATTCCCAAGGGAAATACAGCATTTGATTACGTCGTGCGGGTTATCTTTCCACTTCAGGTAAGATTGTGTGCTAGTCTTAAGCCGTAGTTCCACTACAGGTTAGGCTGCGCTGTAGTCTTAAGCCGTAGTTAGTACCTTCAGCATGATTCATTCTTTCTTGACTCAGTGCTAAGCAGATTTTGCCAGTCTTGCCTTACTGTCCTGACAGCTGATTACTGATTTCTTACGAGAGCAAAGTTGGTCAACCGCTCTAAGTGATGATATATAAATTGTTAAATTATGTTGTTATAAGTCTGTTCCATCCACGTATGATTATTTTTTTTTTTTTAAGAGGCATTGGTTTTTTATTTAGCACCTCATCTGTCATTTATTACTGATCAGCACCTCGAAACTGATTTAAATATACATTGTTTTAGTGGTGAATGAGTGGGTCAGTCAGTCTTCAGTCAATCAGTCAGTCCGTCAGACAGCCAGTCTGTCGGTCCGTCAGTCCGTAGTATCCGTCAGTCCGTAGAGTCCTTCGGTCAGTAAGTCGGCTATAGTCGGTTAGTCAAGTTAATGGTCAGCCATACTAAGCTAGTTAAGCGGTAATTCTACTGATATGATTAGTTAATTAGTTAATTTGTATGTTAATTTGTTCCCTTTACATCGTCATTAGGGAGCTTTTACAGCTTTGGTATTTGTTGCGTGGAACTCAGAGGTTCGTCAGAGCGTCAGACAGCGTTGTGTTCAGTGGTGGCACCGAAACAACCCCATGGAGAAAGTAAGTTTCTCAGTACAAATCATGATATGAAATACAAAATACAACACGAGAAGACTGAAAAGGAACGTGGTAACGCATAGAGGATAGAGTGAGTTCGATTGAGGGTTGTGAAACCAAACACAGGCGGTTCTAGAGACCAATTTTCATGATGAAGGCTCATACAGTACCGGCCATGGGCATAAACAAGTTTTTCTTCTTTTTTTTGTTAGGGTAAATCAAGCAGCTCTGTGGAGGAGCACTGCCACAACAAAATGCATACGAATGTACCAATGACTTTTGAAGATTTTCTGAGGTGTAGAATGGAAACATCCTCAAGTCCTCATCCACCAACTAGGCTCACCAGCAGCGAAACAATCCGGTCAAACCAAGGTATGTTCTCTACATATCTGTTGTTATTGTTGTTGTTGTTTTGTTGTTCTATGTTAATTTGGTCACGGCTTAGATGTTCAATGGTTCAAGGAAACAGAGGGAAGTGGACTAGAACTAGTTAACTGATTAAAAACCCTTCATACGCCAGATAGTGCAGTTATAAGGAGTATTTGTAATAGTAAGACCGAATTGGACGACACGAAGTCTTATCACCAATTAATCATAAAAATTACAATTTCCGAGAAAAGAAGAATAGCCAATTTATGACAGAAGAGGAAAATTTGTATTAAGAGACTGAGAAAGTCCGATTGGATGATTTAAATTACAATTTATTATGAACGCGATTGGTTGATTTAAACTACAACTTTGAATGCGATTGGTTTCTTGAACTGCCCGATAACAACTTGGCAAGTGAATTAGTGAAAAATAGGAGTTTTCTTATCCAATCACAATCGAGGAAATTGTAATTTTATTATTAGATGGAAGATGGTAGACACTCAGATCTGTCTACCTAGTTTAAAGCAAAGAGATGCAATCACTTACAAAGAGTTATGACAAAAGAAAGACGCATTGAACCGTTACTTATTGGTGTAAATTTAAGTGATCGTTTTCTACTTTTGAGTTAATTCTCGTTTTGCAGAAGAAATGCTGGATTTGTCACTGAGTCCGCAATCAATCGTTAAGTTCCCAAAGACACCTTCCGAGATGATTGAGCTAAGAGAGATTAGGCAACTGTCACGACAGGTACGTTCTAACTTATAGGTTCAGTCTTTCTGCGGCCCACACTGCCTGCTTTTTTTACTGAAAAGAGGATAAATCACTTTCATCCCTGTTCTCAGAAATTTTTGTCCAAGCCAGGAGCCCATTCTGTTTAAGCTGAAATGGATATGTCCTGTATTTTATTGGTCTGCATGAAAGGCGTCTTATGTAGGAACTCAAGTTGTTATGAATTAGTGATAAGTTTGCCGCTCAGCCATGCTTGGATTTCTGTTTAAGTGAGATGGGATGAAATAGGTATCTCTCCCCTCCCCTCCCCTTTTCCCATTGGTCCCAGGGGGGTCTCCCTTAGTGAAAGTTTTTCACCCCGACCTTTCCGTGCTCTTAGAATCCAAGAGAGCCGTATTTAGCCCTCACTCACCAAAAATACGCTTGCACTGCAAGCCAGCATGGCAAACAAATAAGAGCTAACAATATCCATTTTTCTCGTTCAGAGGAATATTCCCGAGGACGTTTGTTATCCTCAGCCAAGCTGTAGCCAGAAAGTTCCGGTGGTAATTCATGTCTCATCTGCTGCCACACCCAACTGCACCTTCTCACCTTCAAACAAGAAGCATAAAGCAATTGAAGCCCCAGCCCGACCCCACAGAGAGCGTGTCTCTACGGGATCCTTCGAAGGCGTGCATGACCTTGAGTCGTACATCTGCTGTCATCCAATACAGGCTCAATTTCAGCCCATAATGCACGAGTCGGCAGACTCTGGTATTGAAGAATTTCACGGCGAGAAGCGCTTGTCCACCGATAGCATGTGGTTTGAGGAAGAGATTCATCTGGATCAGCCACCGCCACTACAAGCCACACTCGCACCCTTTCAAACCAACAGAGTTCTGTTTTCAAAGAGGACGAGTTGCCCCGCAGTCACCGCTTTGCATTCCAAACCGCTGAAACAAACCCTGCCATACAACGTCCACGAGGCATTCAAAGGCTATGGTGTTTGTGAAGACACGAAGCAAATGAAAGAGCCGCAGAGATTGACAAGATCTGAGAGCTTGTTTTGCAGCTCAGGTTCTCAAGTGTTCCCTATTTCGTCAAGTAGTTATGCATGGGCTGAAGGCAAACAGAAGTCTAGGAAAAAGGTCTTGCAAGAGAGGTCTTGTAAATGAGGACACTTGGACTAAGATAATATGAGCTTTTTTGATTTTGAATTTTTTCCTTTTATCGAGAGAAATTTTTCAAGTCATGTTTCAGTTCTTAAAAACATGCTTAAATATGAAAACCATCTGTAAATATTTAAGCCCTTCTCTCTACAAGACTCCCCCTTTTTTGTCCTTCCCTTAACCCTATACCTGCCAAGATCTCTTTAGCAATTCTCCTTACCATCTGCCATACAATTCTTGTGATGTTAGTTCAGAGAATTTGGCACTGGATCAACTAATAATCCCCTAATTGATATTGTTCTTTACTCTCATGGCTTGTCTGCTTGATATTGTATTTGTATCATAAGGAGAAATTCTGTTTTGGTCACTCACGGGAGTAAAAGGGTTAAAAGAAACTTTTAAGAATTAGTTTATGCCACTTATTGTTGCAATTTGTATTCATTGTATTGGAAAGCCTATAAGTGTTTGTATTTAAAATTTACCATGTTTCAACCAAAGAAATATGTATCATATAAAGAATTATTAATAAAGGCAATATAGAAGGACAAGGGTAATAAAGAAAGCCCCTCCACCCTCTTCTTCATCTAAGGCTCTGATATGCCTCAAGGGAGCTTTAAGTAGAGCTTTGGGTATAGTCACTCTCAGCCATTTCTTGTGCCTTTATGCACGATGCACTTGATGAAAATTGCATTCTAGAGGAACCTCTGGGCACTTAAAATCCTGATGTTTTTTGCAAATGTATTAGTGTAGTTGCCAGACAATCGGCCACAACAAAATAAATGAAAGACAACAATTATAATGTAATATTAGATGTGGTTGACTAAAACAGGAAAAACAGAAATGATCCCCCAGTAATAATTGTGCAAGTGTTTTAACCTTTGCAGGAAAAAACCCATTTCTAACCTCCTCCCCAAGTAAGTTCTCTTCCTGTAACACAATTCAAGTTGTATTTGTACATACTAATTTGTTTTTATTCAAAATGTTATTATCACTTTGTTTACGAGCTTTAAGTAAGGCATATGATTGATGGTATAATTTCCTATTTACTACTTCATAGTTATATGTATCTCTAGAAAATCAGAGTTTTTGACGGCAATTTCATTAAACTTGAACTAAATGGATGGATTGTTTCTCTCTGAGGTGTCTTGTTGAAACCCTTTCATTGCCTGAAGCAAACAATGAGTAATTTATTCTTACAAGAACAATGTTAACAGAGAGTAAATGAGAAAAAGAAAACAATTCCACAACATTATTGAAAATGTTATATATTTTAACATTCCAAACTACCATTGTTCCCCTCCCCTCAAATTACAACTGTTGTCCTCCACCTCTCCCAATAATGATAATTGTTCTCCTTCTGCTCCTCTCCCCATCCATAATTGTTCTCCTTCTCTCTCTACTCCCCCTCCCAAACTACAATTGTTCTCCTTCTCCTCCCTGCCTAGGTACATCTTTTGTTTCCAAGCACTGCGCGCATGATTTCACAGTATGGGCCAATCACATCCACAGACTTAACTCTTGATATTGGAAAATTGAGGTGATCACTTTTTCATCCACTTGTTTTTTTAGTTTTTTGAGCTTTCTTTCATCTGAAATTTGTCAATTGTTTGTTTTGGAATTTAAGAAGTTTGGAGATCTACATTTCTGCCAAATGTAGTGGTTAATTAATAAATTAATAAAAGTTCATTGTATCTTTTAGTGCAGAGTTGGACCCTAGCCTCTCTTTTTTGAAAAAAAGATCTTTTTAAACACATTATTGCTAAACTCAAAATCAGTCTTTTACATCTTTATAAGAAATGTATGGTGAGAACTTTTAATGAGAATTTTAGGATAAAACAGACTATGAAGGGCAAATGAAACTATAGCTATAGAAACTCTCTAAGGTGGCCAATTCATTTTACCATCACTACTAATAAAATCAAATTATCTTGTAATAGCTGGCAAGAATGCACCACCACAATCATTTTATAAACTTAACCCCTTTCTCCCTATTGGGGTTTTACTGTATGATAACAGAAGCTTCCTAGCAAGCTCACAAACACATGCTGGAACTGCGAATCAGACAGTTGTGTGTCAAAATTGCAGTGAGCCACATTTACCTCATCACCTTCGCTCTTTCTCAGAGTCAACCAGTCCAAGCATGAAATGCAAGCAACATATGAAGTTTCCCCAACATGTGTGACCTAATCTTTGTAGCACATCCACTGAAGACAGAGTTTTACTTCGTTTTCCCTGTAACATGCCTTCGCAGAGAAGGTGGTTTATGCAAGAAAGGATTCCAGGTCCCTTGTATGGATGGATTCTCAGTGTGCCAGTGCTTCCGTATCTTCTCCACTTTCTCTCCTGATTCATTTCTAAGGCTTGTAACGCATTCTTTTATCTTTTCTGGTGTCATATTCTTTACTTCAACCTCCTTGCTATTGCCTCCAACTAAAGGGGAAAAGGAATATATTTTTAGCACTGGTAATATGCAGTGGGAATGGCTCCTCACAAACAGAGATTGTGTTCATGCACAAACCCTGACCTTCGAATGCATAAACTAAATTACAAAAACATGTGCTTTGCAATTTCATCCGGTGTGAAATTGCAAGCCAGATTTCCACGTGAAATTTGCTCCACTCAGTCCCATTACAGGGCCTGAACAGTCGATGAAAATTGATGATAAGAAAATCAATCTATCAATCGACGGTAGTGGCATACGAATAGTTAATTGGCATCGACTGGCATCGGGTCACATAAAAGTATTCGTACACTTCATCGATTGGCTATCGACTGACGTTCATTGCCTATAACTGTTACAAGTAACTTACTAAAGTGTCCAGTAACTGTCGGATGTTTTCCACTCCGCTCCATGACGTAAATAGAAATTCCAGGATTGTCTTTCGCAAACTGCACGATGTTCTTGTCAATGTACTCCCTACAGAAAAGCACACACCCAACATTTACGATCAAAATCGCTTCTAAATCATGAAAAGATCGTTTAAATTATTACCTTATTCCTCTACTGCTTCCTCCCTGGTTACAGTAATTAAATGTGAGCCGTTGTAATGGCCGAACATACCGGCCGAACACTCGGTTAGCGATGTTGATCTGCGCCATCTTGAAATTTGCTTCTTGGGAATGAAATTCATGTAACAGGTACTGGACAGTCACCTTAAGGACCCCAATCCCCTTTCGGCTTTTCGTTTGCAGCCGTAGGATGTCACGCAACGCCCACCAGTCATGGCCTCGCAGAACAACTTTAGCTAACTTTGTAATCATAGAAGTATTTCGGTAGAGAGCACTCTCGGGTTATTTGGGTCCGAAAGCCATATTTTGAGATCTACATCCAAGGAATTACAGGGCAGATCATTCTCTCTTTTTTTTCTGTGTACTCATTTTTTTAGCTTCAAAACTATTCAGTTTTTGATAGACACAACTAGCCAAACCTGCTTCACGGGACTCGTTATCGATCGGAATCTTTGAGGAACGTTTTCTAGGTTCAAAACGCGGCAGAAACTCACAACAAAAGCGCCAGGAGAGACTGTCAGTGGGAGATTGATCCTCAGCCTTAACACCAACCTCACTTCTGATCTCCCTGTATTTTCAATAGTGGCACACACCTTTCCGGACCTAATAAGGGATAACCTATGGGAATATCTGTTCTTACGAGAGGAGGGTAGTAAATTGAAAAAAAAAACATATGAACAAAAGAATAAGAAAAACAAATATTTTGAATTTTTTTCTACATTTTATTAAAAATTCGCGAGAGCGTTTGTTTTACGATCATGCCTGATGTTTCTGTGAGGAAGATTACTGGGAGTTGACCCACAGCATCATCATGAAGTCAAAGGATGAGAGTGTTTGATCACAACTGGCTTTTCATTGGAAAGGTCTGGTTAGGACAGTCTGTAGATATCAGCTGCTTTCTTTATGATTCAATAGCATACTTCTTTTTTCCATTCTCATTGATTACACATATATGCTGTTAAAGAGAAAAAAAACTTCCCATGTAACCTGGTGTCACCTAAAAGTATCTTACCAAAAAAATATTATGAACTGCAAAGAGAAGCATACAACTTACATTGAGATCCCTGAAATATTCGTTGTAATCCTACAGGATAAATACATTGTTATTAGAGAGTGTTACTTTAAGCATTATATGAAGGTGTGATAAGCGTGCATACATGTGCAGGTATTGGTATTGTAAACAAACTAAGACTGAAAACTCAACCAACAAGTCAGACATTATCATCAAAATATATACAGTAGTAATTTCTTTCTCTCACCAACTGAAGAATGATACCTGATAATGCTACAAAGTTGGAATGTTTTCAAAGAATATAATGAATTTCTGAGGGAGCTAGCTCGCCCTCAATAGAATACATCTCCACAAAGCAGAAGGTACAAGTTAAGTCAGGTTACTAGCTGGAAGGCCCATCCTACAAATGCACATCCCACCAGTAGTAACTCTTGTTACCACCTAAAGACACTTTCAATTCTTGTCTTCAAACCATACTTTTAGGTAGAAGGCAACAACTGCCTCTACATTTTACTTACACTGGCTGAATTTAATTCCCACAAATCCTTAGCTTACTGGTTTAAATCAATTTACCAGAGCATGCAAATCAACTTACCAGAGCATACCCAACCACAAATTTATCAGGGATCTCAAATCCAATATCTGAAAAATAAACACAACTTTAAAATTGATTCAGTGATTAAAATTGATTAATTAATCCTCTACCTTGAGCAAAGTACTTCTGGCTCAAGAAGATCGATTCTGATTTTAGGTATACAAAGTAAATCTCTACATAGCAATTGATTCTAGCACCAGCAGGCATTTGATAATATTTGAAGCATGCAGTAAGTTAGGAGAGCATAGGAGAAGCATAAAAGCAGTTCTTGGCATTCATCACGAGATGACGCATGCAGTAAGTTTAAGAAGCACATATCATGCACAAGAACAGCTCAAAGTGTAGCAGAGATCTACTATAGATACCTCTACTTTCTTGAGTGCTATCCAAATTTCGTCAGTACTTCATTTCTTAATGAACCATAACTGATGCATGAACCAATACCAAAGAAGAACACTTTTAACACAGATGTTAAAATTGTGACCAATGGGAATAGGAGCATTCTCTTGAAATCAAATTTGGTTGAAACAAATTTGATATCTTCCTTTTAATCAATAGCCCATTTATTAATCAATAGATTAATTAATTAATAATCAAATTACAAAATATGCTCTTCATAAACACTAAACTTTGTTGCCTCTATAAAAGAAAAAACATGAAATGAATACCGGTAAAAGAATACAGTTTTGTGTCTTGTAGGAATTACTTACACTCTGGACGATATCCATTACTCTTTGGTGTTCTCTTCACCAACAAACTAGTGATTGAAAAAATAAAAGTGAATAAATAAAATAAAAAATGCTTCAAAGATACGATCCACAATTTTGCATTTTTTGCCAAAAAGGAAAACAATCAGCTATCCTGGGTAAAGAAGTATATCAAAGTTTTACCTTGCCACTTTGACAGTTGCAGGTTTGAACTTCTGAAGAGTGGTTAGTAGTTTCTGCATAGTTGCACCTGTATCTATGATATCCTGTAAAAAAAAAAAATTGAAAAAAAAAGCATAAAAAACACAGTGATTTCTTTGTCTCATGATACTACGAGATTGCAAGATGTCAAAACACCATTTCTTAGAGACCCACAGGTTTCCAAAATTTTTAAAGGTCAGTGACCTCTTTAGCTATCTGGAGCAAAATTGGCAAGCGGCAATGGGGTCAAGAGTTGAAGGGTAAAGATGGTACATGCTCTGCTCCTAGTAATGAATGTAAGTTATTTTAAAACTTGTACGTTATACGTAGGGGAAAAAAAAAAGGTAACCTCTGATTGGATTTGTAAGTCTATGAAGTAGACATAAAAAAGTTTGCATGCAAGAAAAGTAACTTTACTTTCTGTTGTAAACCTACCTCAACAACTAAAATGTGCTAGAGAGGAAATATAAAGAATTATCAGTGTTAGTTCTTACAACAAATGACAGAATATAAGAGAGTTGTTATTAGTCTACATAAATAAGTGAAATTGGTATTCTCTATTTTCTAAATTCTTCCAATTTACTTCCACCATGACACTATCTAAAATACAGTTAAATGTATCTATCTACAAGTATTATTTACCACACATCATAGAACAAAGATATTACTCAACTGTATATCACTGAAAATACAACAATGTACATAAAGGAACTGATAAGCAAAACTCAGTTTCATTAACTCAACAATTACGAGACAACAATAGCAATAAGTCATGCTACAAATTTCACTTACCTTTCCTTTTAGTGCAGACAGGTCATCACTTCCTATGACTTTTACTTCTCCTGAGGAATGGTCATCCTGAACAAAGATTCAATTTGTCTTAAAATGATTACTAAGCTACAGATAACTTGCTCTCAAATTCTCTCTAGGATTTTCTTGAGAGTTAACTGGAACTGATTTTCAATCTTGTGGTCAAAGAGAGAAGCACCTCAGCAGTAATTTATGTTGAATAGTTTCCTCCAAAGACAGAGCATGACCCTGGTCAGGCTAAGTATGGGCACAAGCCTTTGAATGAAGAGTCCCACCATCTTACCATTGGACAGACTGAGTTTCTATCACACAACTGCCTCTCAAAAGCAATCTCGATCTTCCTTAGAGAGAACATGTTTACAATAAACAAGTATAGAACTTCTGTTGCATTGTCACTTAGGAGCAGAAGCTCTTGAAAAATTTCTTGAGACAATTGGCTGTTTTCAAAATAAATTTTTAATTACAGGTACCTCATAGCTTTTCAATCGGATGAAGTCAACTGACATCTGGATTGACCGATCTGTTTAAAACAAAGAATAATTACTCATCATCAAAATCTATTTTTTAAGGAAAGTCACAAAATCTTGATTTGAATCTTCATTTTACCTTACCCATATTAGCATTTATGGTCCTGATGCAATTCATTAGATCACCAAAAAACTGATATCCTCCTTTTAGTACACACAATCCAATGAGTGGGCCTTTGTCAACATCACGGCATATATTTCTGGCCAGTCTTTCAATTCTAATTTATAATTGATTAAAGAATGCAAAGTAATTAGAGCTGCAATCTCAGTGCAATCTCTTACTTTTATAAGAAAAAGTGATGTAAAAAATGATTCAATTAGAAGCATCCAACAGTTTTCCTGATAACTACATCTAATAGTAATATTTTGCAACCAAAGTGATTTAACTATATTCAATTTGAGAAAGAGGGAGCTCAAGGTGAACCATAGTCTGCAGTACCTTTTGGAGTTAATTCATTCTCATCAAAATTAGGACTGTTTCTTTCAGGGCTAATTATACTCTCTTCAAGTAAAACAGTGGGAAATTTCTTCTATACTATCTAATTTTGGAAAAATATCTCTTACTAACTGAGTTGAAGGTTGTACTGTAAGTTACAGACCAATTTTTTTCCAGTTGGATTTGTGGCCCACACACAAAGGGTGTAGCCCAAAAATCTGAATGGAAAAAACAAGGTTTTGTAACTAACAGCACAGACCAAAAAAGAAAAGGCTTAGATATTTGTTATCTCTGGATTCAAACAGAGAAGTAATATTTTAATTCTAAAAAACTTTCAAATTTAGTGAGCCTTACAGTGAAAGAAGGCCAGCTAAATTGACCAATCATAGCACATGAATTAAATGAGATATAATGAGGTAGAAGATCACTCAGCATAAACAACGGTCCCCTTTAAAAATTATCCATCACTGGTCTCTTACCTGTCATGAATTAGTCCTTTTGGTATCATAATTGATTCTACATCATTCTCATAGTGTTTTGGTAGGCAAAACATATCCAGGGAATAACCTTCATAGTTATCTGGAATCTGTAAAAATAAGTGCAGGTCGCCTCCCCAGTTAACAAATTCAGTAATTACTATGTCCCTTTTACTTTTCAAATGAAAAATATAACCTTAATAACACCCTAATGGAGAAAAATTTCTGTCAATTTTTAAGCCAGAGAGTGTTACCCTCATTCTAAATGCAAATACCTCTCCAGTTAAAAAATTCAGTAATTACTATGTCCCTTTTACTTTTCAAATGAGAAATATAACCTTTAGTTAATAACACCCTGATGGAGAAAATTTTCTGTCAATTTTTAAGCGTGAGAGTGTCACCCTCGTTCTAAATGCAAATACCTCTCCAGTTAACAAATTCAGTAATTACTATGTCCCTTTTACTTTTGCGAATGAAAATATAACCTTGAGAACACCCTAATGGAGAAAATTTTCTGTCAATTTTTAAGCCAGAGAGTGTCACCCTCGTTCTAAATGCAAATACCTCTCCAGTTAACAAATTCAGTAATTACTATGTCCCTTTTACATTTCAAATGAAAAATATAACCTTAATAACACCCTAATGGAGAAAATTTTCCCTTATTTATGAAAAGATCATGATTCCTTCGAATCGGTTGAATAAATCACACTGGCTGGCCACAAAATGAATATGCGTATTTCTCGGATCCTAAACCGCTAACGACACGTTTACATGAATGCCCGCGGTTTCCTAAATTTCATCACCAAGAGGGAAGGCATTAAAGTTAAATAAACTGAACAATAAAGTTAAATAAACTGAACAATAAAGTTAAATAAACTAAACAATAAAGTTCATGATCTGAACACCGGTAAGTTTTCCACCTAGGGCATCCGGCTAAACTTCAGAATACCCGGCCACTTTCGTCCGCCTCACTTACATGTGTCGGGAGGCTTTGAAGATCGAGGCATAACACAATAGACGCTATTCTTAGTCAATGACATGTAAATGAGTTTCGGGGTATTCTGAAATTGCGGGCATCCATAGTTCTTTCATATTTTACTTAATTATTTAATCATCATTATCAATTTCCTCTTTACGGTAACATTCTTCCTTTAAGCCTATTATCGCTAAATTAATGAACGTAGTTGATTGTGATCAGCATAAATGTTAGCAGGAGCTTTCAATTCACATGTTTGACAAGTGTTTCTTCGACGAAGCAAAGTTAATAAAATCTTGATTCCGCGAAGCCGGGATGTCGCAAGGAGGAAATAAACCCATTAGTGACGCACCACGTTATTATGAGCTACGGAGCAAAGTGGATAAAATCTTGACTTCGCGAAGCCGGAATGTCGCTAGAAGGAAATAAACCCATTTGTAACGCACCACGTTGTTATGAGCTACGGAACAAAGTCCTGGTAGCCAGCTGTCCAACCGGTTATTAGAGTACGATCCTTACTCTCAGAACATTTCATAAGCCTCTGGAACTGGTAAAGGTTGAATAAATGATTTATTTCACAACATACCTTGATACAATCTTCTGCAGCCATTTCCAAGTTCAGGCGGGTTTTGGCTTGGTAGCCACGCGGAAAGTGTTGTCTGTTTGAATGGAAATAATTCTAAAATAAATTTTATTTGTTAAAAAACAGAATCAGATGTTTTCGTTGCAAAATTAACTTCCAGGCGAATTAAAAAGCTTTAATCGAAACGGACGGTTACAACGAGAAGTCTTTGTCAATTTAAGTTAGCGAGCCCAGCGTTCTTTACTGGTGTTGCGTGATACATGCGTTATGGTACAATGTAATTTAATTGAATCTTTATTAAGTCATAAGATAAATAATCACATATCCTATGTTACAACATTAAAAGAAGGTATATATATAAATTACAGAGAAAATCAAGATAAAAATTATAAGACTAGATTATGTTTAAAAATTAAGCGATTAACAAACGTGTTTTTGAACCTATCAGTGTTTATTTTAGGATGGTGACTTGTCTCTTTCCTCAGATTGTACTTGGTTAATTTCTTTTTTGGCATTATAGCTCTTAAAGGGTGTATTGTATTATTAAAAACATTCTTGAAGATACGCGTGTCCTGTTGAACTAACAATTCATAAACATTAATGTGATCGGATGTATACTTGCGCTTATAACATCGATCTAAGAAACATTGGATTGTTGTTAATTCGGAATTTACAGCGCCAAATACGGACAACCCGTATAATATATTTGGTAGAACCAGATTTAGAAACAGATGGTCTATTTCGGCCTGATTGTACCCTTCTTTCCTTAAAGATCTTAAAATGAACAGGCACTTGTTTGCTTTAATTAGTTTTTCCCGAATATGTGTTATGAACCTACTGTCTTCCTGAAATGTTACCCCTAAAATAGTAAGCTCTTTTGTCTGTGGTATTCCAGACACCATCGGAAACTCTATTGTACAACCTTTCTTGCGGAAAATGATTTCCTTGCACTTAGATGGATTGCTACACATACCATTACTTCTAGACCACTGGGAAAACTGATTAATCAGTGCGATAGAATTGTCATTATCACCTATCACAGGCGAGATAATGGTTGTATCATCTGCATATTTTACCAGCACGCTCTTATTGTCCAAGTGTATCTCTAAATCACTGAGAAAGACATTGAACAAGTGCGGCCCGCTGACACTTCCTTGGGTGGTACCTTTGTTGACACTTTTCCATTTTCCAATAAACCCATTTCTAATGACTCTCTGCTGCCTGTCTTCCAAAAAGCTTAGATACCAGTTAACTATAAAAGGATTTAGGGGGAGTTGCTTCAATTTGTGTGAGAGGAGATCGTGTTTCACACTATCAAAAGCCTTGCTGAAATCCATAGCGAATAGGCGTACCGCTTTGCACTCTGGGATATCAAGATATTGATTGACAGTATGTTGGATAGTCAGTAGAGCATTGGTACAGCTCCCTCCCTCTATGTATGCAAACTGTGAGATCCCAGAATGTTCATCGAAGGTCTCCCTTGCGTGTGTTCCTAAGACAGCTTTCTCAAAGCACCTTGCGATGACAGGTGTCACATTTATTCCGCGGAAGTCTGATATTCCCTTAGGTATATCAACCTTCGGCAAGGGGTACAGGTCTGACTTTTTCCAAGAGACAGGCCAGGCGTGTGTTCTAAGAGACAGATTCCAAATCCAGGTGATCACTGGAACGAATAGCTCGGCGTGGTCTTTCCATATAGTATACGGGATGCCATCTGGTCCGGTTGCTGTTTTCTTTATACGCATAAGAGAATTCAGGACTTGTCGCTCTGAGATTTCTGGGACTTCCTGATCTTCACTAATCTCCAGAGGTGTTGGCTTTCTGTAGGCGTGGTCAGTACATAGGTCACCAAAGTAGTCATTTAACGCGTTGAGTTCGTAGTGGCCAAGAGATAGAGAAATCACCGGCTTGCGGCGCTGAGATGTTTTATCCACTTTTTCCACCAATCCCGAGTTCCAATAGAGGCGATAAAGTCCCTTCTGTTTCTGAAAATCACTTCAGAGATCCTTTTATTCATAACTTTAAGACGGTCTAGATTACTGAGTGATATGCGTGATTTGGCTCGTATCATCGATCGAACGAGCGGAGTCATCCAGCCCGGGTCTCTTGAAGACATGCGCACTGTTTTCAGAGGCATGCAGCTATCCAGGTGCCCTAGGATGGTATTTTCGAGCCTACCAACCACTTCATCGACATCAGTTTCCTGTATCATATCATCCCAGTTTTCCTTCGCCAACGCGATATACAGATCACGCTTTCTATGAGCCCTTTGGTCACGCACGTATACTTTACGGCGGATAGGTGGAAGCTTTATACCGGGTGGTAAAATAACTCCCATGTGATCCGTCTTGGAGAGCATGTGAAAGGGATAGCACTTTGAAAAGAGATCCGTGCGGTTCGTGAAACAGTTGTCCAAACAAGAATTCCCTCTGGTGGGGAAATTAACCAGAGCATTCCAACCAGACATTTCTTCGAAGCGTAACACAGCGATAACCTAAGTCATCGTTGTAAGAACGAGTTATGTCCAGTAAGGATGAATGAAGTCAATGACTGTTGGACTCCCAAATTCGTGGAGAGCTAGGCATCTCTGAATATTTTTTTCAGATTTCGTTGAATGTTTCAATTTTTGTTGCAAATTTTGCGTGACAGTTTTTCCATCTCATGCGGCTGGCAAGAATTGATCGTTTGACCGCTGTGTTCAATATTGTGGTTCGGAAGAGGTTAATTGCGATCATGCCCTATCCCTCACGTACCCATCTCAAAAAGAGCAAATGATTGCACGTTTTCAGAAATCGTTCATGTGTCTCGCCTGGGGACGGAGTATTTGGGCTACAACGAGTGTGGACAATTTCTCTCAGACAGAGCAAACAAATTGAAACGTAGAGTGGGACATAACATAACTCTATATGAAAAGGGAAAATCGTTATTTTTAAAATTGAATGAATCAGTTTTGGAACCTACGTAGATGTCTGTATGTCGATAAGTTTTCATTGCAAAAAAATCAGATTAAGAACTGTTTAGCGGTCTTTGGCGGGTAAACTGAATTGTCCCGGGGAGACGCGTAGCGCGATCCCATTGGTCAGAAGCCTTCAAACCTGTCGATCTGCGATTGGCTATTTGTAGTCTTTGAAAGAACTGGGAATCTCCACAACACGACAATATTCTTGGAGGTCTTCCGTTGACACGATGAAGGTGAAGAAATTCTTTCTCGCTTTAGTCCTCTTAATCACTTTTTCTGCAATCTTCACGCTTGCTGAAGAGAGTGAAAAGGATGGCGAAGCAGCAGCAGAGGCTGTAGAAACAACCGAGGAAGCGGAATCCGCGGAAGAAGGCGACGAAACAGAGGCAACTTCTGAAGGAGGCAGCGCCGAAGAAGTGAAAGAGGAAGACGATGTTTTGGTTTTAACGACCAAAACATTCGACTCTGTGGTCAAGGAAAACGATATCGTACTTGTGGAGTTCTATGCACCATGGTTTGTTGAATTAATATTGATACTGCGTGATTTAATTTGTTTATCGTGGTTCACTTTTGTGGTTCGTAAATCCTGAAGTATCAAATGCCTGATCCGAATATAAATTTTGTTATTGCACTCCATTTTTTTTTAGAAACCTTTCCGAAAAGATTCGTCTCAGAAATTGTTTATGCCACAATGAAACTTCTTAGAACCTATTGAGCGTTTAACAATTGCGTTAACTTTCCCTACAATTCACTTCAAGCACCCACCCGTGAACTGAATACAGGAATGCAATTAAACAGATCAGTTGTGTATAGTTAGTCAAAATACTATGAATTTCATTTTGAGCTGCTGCCAAGCAGTGATTTCTCGGTTTTGTTTATAATTTAAACAGTACTTCACAAGCCAAACGAAGAAGAAAATGTTGGATTTTAATCAACCTGATTTATCACTAGACTAAGTATAGAATTATCTAGATAGTTTTAAATTGTTTTTAATTTCATAACAATGATGGATAGGATGCATTGGAGGAAAAAATATCAAGCTCTATGAAGCTTGCCAAAAAACCTTGAATCTGTTTAAAGTTAAGGACAAAGGACTATTTTAACTCTGGAAAACTGAAATGTGCTTAGGAAAACCCATAGAAAGTATTGAATGACCAACAGATTGGGCTGATACAATGGCTTTCCATCAATGGTCTCAGTCTTAGAGAGTTTGAGCTAGTTTAAAGAAAAGCCCTACAACCAAATTACTTGATGTTTTAGCTTTTCATAAGACTACTCTTGTTGGCTCTGAATTCCTTCCACTCCATGTCTAGTAATAGATTGCCACTTTTTTTTGTAAATGAATGTTGAAACAAAGATTATCAGGGTAACAGGGCACATGATGAATAAACCATTCTCCAGTTAATTTTATTAACAAATTAGCCATTTGAAATGTTTTTCCTGTTCAGGAGACCAAATACAACTCTCTGAAGGCAAGAAGGGCTGGTTGTTCCTCGTGGAAAAAGTTCCTGATGAACTTTGATTTCTGATTTTCCTCTCTCTCCATTCAAAGGTGTGGCCACTGCAAGTCTTTGGCACCAGAATATGCAAAAGCTGCAAAGAGAATGAAGGAGGCTGATCCTCCTGTGCCATTCGCTAAAGTGGATGCCACAGTAGAGACAGAACTTGCCTCAAAGTATGATGTTAGTGGCTACCCAACATTGAAAATCTTCCGTAAGGGAGAGGCACATGCCTATGAGGGCCCTCGAGATGAAGAAGGTACCGCTGTTGTAACAGATAGTTTTAAGTAGTTTTTTTTTGTCATGGGTTATCTTTCTACAGATTGTACTGTCATCAACTATAATCTTAAGGAATAGTTTGACAATACATGTTTGTATAGAGTACAGGTGTTTTTGTATGTTTAGTTTCTACAAAAGTGTGACAATGCTTTCATATTGATCCTAATGCCAAAACCTTTTAAAGGGAAAATTTTAAATGGCCTCATATTAGCACACCTTTACAGATGTCAACACCTTTTAGGAAGGTTAAAACTTAATGTGTTAATGAAATTTAGATAAAATTGAAGAGACATACAAGTTATTTAACTTCAAACTTGAGATACGGTTTCCTCTAAAATTTAACCCCATGAGCCACTTGATTTTATTTTATTAATACCCAGCTGGATCTTCTCCTTTTTAAAATTTGATACTCAGAGGTATTGATTAAGGTATTGTTATTGTATTTTTTGGCTGGTAGAAAAAAAAATGACTCTGCTATTTTCCTTGTGTTCTAGTGGTGCATAATTGACATGTTTTATTTACATTCAATTTAGTTTTAGATGTTTAGTTGGGGATGACAGCCAATTTTGTGTTTTACATATACTGCAGAATAGCCTACTGATGAATATTCAAGCCCCCAAATCCTTAAGAAGTTTCTAATGATCACATAATTGCTGGCTTTTAGTAGAATCACTGAATATTCTAATCAAACTGTATTCTGCACAGTACACTTTATATCCAAGAGTTCACTATAGTGTCACTTTGATTTCTTTAGGTATTGTCAGTTACATGAAAAAGAATTCAGATCCAAACTGGAAACCACCCCCAGAAGCTGTTGTAACTCTCACTAAAGATAACTTCACAGAGACTGTGAACAGTGAATCCCTGATGCTTGTGGAATTTTATGCTCCTTGGTATGAAAATCAGAACTATTTTACTCCCTGTGTAAGATTATTGGCAAGATTGCCTGGATTATTTTTCCAAGACATTATCAATGAGTTAAACTCATTGGAAACATGTCTTGGAAAAACAATCCTGGCAATCTTGCTTGTTGTCCCAGATTTGTCTCACTTGTCATTGCATCTAACTAGGCACTTGTAAGCCTTGAGGGAGCTCTGAATCCTTTGGTGTGTTGGTGAACTTTATATAACTGTACAGGAATGCTTTGCTTACTCTAGAGGCTGTGATTTGATTAAGGGTGTAGCATATATATCTATATTACACCTCACAATGCTTATGAAGGGTTGGGATGTTGTTACAGAAACAAGTTACATGATGATGTGTTATACAGAAAAGTTCCCTAGAGTTCTTGTATAAGCTGTAGGTAGGAGTAAATTTTCATGCAGGTTGCAGCTTAGGATGTAACTATCACATTTTAAGAGTGTTAATTTAGCACTAGCAATATTTATAGAATGTACCTATAAACTTTGAAAGGAAAAAGCTGGCCAGGCCTCAGAAAACCTAACAGCCATGTTTAAAGCAACCGTGATCAATTTTGTGGGAGGGTTGTCCTAAACCCTTTAACTCCCATGTGTGACCAAAACAGAATTTCTCCTTATAATATCAATTCAGTATGAAGCAGGTAAGTGATGAGAATAAAGAGAATATCAATCAAGGACCATTAGTTGATCCAATACCAAATTCTCCAAACTAACATCACAAGGATGGTATGGCTGGCAGTAAGGAGAATTTCTTATGAGATCTTGGGAGTGAAAGGGTTCACTTTGTTCAGTACAAAATGGTATCAAATCAAACTTTTCACAATCTCCATTGTCTTGGAGTATAGCTAACTATTCCCGTTTAAAGAGAATTTCAAGTATTTAGTATCTAAGTTGAAATGGATTTATTGTATGTAGGTGTGGACACTGTAAAAGACTTGCACCAGAATATGAGAAAGCAGCCCAGGAGCTGGAGAAGAATGACCCACCTATCATGTTGGCTAAAGTGAATGCTGATGAAGAGAAAAAATTAGCACAGGACTATGAGGTGACTGGATATCCCACACTCAAAGTGTTCCGCCAGGGCAAGGCATCTGACTACAAGGGTCCTAGAAATCAGTGGGGTAAGTTGATTATTTACACCTTGTGTGCCATTTTTTCTTTCCTACCACATTTTGATGTCATCTGTGATCTATAAGTGAACAGACACAGGAAAATGGCAATGTCTGTATTTAAGCCTATTGGCCCACCTAGTTGGAGCTTATCCCCATTTCCATGTTTCATGTAGCAATTAGGAGTATTGCTACTCCCCCTCTGGATGGGATGCCAGTCCATTGCAATCTTACCCTCCCCTCAGCATTTCATCAGTCTTCCCTTACAGTTTACTGGTACCCATTTATACTCCTGAGTGAAGAGAGGCATTGTGAGAATTAAGCATCTTGCCCTAAGAACACAGTACATGGAACCAGCCAGGTTTGAACCCAGACCTCTTTACCTGGCATTGTCAGAGACTTTGATTCATATGTGACACATGTCAGATGATGAGTGTGAGCATTGTGTCAAGAGCTAGAAGCACCGCCTTAAGTGATTTTGGAACATTGATCGGTTTACATAATCAACGGTACCTTGAATGACCTTTCAAATCAGTACTTGGCAACAACCAATCACAATGTAGAGAATATCGCATAAGAGAGTGATTTCTTACTAATTTTGCAGAGTAGCTTTTTACACACCCATTGTACATAATCGAATATGAGATTGGAATAAAACAGTTTGATTGAGTCTAGTTCGTTAGAATTCTATCCCTAGTAAACAGGGCAAAGTTTACGAAACATCCAGTGCATAAGGCCACTGTTTCTCCCACATGCAGGGCAACTTTAAATCTATTTGTTAATTTATAACAAATTTGAAAATGTTTTCCTTTGTTTTCTTTAGGCATTGTAGACTACATGCGTAGCCAAGTTGGGCCAAGTTCTAAGGAGATGACTTCACTTAAAGCACTCAAGGACTTTATGAAGGAGAGAGATGAATTAGTAATTGTTGGATTCTTCAAGGATGCAAACGAAAAGTTGTATGCAACATACCTTGAAGCCAACAATGACATTAGGGATGACTACCCCTTTGCACACACCTTTGACGCTGCAGCCAAGAAATACTTTGGAATCACTAAGAGCTCCATTGTGATGTTCCAACCTGAAAAGTTTAGATCAAAATTTGAAGATAAACATATTGTTTTTAAGGTAAGAAGCGAGTGGTTCTGATAGTCTGATCAGATTACGAGATAACTTTTGGAAATTACAAATAGCTCTGAAAGCAATGTTAGGGTCCCTATTTTTTACTGTAGCTAGTGGAGCAACCTGGCCTGTTCCAGGCGCTCAGTTAATAAAACAGAGCGAAATGAACGAACGGCGTGTTATTGGTAGCGGAACAGAAAAAAGGAGGCAGGTTTGGGCCGGCTCAGACCTCCCTTGTTTTTTCGCTCAGCTACTATAATCGCGCTTCGTTTACCAAACCGAACGCCTGAAACAGGTAAGGAAAAGCCCCAAATTTTAACTCTGTATTTACTTCTGATGTGTGCCAAATTAATCACTTCGTATCACATGTAGTACCTTTTTTTGCCAACATGTTCTTATTCTAACTTTATTGTAAAATACACAGGGCGATGATCCAAAGCAAGAGGATATCCAAAAGTTTTATGAGGACAAACGTATCCCTCTTGTCGGTCAAATGACTTCATATGATCAGCAGAAGAAGTACACAAAGCGTCCTCTCTGTGTTGTCTATTATGATGTGGATTTCGGCTTTGAACAACGGAAAGGTTAGTAATTTACTTGGTTTGTATGCACTCAATGCTGCCTCTTTCGGGAAATGAGCGATTTTAAAGGCTACTTAACAATACTCACGTTACTGGCGTGGCAACTGGTCAGTACACATCAAGACAACTACTTTGCATGGCCAGTAATTTTTCGGGCAACCAATAAGAATACTGAAGGCAAGCATAGTTAAGTCTCTCTTAAATTTCCCCTCACAATAATCAACGAAAACGAAGGAATAGCTTATCGCGCAAAATAGTAAGCTTGTATAGATTTGAACATGGCTCCATAATGCACTCGCTGACGGGTAGAACCAATTTTGGTCTGGTTGTCTTACTTAGGTTCTATTATTCTCGCAATTTAGAGAACCCCCAAATGTGAAAACGCAGCATTCTATTCATTTTTTAACGTCGAATTTCTATTTCAATTAAAACTGACATGGAGCTTTCTTCTCCAGCGACCCAGTTCTGGCGTCAAAAAGTTCTAGAAGTGGCTAACGACCACCGCGATGTAACATTTGCTATTGCTAGCGAGAGTGACTTTGAGAAAGAGCTGAAAGACTTTGGTCTGGATGACTCTGGAGAAGAGATTAACGTTGGCTGCTTTGATGACAAGAACAGAAAATACAGAATGGAGCCGGATGAGGAATTCGATGAAGATAGCCTTCGCGAATTTGTGGAAAACTTCAAGAACGGTACTATTTTCTGTTGTGCATGATACTGATACTCATATAACGCACGACCGCCTAAGGGATAGAAAAACTTGGGAGGGGCCAATGCACCACTTGATTGATTATACTAGCCTTCTGGTAGAGAGGGAAGTACCTATTTATATGTTGTGGAAATCGTTTGACTTATTCTTAGAGAATCTCAGAATGTGATAGGAATGTTTTTGATATTTTAATCCGTATAAGGAATTTTTTCCTACTGTAATCCTGATATTCCCTCGGCGAGAACCTCTGCCTTCTTTCTTTACATGCCTTATTTTTTGAACAGAATTGTTAAGGGACTGTCCACATAAAAATAAAGTTTTCGTTTGACTAGCATACCTTCCAGGGAGAGTACGTGTTGCAATTCTCGTATTTTCTCCATGTGACAGAGAAAGGGAAGAGCTGTAGTATTTTGACCAAGCTTAAGAGACTTGTGCGGTCTTCATAGGAATTTCATCGAGAATACTTTTCATTTCTTGTAACAGGCAACATTAAACCAATTGCGAAATCACAACCTGCACCAAAGAAGAACACTGGTCCTGTGACAGTCGTAGTAGGGGATACATTTGAAGAAATCGTCATGGATCCTAAAAAAGATGTTCTTCTCGAGCTGTATGCTCCCTGGTGCGGCCACTGCAAGGCTCTTGAACCCGTCTACAAGAAATTAGGTAAACATTTTAAAGATCAACCTAACATAGTCATCGCTAAAATGGATGCAACCGCTAACGACGCACCTCCAGAATACGCCGCAGAGGGCTTCCCCACCATCTTCTTTGCACCAGCTAACGACAAGAGGAACCCTATCAAGTACGGCGATGGTGAGCGAGAACTTAACGACTTAGTGAAATTTGTAGAGGAGAAGGCTACAGTTTCTTTGACAAAAGCTAAAGAGGAGCTTTAAATTCTAGGTAGAAAACTCTTTTAGACTGTCGCCTTATTTTATATTGCGAAATAGACGCAACCAAAACATTTGTGCAAGGTTGCGTTTTCGTGGACACGGAGAAGAGAAAGTAGAGAATGTTATTTTAATGGCGTTTCCTGGCTATTTTTGCATAGGTCTTACCCAATTCCACACATCAGAAAATAAAATGCACTTTGTGCTGTAAGAGTTGGAATTTCGAGGCACTCAGTGGAAATATAAATTCTATATTTAACCTTTTAACCGCCATGGGTGGCAAAGAAGGAATTCCTCCTTATACTATCAATACAATATCAAGCAGACAAGTGATGAGAATAAAGAGAAATTTTAACTCGGAGATTATTAGTTGATCCAATACCAGCCGAAGTTTTTTTTTCCTCGGAGAGAGGGATTGGGGTAGGGGGATCAGTCGTCGTCCACAGAGGCTAAAATACAAAAATTGATTGCCAGTGATGGGGGTACCGAAAAAATATAACAGCCTTATGGGGGATCTGGTAAATTTAATCGCGACACAACCAACATTCTTGAACCCCGGTTAGATAGGTGATGAACTGTCCCTTAGGCGAGGAAGTACCTAAAATGAAGAGGATATTTTAAAGTGAAGCTGGTATTTGAACTGATTTGGTGACATAGTGGCTCGTGGCCTGCGGCTGTTTAGCGGCGTTTATCGCAGCATTTGACAGTTTCTAGCGCTGGAAAATTTTCAACCAATTCCATTGCATTTTAAATACCTACAAGTGTCTTTATTGGTTCGGGAATGAACTTTTTTTTTACCTGTTTGATAATCTGAAGTCGAACTTTTCTAGTAAAACAAGCGCTTTAGGTGAAAGGTTTACAGGGCAAAGTGACCGCAAAATCCGCCATTTAACTTTCAGTGTTTGCATGATAATGCAGAAGGGTGTGTGCATTTGCTCTCGTGAAGATCCCATGTCGATACCAGTGATAAAGTGAAGCGTACACATTAGACAATCAGGCGTACACCATTAGTATTCGTTTCCAGGAGATCTTCCTTGGAGAGCATTTAAAGCAATGAATGTTGATGTGTGACCAACGCCCAACACACATCTTTAAATTCTCCAATATATCTAGCCACAGCCTGGGAAACAAAATTAAGGTCTTATTAGTTGCAGGCTCAACAGTAGCTAGTTCAATTTTCTGTAGTTGACAATAAAGAGATTCTCAATGGGATGATGGCTTTTACGGCTAACGATTAAAATTTCGACCATTTTACGGCTACGGTTAACTCAAAATGACACATTGTAAAAAGGAAAAAAATCTAAGGTTAACATTTTTTTACGACTAACAATTAAAATTTGTCAACCTAAACGCTTCGCGGTTAATTTTTTCGGTCGTTTTACGGCAAACGGTTAACCCCACTGGGACCCTCTATGAAGGGGAAGTTCTAGAAAATAGAATAAAAATTTGGGGTGGGGGTTGGGTGGGTTATCGTAAGAATATCACCGAGCCTTGTGGGGAGATCATGTAAATTTCATTTGGACACGACCTAAACCCTCCAACCCTGGTGACAGATGATGACCGCTCCCTTCGGCGAGGAAGGAACTAGAAGAGGAAATTTTAAAGTGGAGCTGGCATTGTTTGAACTGTTTTGGTGACAGAATGGCCCATGACTTGCGGCTGTTTGGCAGCGTTTAATGCATTTCGACAGCTTCTATTGAGTTTAAAAATTCTCAACCAATTCGATTGCGTTTTAAGCACCAGTAAGTGTTTTTATTTATTGGTTTGGTAATGAAATCATTGGACCTGTTTGTTAAGCTAAGTCGAACTTTTTTGTAAAACAAATAATTTTTTAGAGGGCATAGTGACCGCAAAATCTATTTAAGTTTCAGTATTTACAAAATAAATACATATGCATTTGAAAATTTGCTCCCGTGAAAATCGCATGTTAATACTGCTAAGACCATCAGATTATCGGCAGCGTTCGTTACCAGAAGATCTACCCTGGAGAACATTTAAAGAAATGAATGTTGACGCGTGACCAGTGCCCAAAACACAGTTTTAAATTCTTCCAATATGTCTAGACATAGCCCGGGAAAAAAAAAATTAAAGCCAACGTTACCAGTCGCGGGATAAACGGTTACTAATTCAAGTTTCTGTGTGAGGTTTAGCGTCCCTTCTTGGTCACGCAATGCCGAGACAGTTTCCAAGGAAACTGTGGCATTGCAAGAAACTTTGGTATTATCAGTACAGATATGTTAATGTAAGTTGGCCTCTGTGTAGAGTTTCTTAGCTTTAGAAACTTTGAACGGTGGCCACTAATTTAGTTCATCTACAACTCAGTTGATGACTCTAAAATCTTCTTACAATACTCCTAACCGACACAGCACCACAGTTTCCTTAGAAACTTACCTCCTTTACTTAAATATGGTCTCCATACGCACACACGGCAATTCAAATCTTTTCAAGAGCAATCTTATTGCTCTCCAAATATCTAAAATGTTACAATTTGGCTCGTCAGACACAAATTTTATTGCAGTTCCACAATGTGCCGAAATACAACCTAATTCAAATTCGCTTAAGTTCTACTTTTTATGATAAAAAGCTGCGAAACCCGATAAGTTTCACCTGCTTCAAGGGTGGTAAACAACAAACTGCCAATCAGTTATTTCATTGGCCCGGGCGAGTGAGTGCAGTGGAGACCAATCTTTGACCTTAGAACTTGATATGTTTTGCATACATCGATCACATTAAAAGACTTGGGCAGATCGCTTTTTGCATATCCAGAATCAAGTCTGTGCAAGATTCGAACTCGTAACTAGGTGTCTGCAAAACATCTTGGCTGAATCATTTCAATTCCCTGCTTTATAATTCGTGAAGCAAATGGCCTCCTGGAGGATCGAACGCTCAAGCGACGCCAGGGTAAATTAATCGAAAAATTTTAATTTTTTGTCGTAGTTTTTATCATGATTTTGTCTTTCTTTTGAGCTTAAACCGCCGCGTCCCTGAAATTATATTATACAGCTTCATCAATCTTACGACTAAGAGGCGCGTTCAAACTTCGATCGCACGACTTTCGTTGTATTTAGACATATGCTTCCGAGAAAATATAATTTTCACGGGCACAATATTTTGATCCCTGTTTTTTATTTGCTCAAGTGAAAAGCTGCTGTATTTATTATTCCCCTGACCAGGTTTTGTATTTTCTTTCTGACAGCTGCAAAATCAAAATGCAAATGTACAACATAATATTCTTATTTCGAATTGAATACACTTGAAGCGAAAGATTGCTGAAAATTCGATCATAATATAAACAATTCAGTTCTAACACAGAATGGAAGCAAAGCAAACATTTTGAACAACAGAGCAGTCTTTGTCAGGGCAGCTTTCACTCTGACTGTGTCTTTGCACGGTCGACGATAATCTCACCCACTTATTCTGAAACAATATCAGACATATATAATGTCGAATCTGTTTTTTTTTTTTTCCTATTAGTCAATTTCTATGGATTATCATTCTCAAATAATTTCTTAATTTTTATCCTGAAGAGATCTGGATTACAACTTCTTGTCACTATCCCTTTGTTGTACAAACATGTTACGGCATAGTAAACCCACTGTGATTCTGGGCATAAATTATGCTTTCTCTGAGCCAGAACGAGCTTGAGGACTTGCCTCGCGTCTTCCCTGCCTGTTAGAGTCGAGGGATCTGGGAAAGAATTCACCAGATTTCCTGCGCACCAATCAGAGACTACTTAGTGATTACAAGACGATGCTAAAAATGGGAAGGGGCGGGGAGCGGCCGGGAGCGGGGACGGGGGCGGGGACAGGAACGAGAAAGGGGGTGGAACAAAGCGGGGGATACCTGTGCTGTTTGTGGACGCCGAGGAACTGTACTTTTGCACTATCCCTTACGTCTATAATAATAATTAGTTATTAAAATAATAATGATATTAATAAATTTGATAACAACATTAAGGCCTAATAACAATAATGATGATAAAAATGATAATAGCCAGGATAGCGTAAATGGTGTTGTTACTTTTTTTTTGGTTACTTTTACTATCATTATAATTATTACTGTATTATCAGGTCACCTTCTGGCAAAATATAGTGGGTCAGGGACCCATCACTTGGAGCCTTCAACTCCCACACTGGGCCTATGTCACAGCGTTTTCACAGAACGGTTTATTGATGGGCTCCTGATGGGTGCATGGTCCTTGACTAATTTTTCTCGTGGTCGTGTTCAGAAAATGTATGAAGTGACCCGTTGTCATGTTACAAGCATTGCATAACGTGTATTCAGCTTTTTTGAAACCAAGCATTTTACGGCTGGTTCTATAAAATGAAAGCTATTATTTCCTCGGTTCTCTTTGTAAATAGAGTAAACTCATTTGCCCATTAGTTCAATATCTGTCTGTAAATTTGTGTCGAAGAATGAAAAGCGTTTCTTTACAAACCCAGTTTAGTTTCGTATACAGCAACGACTTAAGTTTAAATTTTTAGTCCAGTACATGGTTTTATAATATGAACTAAATTTTTTCTTGGCTTATGTTTCTTCAATGGTAACAGCTTATCCAACTTTCAGTTTATTAATTCAGGGATAGTTTGAAGCCAACATACGCAAATTTATTAGTTTCTTTTTTCCCCGACACTGAACTTTTTTTATTTACTTGTCAATTGGCAACTGATTACAATGGAACTAAGCCATTTAAACCTACGTTGTTTACACAGAAGTTTCCTCCGCACAATGAAAGCCGATTTATACATTGTGACTCTTCTTTTTCTGTTACTTTGAGAAGGGGGATTGAGCATTCAACATGAACGGTTCTGGGCGCCATCATAGTACTTTTGTATCTTTTGTTATTTTATCATCAATTATCGCAGATGTGTCTTCACTTAAACCCAATAACAATGACGGAAAGCGTGACATAGCGTGACCGGAAAGCGTTGCTGTTGTTGATATTGAGTGAAAGACAATCTTTTTTGAACGTTGGACTTGATTAAAAACAGTGTAGTAAGATCGGCTGAGGAGGGGTGTGTGTTTTGAGAGAGAGAGAGCGAGATAGCGAACCTGTGACTTATTTGTCGGATACCCGTTCCCGACAAAAGTGGCACCTCCGACGGGACCCAGCGAACAGAAGATGGCGAAAACAGTCGATCAGCTTACGAAAGCGATCAACGCAAAGCTGCAGACCCTTAAACTAACCCAAGGACAGGCAATCACCGCGATCGGAAATAAAGCGGTCATATCAATGGCGAGAATACAAAACACCTTAAAGAAGAAAGTTGAAGAAGTCCACGATCTGAAAACTGAAATACAAGAACTGATGTTTGAGGCAGAAAAGGAAGAACACGAAATCGTGAAACAGAGCACAGAAATCGAAGAACGTGCTAGTGTGTTTGAGGCGACAATCGACCAGCTCGACGTGACGATCAAGGAATGCAAACGCGTCGAAGCGCAAACAGAAGAGAAAGAAAAGGAGGAGCATGACGCACAGCTCAGGGAGAAAAAGTACGACGAGGAAATGCGGTTCGAAAAGGCCAAACTGGAGCAAAAGCAAAAATACGAGAAGAAAATTGAAGAGAAAAAGGAGCAAAACATCAACGCCAAGTTGCCAAAACTTGTCATCACTCAGTTTAAAGGCACACCCGCCGACTGGTTGCGGTTCTGGGGTCAATTCACAGCGGAAATTGATGCAGCAGATATTTCACAAATCACAAAGTTCTCCTATCTTAAGGAGCTTTTGGAACCGCAAGTTCGACCGTCCATAGATGGCCTCCCGTTGACCACAGAAGGCTACGAACGAGCAAAGAATATTTTGAAGTTAAAATTCGGGAAAGAAAGCGAAATCGTAAATGCTTATGTTGACGGCATCATGTCACTTCCTTCGATTTACGGAGCAAACCCAAACAAGGTGTCGCAGTTTTATGAAAAATTATGCTCAAATGTTCAAGCACTTGAAACGATGGGCAAACTCGGGGAGGTAAATGGCTACGTAAGGATAACACTGAACAAGCTAGAAGGAATTCGAGGAGACTTGTTGAGGACCGATGATGACTGGCAAGAATGGAGATTCCCGCAGCTTGTTGAGGCATTACGAAAGTGGACCATCAGAAACCCGCCCAAACACAGTGAAGAGAGACAAGGACAAGACAAGCCGCCACCGTTCAAGTCTGTGAAGCCTTTTTACCGAAGAACAGAAGTTACCAAACACGCCAAGGGGAACCAAAAGAAGACCGTGCGTTTACTGCGAAAGTGTAAACCATCAGTCCGTCAACTGCGACAAAGTGACCACACTACAAGAGCGCAGAAGGGAGTTGAATCGTAAAC